GGGGGGGGGGGGGGGGGGGGGGGGGGGGGGGGGGGGGGGGGGGGGTTTGTGTACAGTGATCGGACCGGTGTGTAGCTAAGACACCGCAGACGCACGGGGGCACGGGGGCCGATCGGGGGCGGATGATTGAGGATCTACACTGTACTACTGTACAATCTCTTCACTTCGCAGACCCTTTTCCTCTTTTCCCCGTTTCCCCTTTTCCCCTTCCTTCCCCTTCAGCTCGACCGGGATAGCGCGATGCACGATCCCAATAAGGTATCTGGGGAACGGACCCCCGAGGCGTTGCCCCCCCCCTGGCCCTGGCGCACTGCTGATTGGTGGTTGCGGCTGAGGCTAACCCTAAGGAAGTCAAATATGTGCCGGATGTGGCGTAGCCGGCCCCAGCCACAGGTCCGACCCATATGGACCCAAGAAAGGACCCCTGGAATCCTGGAATCCTGGAATCCTGGAATCCCGGATCCCTGACGCGGATTATTGTGAATCTGTTGTCCCTGCCAGGTAGACTGGGTGGGTTTTGCGCGCGCCGACGTCAGGGGAGAGCGCCACACTGCCAGCAGAGCAGAGCAGAGCAAGGCAAGGCAAGGCAAAGCAAGGCAAAGCAAAGCAAAGTCCTGTCTGTCGTCGTGGAACATGCATCATGATTGATTGACGGGAGTAGACTGATGACCTTGATTGATTCAACATGCATTGATCATGACATGTTCCAGAAAACCGCTTCTTCGAAGAATAAGGTAGCCCGCCAGCTGGACCACGGCCAGGAACACCCGCATCATCATGGGAGATATATGCTCCCCGCCGGTTGGAAACTGCGGCGCAGACCCCTGGGCCCTGGCTGCGATCTCCGTGACGCTTGACCCGCGCTATAGGGCAATCCTTGGCCCGAAGCAGCCCAGACGGATGAGACGATTGAGACCGATTGAAATTTGATTATTGCAGCTGGTCAGGCCGAGTCACGGTCAAACCGACGTCGATTATTATTATTCTTCTTCCTGTGATATGACCAGGCTATTACCGGTATATCAGCCCGATAGTGCGCTTTTAAGCCTCTTCTTTAAGGTAAGGTAAAGGTAAACTTCTCACCCGTGGTGGCCCTTGCCCTCTTGTAGACCACGACCCTCTCGACCCTCTCGAACCCTCTCGAACCCTTTATTTACCTCGTCTCCCCCTCGCCCTCCTGCATCATCTTTCTCCAGAACACAGCACAACTTCACAAGTATCCCATCCCATTCCCATCAATCATCTTAACTCGCCCACATCACCTTGCCTTTTGCTCTCTCTCTTGCCCAGGCCCCAGAGACCTCAACTCCACACATCCTCCGCCGACATGAAGTCCACGACCGCCCTGCTCGTCGGTGCCTTCGCCGCTGCTGCCACGGCCCAGGTCAGCAGCCTCCCTCAGTGTGGTGTAAGTCTCCCGTGCTCTCTCTTCTCCCCTCATCCACCTCTTCAAACACTCTAATGCTGACATTCCTGTCCACAGCAACTCTGCGTCAACAACATGATCGAGTTGGCTCCCTCTCTTGGCTGCGACGCCTCCGACTACGCATGCCTGTGCAACAACGCCAACTTTCAATACGGCATCCGGGACTGCTCCAACGAATATTGCGGCAGTCCAGACCTTGCCAGCAGTGCCATTGCCTATGGTAGCGGCTACTGCTCCTGTGAGTATACCTACAACAGGGATGTGGCGCAGATGATGCTAACATGGAACTGAAAGCTGTCATTGCCTCTGCTACTGGAACCTCTTCTGGTGCCTCGGGTGCTTCAACCACCACGGAGTCTCCAAGCGTTACCGGACCCGCTTCTGGAAGCGCCACTGCAACTGAGACGGGTAAGGGAGGTGCGGGTGGTTCAAGCTCAGCTATCACCACATCGGCCATCGTGTCTGTCGAGACCTCCGCTTCCTCCACCATCACCAAGACCGTCGGATCAACCACCATCTACACCATCATTGGCGGTGAGGGGGCAAGCGCCGCTGCAACTGCCACCTCCGGTGCGGCTGGTGCCGGCGTGTCAAGCTCAGCTATCACCACATCTGCTCTTGTCACCGTTGAGACCTCAGGCTCCTCTGCCATCACCTCTACTATTGGATCTACCACCATCTATACCATTGTAGGCGGTAAGGGTGCCAGCTCCGCTGCCACCGCTACTTCTGGTGCTACTGGTGCCGGCGGTTCCAGCTCGGCTATTACCACCTCTGCTCTCGTCACGGTCGAGACCTCAGGCTCCTCCACCATCACTTCTACCATCGGATCCACCACCATCTACACGCTCGTCGGTGGTGCAGTTGGAAGCTCTGCGACCGAAACGTCCGGCGGGGCCGGTGCCTCCACGCTCTCAACTGTCGTTTCCAGTGCTGCTGCCTCCGGAGCGAGCGGCTCAGGTTCCAGCGCCGGCTCTGCCGCTCCCAGCTCGACTTCCAAGGCCGCTGGAGCTATTCAGACCGCTGTTCCTGGATTCGTCGCCGCAGCGGGTCTTGCAGCTCTCCTCCTGTAATGACTGGATCGCGTCTTGGTTGACGGAAATGGGATGGGGTGGGGAAGTGGTAATGGTCTAATTGGCGGACGTGCTTTGGTTGTTGATACCCTCTTGCTTTCTTGCTCATGTTTACCCAGCATTGAGTCTTCAAAACGGTTTTTCTGCTGCGATACGGTTTAACGCATTACGGCATTACGGCATTACGGCATCACTGACCCAAGGTCTTACACATGGAAGCATTTGACGCTTTCAGGCGAAAGACTAATTCGATAATGAGTTCTCGAGGTGGCAGGCATGGTTGTGCTCTCTGGAGGACAAACGTAATGATGATGTAGCTAGATGGATTATGCCAGGCATGCATTAAATAATACAAGTCGATGATAATCATGAATGGAATACTGCACACCCGGTGATATCTGTGTCTTGATGTACGAAGTGTTGTCTGTAGGATCTCTTGCTGACGAATCGGACGGAAATGGCCAATCGGCAAACAGCTTCTCCACACTTACGAGTTGGGTAGCATCCAGGAACATGGCTGAGAGCAGCATCAACATCTATCCAAGCAACGAACCTACTTGTACCCCCATCTCTCGCCGCGGCCTATCCAACGACTTCTACTGCGTCGTGGTCCCAAAACGCCCTATCCCATTGAACCCGTCGAACCACGCCGGCGCGGGCCTCGCTCAGCACAGATCAAGCATTGCTGATACACAGACAGCGCCTACGAGAGAGTGCACATGCTGCATGCTGCATGCTGCATGCCGCGGGGGGTGGGTGTAATAGAAGGAGGGGGATGGACGGATGGGAGGATGGTTATGAGTTTTCGTTCCGTGGGTGGATATGATGGAGGATGTTGAGGTCGCTGGGGATTGATTGAAGGTGAGCGCGTAAAGTCAGACAGTCAGTCAGTCAGTCAGTCGTGCCCAACAATGGGCAAGATGCATTGCATTGCATGGCATGGGGATGGAATGGAATGGAATGGAATGGAATGGAATGGAATGGAATGGAACGAAGCAGCGACAACTCACAAGACCGACAGACATACGGATACTTGGGTAAAGAGAGGAGCGAGCGTATAGATAGATGGTCTAATCATGGATTATTAGAGGGGGTGTGAGTGTGAGACTGTGAGTATGAGTATGCGGAGAGAGAAACTTATTGAACGGATGGAAATGAGTGCCATCCCCTGGAGGCTGACGCTCCCTCAACTGCGCGCGAGCCGAGCCGGCGGGTCCTGGCATTCGCTGCCTGTATCTGATATATAGGGGGGGGGAGGAGGTAGGTATATGTGTATAGGTAAGCTAGGTAGGTAGGTAAGTTAAGATACAAGGGTTCTTCTTTTGACAAGATACTGTACTTGGTGGGTAGGTAGTGAGAACCGGCGTGACGTCCCGCTGTATTCGATGCAAGAGCGGGGGGAGTAGGTAGTTTACCCTCGTTTGGATCGCCTCCCCAGTAGGTAAGGTAAATAGATAGGTATGTGCCTAAGTCGGTAGGTAAGGTAGGAATTATTTGTCCTGTGTGGGGAAAAAAAGGGGGGGGGATGATTCAGGTATCAATATATTCGGGTATCAATGCTCGCTCCATGCGTCTCGATGGCCTGCCTGTTCTGGTTCCCGTGCCGTGCTTCTTTCGTCTCGGTCTTATTCGTTATTTTGCTTTTTTTTTCTTTTCCTTTCTTGCCATCGAGGGATTGATGGGACTGATGTGGGCGTGGAACTGGGACGGGACGGGGCGGGGCATTCTTGAACCTGGGGAAGCGGGGAGAATGGGGTGGAAGGAGGACCCTCGAGGAGGAGGAGGATGGGTCGGCCTGGGCCTCACACGCGCGCTACATACCTTACCAGGCTTACCTAGTAGGCGGAGAGGAGAGTCTAGGGCGGGATACTAGAGACATGCGCAGGTGGATTGATGGTGGTTGATCTGGGTCTGGACCTGGAACTTGGTCGGGGTGTAGGAGATAGAGTTGGGGAAGGTGGATGAGGTAAGGTAGGGTTGGAATCTAGATGGATAGATATCTGCTTGTGCGTTCTGCTAGCTTGGATCGAGGGGGGGTTTATTCTCGGGTTCTCTTTTTCTTGAAGGAATAAATGGATGGAATAATGTGAATAAACTTTGGGTAATGAAAGTGGAATTCAAGAATAAGGTACATATAAATCACTACACACCTTACAATATGCAGGTAAGTAGATGTGAGAATACATGACAGACAGGCAGAGAGCGAGCATCTTCTTCTCTCCCCCTCCCCCTAAAACAGCACATCGGGTACCTGTACCTCTACCTCATCGCAACCCAACCCAACCACGCGCGCACAACCCTTACGATCGAATCGAATCGAATCATGGCTATCACTGCATACCTTACCTACCTTACCCAACACATGGTGAGCTGTCCCGGGGAAAAGATCTATCTGCGGGGTGGAACCGCGGGGGTGGGATTTTCCCCCTCTATAGTCTGTTTTCCCTCGTTAGAGATATGGCACCTACCTAGGTAGGTATGTAGTTTTATTCCCGGAGGTTGGGAGTGTGTTGTGTGATATGGTACATATGATATGTACATATCTGCTTCAGTAGGAGTAGGTAAGTACCGCAGCTACTACTACTACTGTATGGACGGAGGAAGAGAGGAAGGGAGGGGGGAGGCAGGGAGTGTATGCATGCATGTATGTATGTATGTATGTATGTACATGCGGATAGGTCCGCGGCGGGAGAAAAGGATATCGGTGTTTCTTTTCTTTTTTTAGGGAGGGGAAAGGGTTCGACTTGTTTCTACGGCGCAGGGAGGGGATATTTATAGACGTGGTCTTGGTCTTGGGTTTTGGGTCTTGGGTCTTGGGGGAGGGGGAATAGGGGGAGGGGGGATTGGGGTGTGGCCTTTTGAGGAGAGGAAGGTTTTGAGACTTTTTTGATTTTGATTTCGGGGGAGGGGGTAGGGAGGAAGAGATATTTTTAGAGATGAGGAGGGAAGTGTATTGTTCATACAGTAAGGGATGGATAGATCATAGACGGATGAATGGATTTGATTTTAGAGATTTGTTCTTTTATCTTTTGAATAAGGATTATATACAGTAGAGGGACAAGAGCGTGTGTTTTCTTGCAATGCGAGGCGTATGAAGAAAAGGGAAGAAAGTGATACTCGGGGCATCTCGCCCCATATGCAGCGCGACAGTAACGTGTTGGTTGTGGGGATAGGTAAGGTAGGGACAGCCAGCGTATGTGTGCAGCATGCAGGGTCGGGCACGCGCACGCGCACACGCATACACACAACGCACAAAAACTCACTCAATAACAACAAAGACGCAAGCAGAGAAGAAGAAGAAGAAGAAGGGAAGAGAAAAGAAGATGGCTGAATCGAATGAAAAAGTTCTATCGTTGAGCGTTGATCGTTCTTGGGGCCAGAGCAGAGCGGTGATTGGCAGGGCAGCCGAGGTCGGAAGAAGATCCAGAGGGCAGGGCGTGGCGTGGCGGGGCGGCGAGGCGAGGCGGGGCGGGGCGGGGCTGGGCGGGGCGTAGAAATTAATCGATGCGTGGGTGGATGGTATTATTATTAATAAGGTCAGGAAAGGGGACTAAATAAATTTAAGATGATTATATATATGAGAATTATTACGGAGAGCGGAAGGAGAATCAAGGAATATGATGTATCGCGCTGAGGTGTTGGAGGGAGGGGGGACGGGGGCGAAAAAGGCAGTCAGCGGAATGTCAAGGTAGCCAAGAGTTCGGCCCACGAGTGGCGCCATGGTTCTTGAAGAGGGCGATCCGGGATGGGGGAATAAAAGGACTTGTAGATAGGTACGCTGATTCCGAACGTCTTCTTGGAGAGCAAGCGTTGTCGATGCTTGAGGGAGCTGTTCTTACTCCTGTAAGGTATCTTGAAGGTATTCGCCGTTGTGGGACTAGGGCGATGTGATGTCTGAGGGGACTCAGGGAGGAGGAGGGGGAGAAGCCGGCGGGGTCGATGGATGATGGTCCATGGTCCCCGGCAGCGTGAGGACTGTCCGGACGGTGTACATGGAGGTTGGAACACACGACTTCCTGAGATGGAGAGAGATGCATACGGGACAGGCAAGCGTCTCGAGTCTCCTGGACCTCAAGGAAGTTGAAGATATCATATCGAGTCGTCCGCCTTGCACGGGCGGGATGTAAGGTATACAATACCTTACTTAAGGTACCTTAAGGTAAAGTAGGTACGTATATACGTTCATAGCTTAGGTAAGCAGGAGCATAAACATAAACATAAACATAAGCATAAACACACAACATCCCACAACATCACCGCATAAACAGATCCGCCACCTCGCCTACACGCCAAGGAGCGAAGGGTGGAGCGGCATGCAGAACTACGGAGAGTGACGCGGCCGAGAGCGCGCTGCCGTTGGGCTGAACCACTGCTGGCTCTCGCTTCGTCCACGTCCATGCTGCATCAGGCATCGCGTGCCGTATCGTATGCGGTGACGCGTATATCGTGGTCTGGCTCTCTCGCCTACCGCGGCGCTGACTAAGCCCCCTAGGGCCGGAAGGGGCGTAGTGTAGCCCTCACTGCCCACTTGGCATTGAGACGCTAGACCTATCGAAGCTAGAGCCAACGGACCCAGGTCGCCGTAATTAATTCCCTTCCGAAGTGGCCTGAGGTCCCTCTCACACACACAACCCCCCCCCCGGTCGCATCTCCCCACCAGAATCAGAATCCATCCATCCCATCCAACAACCCCCAAGACGAACTACCTTACGCACCTCACTCCTCACTCCTCACTTCTCCCCTCCTCTCTATCACAACCAACCACGCCCACGAATCTCCAACCACCGATTTCCATCACCGCCATCATCTCCCATTGCTTCCCTTCCACCTTCACCTTCACCTTCACCTTCACCTTCACCTTCACCTTTACCGTCCGTCACCGTCTAGCCGTCCGCCCCCCTCGTCTACCCGTCCACCGTCGACCCGTCCCATCCAATATTGACCTGACCAGGAGATCTTCCCGCCCGATGTCCCCTCCTCGCTGACGGTTTGCAACTCGCCGTTCCGCCCGCCGCGAAACTGCTTCCGAATCCCCTCGCGCCAAACATGTCGAGACTCGCTGTGCCATTCTTCAACCATGGATCTTGCCTTGAAGACGGCCGGCAGCACGCCAACTTCCAGCCCGGGTCTCTTCAGCCCGTCGGTAGCCCAGCGCCAACAGTCCCCCTTTCCCGATGGCACACCCCATTCTAGTCCCTACTTGCATCCGTTGCAGATGCACAAGGTTCGAGAGTAAGTCTCCCCCCTCGCTGGCGTGGTGCCCCCCGTCGCGCAATCTTCTTTCCATTCCACCAACCGTTTCGTCATCCGCGAGAGATCACGACCCTCGTGCGACATCTGCCACTCCCATTAAAATGTCATGTGGCAGATTGGTGGTGCGTTGCGGCGGTTTGATCTGTCCCCCTCCAGCGCTGTGCCCCGCTGCGTCATTGACCGTACTGATATGTCATCCCTTAGGACGCACAAAGCACAGGTCGAGCAGGATTTCATCACGGGCCGCAAACTGATAAATCAATACGAGATCATTGATGAGATTGGCCGTGGTGTGCATGGGAAGGTAAAGTTAGCACGGAGTCTCGAGACTGGCGACTTTGTGGCCATCAAAATCATACAGCGGTTCTCGAAGAAGCGCCGGCTTGGGAGGGTGACGGTTTCCCCCGAGGATAAGACGAAGAGAGAGATTGCCATCCTCAAGAAGATCCGGCATCCCAATGTGGTCGGTCTACTAGAGGTCATTGATGACCCAGAATTGAAAAAGATATACATGGTATTGGAGCATGTCGAGCTCGGAGAGATAGTATGGCGCAAGAAAGGCGTTCCACAGATATGTCTATACGAGCGAAGAAGGGTCGAGAGAGAACAGAGAGGGGAGCCAGATACAGGGGAGGACGAAAAGTTCTTCAAGATGATCGAGCGACGTCGGAAACGGAGGGAGGCACAGCGGGCCAAAGCCTCTACCCTCTCGCAAGGACAACCGGATTATTGGAGTCTCGAACATGGTGACGATGAAGAGCTCGAGGAAAACGAGGATGACAATGAGCACGATGTTGACGACGATGATCATGATGCGGAGGGGCACCCCCTTTCACGGCAAACGACTGGTGGATCTGGACATAACCCACCTTGGTATCAATCGACGATGCGACTCAACCCTGGCTCTCGAGTTCAGTCAAGGGCAACTTCCCGAGCCCCCTCCCGGGCCCCTTCAACGAAATCTAGCTCCCGTCCCCATACATCTCTCTCAGGGCAGACGGAAGAGAGCGATGATGAAAATGGCACGCCGGGCCCGCTGCCATGTGCCTCGCCCATGCACGGTTCGCTCAGTGCTCTTGATGGAACGTACTACGGGTCCTACCCTGATGATCCTCAGTTCGGGGGTCGTTCTCCCAGCACGGCGGATAGCATCATCTCTCACATGTCCTCCGTTGATGCCATGCAACATGACGCGTTCGAGGATGATTATTCCTACGTTCCTTGCTTCACGATCGACCAAGCTCGGTCTGCTTTCCGAGACACCGTGCTAGGACTAGAGTACCTTCACTATGAAGGGATCGTCCATCGAGACATCAAACCGGCGAACTTATTGTGGACCAAGGATCACCGGGTCAAGATTTCCGACTTTGGCGTGTCTTACTTCGGCCGGCCGATCCGAGAAGGCGAAACCGAGGAGAACATCTCGGAAGCGGACGCTACTGACTTCGATGACGATCTGGAGCTTGCGAAGACTGTGGGGACCCCAGCCTTCTTTGCCCCCGAACTGTGCTACACGGACTTGGATGCCGAGCAGCCAAAGGTCACCGAGCAGATTGATGTCTGGTCATTGGGAATTACCCTTTACTGTCTCATATTCGCTCGAATCCCTTTCCTGGCCGATGATGAGTACCAACTCTTCCGTGCCATTGCCAAGGACGATGTGTACATTCCAAGAAGACGCTTGAAGGCTGTTGACCCCTTGTGCCCGCCTCTATCGTCAAACCAGACTGCACGATGCGGTCCATCGACTGGGCCTTACCGAGAAGAAGGGGAACTCGCCTTCGAAGAGATCGATGATGAATTATACGATCTGCTTAGCAGGATGCTGATAAAAGATCCTGCCGCGAGGATGAAATTGAGGGAGGTCAAACGCCATCCCTGGGTTATTAAAGGTATCGACAACATTGTTGGTTGGATTGATGATACAGATCCGTCAAGGAAGACTGCAGGTAGGAGAATCGAGGTTGATAGAGCCGAGCTGGATCACGCCGTTATCCCTATTTCGATCATCGAACGAGCTCGTTCGGCTATGAAGAAGGCCGTCGGAAAGGTCTTGTCAGTCACCAGGAGTGACACGAGGAGCGAAGGTCGGAGACGGGCTACAAGCAACACGGCAAGCTCGGTGGATACTCATCACCAAATGCACTCGCCCGTGACACCCATCGCCAGAGATGGCCGGGGGGTGAGTGTTCGTGGTGATGAATCCCCGTACGCCTCAGTGGTCGGCGGCCTCCTCGAACATCGTGAAGCGACCGAGCATCCCCTCTCCCACAGCTTGACAGCTAGTCCCGACCTTCCAACTGATGACGGGAGTCCATTCTCGCTTGACTCTGTTCAGCAGTCTTCGCCGGTAGGAGCTACCCCCAAGCGTTTCCGATCCGGTACAACGGGAGATTCTGATAGAAGGCCAGATCCGCCGGAGCGTAATGTTTCGACGGCGGCGTCAGGTCAGACGGTCGTTCGTAGAGGGCATACCCATTCCCGGTCCGTAACGAGTGCGCCAACGGGCCTAGTGCTGGAGGAAGAGCCAAGCAATCCGGGTTCCGTCACTGCTGGTCCATTCACAGACCATCATGGTAAGCTATTCGGAGGACGCCTGTGGGACAACAGAGGCCGAGATTTCATGGCCGATGTCGAGGAGCATGTCTCTGCTCGGTCGAAATCGGTTGATCGTGGCATCTTTGGCCTGGAGAATAAACATGCGGAACCAAGTGTTGCAACCACTATTACAGTTGCACCTGGGCATTTCGAGCATCCAGCTATTCTGCACCAGCCACGCCCGTCCCACTCTCCCGAGGTTAGCCGCGCCAATATCATTTCTGATAAGCCACTACCCTCTCCCTTGTTCTTCCAACCGCATGCCATTCGCCAATATCAGACATCTCAACCCTCAACGCCAAACCCGGGTGGTGCCGCCTCGCACCTAGATGAGCGCCCTACGACTGCAAACCGTACTCCTGAGGGCAAGACACCGGCACCCCGAGTCTATGGGGCTAGTACGCCTGAATCTTTCGAACATGCCCAAGAAGTGCTGGACCGACGAAGAAAGATGGAAGCTGACGCAGATCAGAAGCGAAAGGAGCAGGCCAGTACGGCGTTGCAGGAGCCTGCCACACATTGTCCTCGTTCCCCAGACGATGATATCTTCATCGAGAAGCAAGAAGCCAAGCGTGCGGAATCATCTAGCTCTGTCAACTCAAATAGCGTGGTCACCTCGCCCTCAGATCACGCCTCGCCCCTCTCATCGGTTACTCTAGGCTCTCGGGAAAAGGTCTTCCCATCTGTCCCATCGCTACCGGCTCTTGTTTCGAGTGGCTCATCTATCTGCGCTGACCCAGAAGGGGATTTCCTCCAGCACCCAGGTGTTGTCCCACGACCTCAGCAGGCGCTGAGCATCGAGAGTACACCAGAAACGCTTACACCACCCTCGCTTTCGAAGCAAACTTCGAATGACGTTAGAACACCCAGGGATATAAATGATGCTCTCGCCGTTGACGTTGATGAAGAAGGGTATAATGGGGATGGAGATAGCACCTTCACGATTGATGATGATATTGATGATGATGACTCGGATAGTGATGAAGGGCTTACGATGACCAGGAGAAAGCCACGCGTAAGCCTCCAGTCGTCGATGGTTCGCCGTGGCACAAATGGGTCGGCAGGAAGTACAGAGACCGCCAAGAAGGTGGTCATGGATGGCTAAGGGTTTTTGGGTCGGGTTCAAAAGATCATTTGGCGGTTGATTCCCCCTACTGGTCCGGGAAGATGCACAGATGAATTGTGGCATAAGAAATGTGAAGGGAGATTACATATGTGGCGTGGTTCTTCATTGCAGCATGGCGCCAAGGAACAAATTTCACCGGAGTATTGAGCAGGCAAATGGTCAGGATACCTGAGATTAATCAATGTGAGGGAGAGAGAACCTTTGAGAGCGCGGCGTTACTTTGGGAATGCCATCTGTCGACTGCTGATGGATGGGGGACGAACATGTGGGGGAGGGAATTATTGTAGCATAGCTTTATGGGAAGGCAAAGATTTTCGGCATTTGCAATGTCATGGTGGTATTATCTAGCCGGAAAACTATGAATATATTGTTTGTAATTCTTTGATCATAGGGAGAGATCTGTCAGAAATATTGTGGTCTTCGTGCAGAGATCGTTTGCTGGTCGTGCAAGAGAGCGTTTTCGCGACAACTTGGCACGGACGGTCAAAGTAGAAAGGGCAGAAAAGAACAAAGAGAGGGGACAATAATTAGGGAGAAGGTAGAAGGGCGAAAGGAATAAGAAATTAAAATAAAAAGTAGAAGGGCGAAAAGCAAGATGCCAAAAGAATTTACTGCGCAAAAGAGGAGAGGGCAAAAAAAGCCCAAAAAAAGAGATGGACCAATGACCAGTCTGGGGTTCGATCCCAGGACCTTTTGCGTGTTAAGCAAACGTGATAACCAACTACACCAACCGGCCGTGTACATGCCAACGGAACTCCAATCTAGATAGAGATACCACCTCTACTGCCTGTACTGTAGAACCAAGAACCCCACACATAAACCAAAGCTCAATTAATACCTCAATGCGAGGGAAATCCGGAACCACGTGATGCGCCCGCCCCTTCTTCTCGTCTCTACGAATCAGAACGCTGAATTGGGGCCGCGCATGGGCGTGATGCATTTCGCCATTGGAGAATCTTCTGTCGCCATCGGATCGGAGACGGGTTTACGTTATGTATATGTATGTCTCATAAGGGCAAGATTTAATTTATTATACAGAGTGAAGATTTCTTTCTCCTCCTCCTCGTCCTCCTTACTCTCATTGATTATTACCTAAGGTATAAACGTATATCAATGGAGCTTGTGGTTGGGGTTGCGCCTGCGTCAGACCAAGTGGGAGTTTCGCAGCTGTGCGGAGCAGAAGAAGAAGAAGAAGCGATCGAGGCGGGAGATTTGAGGTTGGGTGAGTGGATGATGTGAGATCTTGAGGACGAAAGATTCCTGCTCCGCTACGTCGGTCGAGGACTGCGCGGTGGATTTGAGTTTTGAGTGGTAGAAGGCAGTGGGTAGGCGCATGTCTTTTCTTTCTTTCTTTCTTTCTTTTGTCTTTGGCCTTGTCTTTTCTTGTTGTCATCTATAGAATCATATGAGGGATGTATCTGCCTTCTCTGTATCGCACTGCTCTTTGGCCGTCTCGGATACCCCTCGGAAGCCGGCAGCCCGTCTTCTCCTCTAGAGCGAAAGCCTTGAAAGATCTATCCACTCCTATTATCTCCTGGGATCATGGGCGAGTGATACTCGAGCGGCACGGGAGATAGGGGAGGCAAAGAAAGGATAAAAGGGATAATTGCACACCGGCAAATAAAGATTCTTATCGCAAGCGAGACACCAGCACCAAAGCGGCAACTTCAGGCCCCATGTTGAAGACTCCGATCCTTCGTGGTGTCTCGACCGTGGTGGAACTGGAAGACATCAAGGAGCGGCATCCGCATACAGCCTTGCTTCTGGAAGGCCTCTGTCAAGAACTGACTGCCCAGTGTATCCCCGCGGGCTGGAGATACCACTCTTTTGTTTACGATCTCGGGATATATCATATCGACTTGCTTCGCGATGGGTATATGCAACGCTATCAGAGAGGCCAAGGGCTGGGCTGACTGACGGGAACAGGTTCAATGCTGATAGCTGGCTTGCTCGCGCTGCTCTCGTTTCTCGCGAGCAGCTGCAGCGGGCAGTTCGTGGTGCACTCTTCTTCGACTCGGAGGTCTGGCGCCGTGTCATCTGAGAGCAAGGTGTGCAGTGAGATTGGGATCGAGCTGCTGAAGCAAGGGGTGAGTGGTCCCGTACAGAGTTCTCAGCTCCAGAGACTGATCACATGATTCCAGGGGAATGCTGCGGATGCGCTGGTTGGGACGACTCTCTGCGTGGGAGTGATAGGTAAACCATCTCGTCAACACAGTCTAGACTTCGCTAATGATCTCAGGGATGCAACATAGTGGTATTGGAGGTGGTGGATTCATGTTAGTGCGGGATTCTCACGGGAATTATGAAGCAATCGGTGCGCCGGGCCTTGTCATCGTCTGCCACAGGGGAATCTCACTAACTCTCCCCAGACTTTCGGGAAAAGGCGCCTGCAGCAGCTTATCAGGACATGTTCGAAGGAAACGCAAATGGAAGCGTCTTCGGTGGGCTCGCGAGTGGCGTTCCGGGTGATGTCCGGGGGTTGGAAACCGTCCACCAGAAATATGGAGTGAGTATCTACTTCTCTATATCCATTATATATGTTCGCGATGCTTACCAGTCACTCATAGAACTTACCCTGGCGAGCAGTTGTCAACCCTGTAGTCCACGTTGCCAGATATGGATTTCCAGGTAGACATCACGTGACATTCTGTGAATTCTTACTGAGCGCGTTGCAGTGACCGAGGATCTCGTCAGCTACATGAATGCTGCAATGTCAGAAACGAGCCGCTTTTTAGTGGACGATCCTGTCTGGGCCATCGATTTTGCGCCAAATGGTAAACCTCCATGAACTGAACGGACCGACCCCCCGCTGACAGCTACGAGGAACCCTTCTTGGGCTCAACGATATCCTTACGAGGAAACGATACGCCGAGTAAGGCTCGCTCTCAGACATGTTGGTATGTAGTATTGATGAGTATATAGTACCCTAGAGCAGATTGCCATTCATGGCTCCAAGGCGTTTTACGAAGGAGAGATAGGTGAGCATTTTCACCCCAGAGGCCACCTGTCTCCCCACTGACTGATGCAGCAAACTATACCATTGCCGCACTCCAAGCTGATAATGGTACCATGACGCTGGATGACCTCAAAAACTACCAGGTTTCGACACGAAAGCCGATCAGCATCGATTATAGGGGCTACAAAGTCTACTCTTGTGGGGCTCCCAGTGGTGGATCCGTGGCATTAAACATCCTCAAAATTATTGAAGGGTACGATATGAGTGACCCCGCCCTCTTGAGGCTCAATACCCACCGGCTAGATGAGGCAATGCGGTTCGCATATGGAGCGCATGCGGAGCTTGGAGATCCTGACTTCTTCGATTACATGGATGAGTTTGAGGCGAAGATGATTGCGCCCAAGACAGCGTCAAGCATCAGAGCCAGGATCTCAGATGACCACACCCAAAACGTGTCAGCCTATAACCCGAAGAATTATGACATCAAAACAAATCACGGGACGTCGCACATAGTGACAGCAGACGACTCCGGCATGACCATCACGTTGACCTCGACAATCAACCTCCTATTCGGCTCCCAGCTCATGGTTCCAGAGACCGGTACGTTCTATTACTCCTCTTGTATTGTCATACTGACTGATGACAGGGATAATTATGAATAATGAGATGAACGACTTCTCCATCCCGGGGGTAACGAATGAATTCGGCTTTGTTCCCTCGCCAATAAACTACATCAGACCCAACAAACGGCCGCTCTCCTCCATCACCCCGATAATTGTCGAGCATCCCAATGGCACCCTCTACATATCCATCGGTGCTGCTGGCGGCTCTCGCATCATCACCTCCACAGTGCAAAGCGTCTGGCACGTTCTCGACCACGGCATGACATTACCAGAAGCGTTGAGGCAGCCGAGGATCCACGACCAGCTACTGCCAGCTCGAACAACATTCGAGTACAGTTACGACAACGCCACAGTGGAGAGCATGAGAGAGAGAGGTCATAATATCATGTGGGTTGGGGAGCGCGAGAGTGCAGTACAGGGGGTGCGTGTCTTGGGTGATGGAACCTTCGAAGCTGCGAGTGAACCCAGGCAGCTGAACAGTGGGGGCTTGTCGATATAGAAAGCAGTTTTGGAGCAGACATCCAACTAGAGATTTTTTTATATATGGAGAGGGTGATTCCGAGAATGTTCTGGTCTATAAATAGAGGGGGAGTTAGGTTTGGAGATGAGATTACGAAGTTTGGATTCTAGAAGCCTATATACAGACATGAATAAAGAGTGTTTTCTATCTTTGAGGGTGGCCGTTCCTAGTTGGATTGAGGATCATGCTACACACAGAAATGTTTGAGGAGCTGTTCTGAATATGGGAAGACATATAGGACCCTATCATCGTTCAAACCTGCCAAGAAGAACTTAACGCGCTGACATTCACTTTCGTTAAGTAATTCACTATCGGTTCAAGAAGTTTCTTTGACGCGAAGCACAGTCTTCTTTATCACGCGTGCCCCCCCTCGATCTATTGAACTACCTCAGGCTTTCTAAGCTTGATCTGCAACACCATTGAACACGATTTCTACAACAACTGATAATTTACTAAGACGCGTCTGCTCTAAATCCCGTCTTACAGATCCTAGAAGGACGCGAAAATGTCATCATCTGCACAGCGTGGTGTTGGAGAGGTATGGCTTCTATTATTCCCACATACGGAATCTACTGTTCTAATCAGAGGATATGGTAGGGTGCAAGAGACGAATTCGACGATGACGATTATGAGATTATTATCGAAGCAATCCCTTTGTTTCCCATCCAGGCAAGTTCTCCAACTCCTGTACGGTACATAAAACATGTTAATCTCTTCCAGGTGGATGGATTCAAAGAGACGCTCCATAGGCTAGTTATGGAGGATCAAGCACTCGGACGAGCCCTGATACACTGCCAGTCAATCCGTACCGCACTCCTTAAGAGTCAGTACCTGCAGCTATTGGAAGAGGCGCCTGAAGAATGTACGAGACTGTCCATCTCCTTACCCCTGGAGCTACCAAGACTGATTTCAACACATAGATCACGACGAGATCCACAAATGGCTAGCCCAGCAAGCGTCCAGCATCCCGAAAGCGAAGAACAACCTAATAACTCTCTGTACGCTGCGCGTCGTGCTCCGGTTCTTGATGGCTTAGCTAACTGGCCTTCAGTGTACCACCTCGCTTTCGAGGATTTGCCCTTCCCGCCAGCGACCATCGATGCTTTCATGGAGTTGGTCTCGCACGCCTACAGCTTCGAGCTGCCAATCAACGTGGCGAGCGGCACGGTCCCTTCTGACACCGACAAGAGACTCTACAAGGAATATTTCGGCGTCGACGTGGATAGGGAGGTCGCGGAACTGATGGGCCTTGCCAATGAGATCTCACCAACGCTGAAGTATGAGATGTATAGGAAGAGGGCGAAGAATACGACTCTCACGGCTCTCACGGCTCTCGAAGAGTTGACTGCGACACTCTCGCTTTCATCTGATGCACGCCAGGAGGTCAAGAACGAGGCATCCGCTGAGGGTGAATCCCCGTTGGCCATCTTTCTGCAGAACGAGGGGCTCGAGAGAGCGCAGATGCTGGTACTGCCGACGACCACGGTGGACGAGCTGTGCGAGAACTTCCGAGTCCGGCGGTTCGTGAGCCAGGAGAAGCAGCTAAGGATTTTTCGGAATGGGAGACAGCTTAGAGGCGAGTTGACGGTGGGTGGGTTGGGGATCCAGAGGGGTGATACATTGGTGGTTGAGGTTGATTGGTACAGTGGGTTTTAAGGATGATTCGGTTGAACTGCCTACCCCTTGCGCTACTGTATCCTGGGTAGAGGATCTCCCTGGATTTGTGGTGGAAGCCTGGTGATGATGCGCTGCTTTGATGGGACCAAGGAGTTATTGATTTGGAATGTGCTGAAAAGGAATCATGGAAGTATTAGAAGACAACGCATAGCCATCGGACTGTACGGAATCTGCAACAGGTCTGATTCTCAAAGTTCTTTCAACCACTTTCACCTCCCTCAATAACCTTTTCCCAATTGAAACCTGAAGGCTAGAATTCGAAGACAATGCCTTAAAAAGCATCTCTAAAACGGAATAAGAATAGGAGAAGCGATTCTCGACATGTGGTAACGACCTGCTACCGTAGGTGCAGGTACGCGAGCTTTGGAGCAGCGTGAGATTCTGACAGGTTGCCTTTGGAAAGCAGCGGCTGAACTCCCATCTTTGAAAAAGTTGCCCATTTACCGCCTAGTAATGTGAAGTAGTTGTACAGATTTTGTCATTTAAACAAGGTAAATAAGAAAGAATAGATAGCGAAGGGAAGGTCAGACATGAGTTGGTCACGTGAGATCACAGGGGGTTCGCAAAATTCGCGAGAACCGTGCGCAACAGGCAGCAGTCAGGTCAAGGAGAAAGGATAGAATACTTGTCTGATCAAAGAAGCGGAAAAGATAGAAAAATCATTGTATATTTCCGAAGCTCGACTGATGAGTATTAACCCCAATTCGAGCCGTACGAAATGACCACAAGCAAGATGGAAGATCCTCCTTTGAGGCCGACGGGTAAGAAAGATTGAAAAGGAGATAAGAGATCACCGACTGATAGCGATATCTAGGCAACATAGAACGGTTCAACATCATCCGGAATCAAATCAAGTTCTATAATAACGTCCAAGTGACAGCATGGTACAGCGTGCCCCGATCTGTGCTTGGTGCTTCCGATAGCATTACAAACCTTGTCTATGCCGCGTTAAGAGAGTTGATCAACATCCATCCGATCCTTGGGGTCAATGTGAAGGATGAGGAGACACCGGCGCCAATGTGGGCCAGACTGGACAAGATTGATCTTCGCGACATTGTGAAGATCATAGAGTCGGACCTCGAATCGACTTTTGACAATTGGGCACAAGATGGGCATCGAGGCTCGATTGGAAGTAGTGAAGAGCTTCCGCTTTGGCGGGTTGTCGTCGCGGCCCCGCCCTCCGAGACGAAGGAAGATGAATCGACCAAGATCAAAGAAGTGACGAGGTTTGCCGTCGGGTTCTTCTTCCATCATGGGATAGGGGATGGGCTCTCTGGAGGAGCATTCCACTTGACCTTCCTCAACGCCTTGAACCGTCTCATCACCAACGATCCTAAAGCATCTCTTGATAACTCGACGCTTGCCGTGGTACCGGTCCCGAAGAAGGATTTACTTCCAAATCTTGAGATGAAAACGCCACTGCCAATCTCCATATTGTTTATGGCGAAGGAAATTTTCAAGGCCTTCATCTATTCGCCCGTCGATTCCTTGCTATGGACTGGCCCGCCTATTAGCACGGAGTTACCTAGGCCACCGATCACCACCGTTCGCAGTTTCTTACTGCCAGCATCTATAGTTGATGGTCTCGTCTCTCTATGCCGACGAGAAAAAACCTCGGTCACAGCTCTTATTACCATCCTTATAGGCCGCAAACTCGGAATGATGTATCCGAAGTACAGCCACTTTGTGGGCACTCTTCCAGTATCCCTGTAAGAATATCCTTGGGTTCATATTCTCCGAACTCCCCTCTTCCATGGAGGTGCTGCGTTGAGAGATCCTTGAGGCCAAGTTTCAAGGAGCTGTCTCAGTAACGTGGCCGATAATTCATGAGCCAGCATTTACCTTCCCATCTTCCTACCCCAACGAATTAAGCATCTGACTGACACTGCTACCTCTTAGGCGCAAGTTCACAGGCAACACCAACCTCGACATAGGCCTCTACGTCTCCGGTGCCACCGTCAAATTTTCCAGCACTGCAAACCCCCCTCGTGGCTATATCGGAGGCGATGCGCACCTCTGGGACGCGGCCCGCCAATGTAAAAAAGACATCGATGCCCAGAGTGCCTCGCCTTACGACCAAAGTGTCGGGTTGCTCAAATTCATAGCGAATAACTTCAAGGGGTATTTTGAGGGGATGTTGGGGACGAAACGGAGTGCCTCTTTTGAGGTCTCGAATCTGGGGCTTCTCGATGGTGGCGATGGGGGAGAGCAGGGGGGGCGAGCCTACTTTGACCGAGTGATGTTTTCCCAGGGCGCGTGGACGTACGGGCCGCCGTTCTGTTTCTGTGTAGCGACGGCGAAGAATGGGGGGATGAGTGTAGCGTTGTCTTGGGATTCGAGTGTTGCCGAGGACGTGAAAGCGGAGGAGCTTTTGGGATGGTTAGAGGGAGAATTGAGGGGTTTAGTCCGCGAGTGAGTAGTTGAGGGAGGCGATGATCCTTTCGGCATCATTTACATAAACCCCCACCGACGTGTGAAAGGGAAGAGATCGTCGGATGTCCAATTTCAAACTAGCTATATTAATCGTAATATCATTATAAAGAATGTAATCATATATTCCAGATATGCGCCGAAGCCACCAAACCCCTTTGATATATACATTCCCGCGAGGCATTATTCCCCTTTTACCATTAATCTAGAAGTAGTTAAAAAGCAGCAGCAGCACCGACGATCACATCCAAGGCCGAGCCCTGCGTCTGGATCGTCGCTGTACCAGGAGGCCCGTTGAACACAAGGCCCAGGAAATCATTAGATTGGTCATGCGCCCAAATGGAATCGGCGTTCTTCTGCAGGAAGTTGACATACGTCTCCCTCGTCGATTCCGGAAGGTTGGTCGCCCGATTGACCATGAAATTGATATTCCGGGCAAGGATGCCCTTGAATTGCTGCTCATCGGAATCGCAGGAATTAGGTTCGCAGGGCTCGTGCAGAATGCCATTGCTGTCAGTGAAGTGCGCGATGGCAGCCAGCGCGAGGGTGTTGGCCTTTTCGTTGTAGGAGTTATCCCCTGACGCCCAGGCCATCTCAGTCAGACCACCCAAGATCACCCCTGAATTGTAGGTGAAGGTTTCATAGCCGTTGTTTTGGCAGTTGGAGTTAAGACCATCGTTCACGACGTTATCGGAGTTGATCATCCCAGAGGCCATGAACCAATCGTGGGCCTTGAGGGCCTCGTTCCAGTAGTAACCATCGGATGGAGAATGGGGCGAGCGGTTTGCGAGCTTGGCAGCGGTGGTGATGTAGAGCTCGTTTGCGATTGCGTTCACGTACGTGTGAGCCTTGTCCCACCTAGTATGTAATGTTAGAATCATCTGACCCAGGAGAGAATAATAGAAAAGGGGGGAGAACGGAAAAGTCAGGCTTACCAGATGCCACCATTGCATGGTGTGGTACCCCAGGCGGCTTTCGCATCCTCGAATATCGCAGTCGCGGTATTGAGGTATTTGGGGTCGCCGGTCACATCATATACCTGGATCCAACCAAGAGCCCACCACAGCTCATCGTCGTAGAATCCATCCAGGAAGCCGCCAGAACCGAAGCTCTTGGGAGCATTTGCAAGGGTATTTGGGTACACAAGGTCGGTGATTGACAGAAGTTCACCGGGAAAGTAGGCTTGGAAGTCCGCAATTGTCGTGAGAGCGTTGGCACTCGGCCACCAAGAGCCTTGCCAGAGTCCGGTCGACTTGTCATACCAGGTCTGCATCTGGTTGAAGGCGGCAATTGCATTGTTGACATATTCGGCCTGTGATGTTCTCCTGGATAACGGGTTTGTCGAGTCCCTCTCCGAGATGGGTGAGCGAGGTTGTGGGAGAGCGTCGGAGAGATGGAGCGAGGCGAGGAGGACGGCGATGGTTGATATTGATCCGAACATGATCGGCACGTGGTGATAAGATTAAGCAGAGCTTGGACGATGCATGCGAGTACCCGACGATTATCCGATTATCCGACGTATATATGATATCTTCTTCACTACCTTACCTACCTTCTTCTTCTTGCCCTCTCTAACATCAAAATTGCCTTCACACCGGAACCGCCATTTGTATTTATATTCTGTTCTGAGCCCCGTTATTGTGGTGACCGCTTATGCTGACGTCCTCGTGGTCCCTCCGGGACTGGGCCCTGCGTGTGCCATGGCATAACAATCATTTCCCAGACCCTGTGGTCACCTTACTCGTGCTGCTGGTGATTACACAGTCCACTTGGCCCGGAAACGGCACCCCGAAATCCACGCAGACATATGGGGCACAAAGTTGCCGGTAGGACGAACAGGGCTCAGCACCCGCGATCAGAGGTCTTCCTCTCTTCTTTGGGCTGTCTCATCTGATAATCGTGGACTAATAACAAGCACGTCTTTACTCGGTAGGGAGGAGCATTGCCTGGGGTGACGCTAAAGGCTACGATCGCTGGGCAAATCCCCGCCCAGCTCTCGTTTCGCATTGTGTTCCGCACGCATTGACTGCCGCGTGGGTCGATGGCTCTGGAGATCTGCCGCATAAGACAGCCTTAAGATAAGGATTATGCGTTCAGGGTATTGCTGCGTTGCGGTCGCTTGAAAGTGCTTGTTGATGTCGAGCCAAACATCCTTCCTTTCTGATGGAAATCCGGCTTCAAGGAAACAAAAATCGCTGGGCGCGTTCCTGCAGGAACACACGGGGCCGGTTGCACCGAACACCTTCTGGCATTCCCTGGTTCTATCTTGCGCGGCCTTTCTACGGAATAGCAGCTATAGCTACGTGGAGTTATATGTGGTTCGGGACACCGTCAGCCCCACCTATCAAGTCCAAGCTTAAGCTCATCCACACCGGCACTTGAAACCGTTAGTAATACTAACAGTACGGTACTGTACCACTGCTCTTCGGAGGGAAACTTCAGCCTCGGCTGCAGGCTGCAGGCTGTAGTTTGCGATGGACGATCCTACTTTGCTTCGTCCAAAGTCTCTAGGGTTACCTGGCCCCGCAGGTTTGTGATAATCCTAGCTGAGGACCACGAACAAAGCACGCTCCAGTTGCGGTCATGCGAGCGAACCACGTTATCCCGAGAGGGCGAATTACCGAAGGTCTGTACAGGCATGATAAGTGTTGCTGTAATGATAGCTACACATCAAGACGTCCTCTGACCTATGGAGGCACACCCGCGTACCCTTACATTGGATCCTGACATCATAAAAACCCTTCTGCACCCTCATAACTTTCTTGGCTGTGGAATCATCATGCAGTTTTCTCCTTCTCTTCAACTTCGATACGAAGGATTCATGAGGGGTTGTTTTTTCAACATAGGAAAATAAGTGAGACTTATCTAAACTTCGTGAGGTTAAAGGACCTCGTTTGCGTTTCCTAAAAACCATTCAGCTGCTGATCGGAGCACTAAAACTTGCTCCCGAGTCATATATGTCGCTGGAAACCAACGCTTTAAAGCTAAACGTCAAAATTTAACCCACTACAAAAGGTTCTCCCAGCCTCTTTTTTATCGAAACCGGAAATCCTAGCTTCGGGGTCGTCTTGATTAGGAAGGACGACAGATAATCTAGGGCGATTTTAGGCCTTCTGGCACTATTGATGCATACTTAGAATGCTATTTTTGGGTCCCTTACGCTGTATACAGAGTCCTGCACAATGACCCTTAGGGGTTTTCCGTTGCACAGCAACGATGTGTGTCTCATTCAACGAACCGAAAACAAGAGAGAAAACAATATGACGAAACCCGTACCCCTCATCTCATCTGTACTCCCCCTCTTGCGCTGCGTATCTCTAGAACCGTAGGTCCGTAGTTCTCCAGATTCCAACGACTTCCAAGAAAATGAGCGGATGCTTCACAAGTCTACTATGTATTACGCCCGTTCCTGGTTTCCGCACAAAGGCGGTACAATTTGGTAGTAGGTAGCGTCACCAAGACTCCGTCATATGCTAGCTCTGCGGGGTAGTGGACACTGGATACGTAACCGGCCTGCCGCTACGGATCGGATTCATGATGCTATACAGAGAAGTTGGGTAGCGTGAATGATTCCGAAGCGGTGTAGGATGATTCTCCCGACATGAATCAGATCTAGGACCTTGTGATGTGAAGGAAATCTGACAGCTCACCAAGACCTGTCATTGAGATAGTATGTGTTGTCCCTCGCCGTTTGGTCAACGATAATAGAAGAAGACCTTTGAATACGAGACTGCTCATTGAGAGAAGAATGTCATTGGGCCTCTCTTTATAAAGGATATGAACTCACATTTACTCACCTGATGCCGATCTTCAACTTGGCTGGAAGGCAGGTATCTGATTTTTGCTGGACGGGGTGCGGGGCTGAGGGGGCATCTACGCATAACCCACGATGATGAAGCAAAAAGTGACCTTTTTCTCCCACCCCATCTGCAGTCACACACGACGTATCTCGAAATCGAGTTGTCAAGCAAAGTATGGGCCTGTATGGCACGCCTCGAGCGAGACAAGCACCGGATCTCCAAAGACACGATTAGTTTCTAAAGAATGCAAGATTTTGATGCTCTAGCAGCAGACAAAAGGTAACAGTTTTGACATGCTGATTTGATCTGAGCATGCTCTGATCTGAGCATAATATGGTGTGCGGTGCACCCTCATATTCTGAGCTCCCCATCTTTGGCGAAGGGGTAATTGGGCTCTTTGAGATTTTTTTTATTCCTCTGGCCTGAAATGGCTTTGCTTGTCGACACAGATGAGTGCCCTTTCGATTTTATTTCATTCTTTCGCGAATAGCCTTGCTGGATCATGGATAATGGATGAAGGTATATGGTCTGCAAGAATACCAGTTAGCAGATGTACCCTTCTCGACAAGTTTCGAGGAAACTCTGATGAAATTAAACGAATACAATAATCACCCCTCCTTTTAGTATGAGCGATGGCAGAGGGTGCGCGTTTGGGACCTTGGATGATAAGGTAGGTATTTGTTGCTGTTATGTTCAGAGAGATTCCACGAATATGCTGCACAAACGGGATAAGACAGGCATCACGTGCTCCCCACAGTTGGCAGAAGGTCCTCAGTGAAACCCCCACTCTCTCGACATGGGTACTTATTGCTTGACAATCGATGTCTGCTTTCTGTTCGTTACAAACAAACCAAATGTCCAAGAAGCATCGAATAAGTCAATAGATCTACTTACAGTCTCGATTTTTCCTACGATCCTCTTGTTGCGTGGCTGCGTCCCCGAAGTCAGAAATAATGGCACCGACAAATGCAACAGCACCAGAGGCGGGCATGACTCTTGCTATTATTGGCTGTGGTATGTATCATCCCCAGGTTCGATATAAAGCCAACCCATAACTAAGTGTTGCATCAGGGACCATGGGGACAGCAATTCTGGCAGGTCTCCTCACCAAAATGCGGTCCCCGGGGGCAGAGGCCAGGATCACGCGCTTTATTGCGTGTGTCAACAGTGAAGGGTCCGTGGAGAGGCTGAAGACTCGATTTAGGGAGTCTTTGGACCGCGTGACTGTGTTGCGGCAAGATAACATTAAAGGCATGGAAGAGGCAGATATTGTTCTGCTGGCATGCAAACCGTACATGATCGACTCCGTCCTTAGTGCCGAAAAAGTGAGCGCAGCCTTAACCGGCAAGCTAATGATCAGTGTTGTTGTTGGAACGCCAACTCGCAGAATTCATGCCGCAATCCAGGGAATCGATCTCGGCCCTCCAAAGTGCTTCGTTGTCCGAACGATGCCCAACCTCGCAGCTGAGTTCGGGGAGTCAATGACCGTTATCGAGACAACTAACATACCTGATAAATACCTGGAAATCACAAACTGGATCTTCCTCCAATTAGGCAAGACTGTTTCCGTGACACCAGATGTGTATGATGTCGGAGGCGTGTTGGCCGGTGCTGCAGGGGTATATCTTTCAGTCGCTTTCGATGGTGTTCTCGATGGCGCAGTTAGTCAGGGGATAAAACGCCCAGAAGCGAGAAAAATGATGACACAGGCGCTCAGGAGCCTTGCAAGGTTGCTCGAGAATGGAGATACTCCGGATGCATTGAGAGAGAAGTTCTCGTCGCCAAGGGGAACGACGATCGAAGGCTTGATGTCGCTGGAAGAGGATAGAGTCAGATATGCATATACAAAGGCTATCGTCAAGGCTACGAAGAGATCGCAGAGTATGTGATGGTCGTTTTGAAAAATAGGACAGGCAGATAATTGGACATCCTGCGCTAAAGTCTTATGGTTTAGTCAACCATGGAGAGTCGATACCAGTGCTGTTTGACCTCTAATTTAGTCTCCACCTCATCTTAGAAAAGAGGGAGAAATTACCATATATTGGCGTCCGTTAAATCATTATATACACGTATCCTGTATATACAGCGATAAGGCGGAGCTCAGGTCCAGGAGACTCCATTGATCACCGCTGTTGATTCGAACAAACTGGAAGTCTTTTAGACAAAGTGAATTATGATCGGGTATCTTTAGAATGTCTCGACCTTCGATCCTTCAACGCCAGCATCAATAAAGTCATGCCCATATGTAATAACACCTCCGAAGCCCTGAAATTCCAACAGCCCACAGCAGAAGCCCCAACCAATCACAACATCATGCTTTCCCCGCCTCTTCGACAACAACTTCAGCGCCGTCCTCAGTGTCAGCTGCCCCCTTCTCGTTAGCCTCTGTCAAATTGGCATGGCTCGGATTTCCCGTTGAAGGAATACCAAACTCCGGAGGACTTGCTAGCGGACTCGAAGCGCTGGCACCGCCACCAATGCTCCCACTGACACTATCGTTTCGTCCATGTCCAAGAAGTCCACTCCTGACACTTCCACCGTCTGCTGTAGCTGACTGCTTGCCCGCGTAGTAGCTGTTTCGTTCACTTGGCAAAGCGGGGGCTACTCCGGTCGCTGAGTAAATGCTTGCCCTCTCATTCAAGCCAGCGACACTGGGACGCGCTTGATGGGGTGTTGGGACAGTGTTGGAGTCGATATTCGCGCTTAGGACACTGAGAGGAAGGCTCTCTCGACTGCCACCGAACAAGGAGGATGGGGCGAGCGCACGAACAGATGCATCTGTGTCCATTGATCTCCGCCGTCGACGTTTCGAAGAAGATGCAAGAGTAAGAATGGAAGCATTATCAGTGAGGAGGTTATTTGCCGTCGCTGTGCTGTATGTCGCAGGATGTCCACCACTCCCCTGAGGAGCGAGATGCGGTGGCAAAGCGGTAGGAGGGGAGGTTGGGAATTGATGAGTGAAGTGTATGCTTTGTGTATTATTTATTGTGTTGTGAGATGCCGCTGGTGCTGGAGGGGCGGCTGACTGTATTGTTGTGAGAGTCGTAGTCAAGGATCGAACGGATGGTGCTGGGGACGAGAATGTGCTATCTGCTCCTCGACCCGAACTAACGCCGCCTCCGATTGTAGCAGATGTCCCTGCCGCTGACGATGCCCCATGAGAGGGTGCTGCATCTGAATGAGCCACATCGGTGGACACTGTTGGCGCGGACGATTTGTTACCTATCGTAGGAGGATGGCGCCCATCTTCGGATATGCTAATTGACTGCCTGCCACGATCCACAGATGCTGTACTTCTGGTGTTTGCTGTAGGAACCGTCGAGAAAGACGGGTTGTTTTCATTATCAGGAGCTGCGGAGTTCCTGTTGATCTGACCTGACTCAGGATACGGATTGTTGTTCTTCGAGGCCGGCTGTTTCTTCGAATTCGATTTCATTTGATAAGCATGTCTCTTTCCGTTCATCGTGGCTTGGCTAGGATCGGTGGAGGAGCCAGCTTTGAAATTCGTAAGCTTCTTCATCCATGTCGAGAATGGGCGGCGACGGCCGGATCGTTCTGTGCGACAAACCATGTCGGTCAGCCTTCAGTACTAGACTTGTCGGGAGGTGCAAGAGTTGAGATGAACTCCGCTTGATTCTTCAGCTCCAACAAAGTGTATGAGAGGGGGGTAAGGGGCGCGAACTGCATTTGCTCATACCATGTGTTTGCTGCGCCATCTCTGTTGTGGCCATCGTGGAAGCTTGGGGTAAAAGAGCGACGTCAAAGGAATGGGTCTGCCAAGGTCTCCTGGTTGCAAAACGCTGCGAGCGAATGTGTGGAGACAGTATCGAGTGGCGGCAGAAGGCGAGGAGTTGTATTCAATTATTGCACCGTGGCAAAGGCATGTCCTGGAGAGTTTCGTGTCCTAAATTGACGCCCTGAGAACCACGAGGCTGCCGCCCACTGTGGATTAGCGCATAATCACGTGTTAGTATTATGTCATAAGCGGCGGGTACTTGACGACTTGACAACTTACGTAAGCGGGTGATCCGCGCATTGATTGACACCCTTACTCCGCAATCGAACCTTTTGCAAGAACGCAAATCAGATGCGAATAGCTGCTGAACCGTCGCTGAGCTTCGGACATGGACTAGATCCCATTCTCGAAGCTATCACAACCCATGTGAACTACCATGGAGCATTGGGCCTTCTCCTCCTGGGAAGGCGCCACATACATTGTGTCTCCTGCCTTCGATTTCAAACCCTGAACCCCTTTCGCTTCTAAACACATGCTCTACCTACATACCGCCTCTCCAACGCAATGTCGATACAGCCGTTATCCTCAGATGTTGTTGCTCAAATCAAATCATCAACTACCATCACAAGTCTCAACGGAGCTGTCTCTGAATTGTTAAAGAACTCTCTCGATGCGGGGTCAACAAAGGTCGACATCTGTGTTGACTATAGCCGAGGTGGATGTGTAGTGGAAGACGATGGGTCGGGTATCTTACCGTCCGAATTTGGAGAGACGGGAGGCTTGGGAAAGCCATATCGTGGGCATCTTTCGAGGAAACTTGGTGGCAACGCTAACACGTGACAGATACCTCCAAGTTGGGCAGCCAAGGCCCCGTCCATGGAGGACGAGGGACATTCCTTGCTCATGTCTCAGCCATCTCTCTACTATCCATCACATCCCATCACCATTTGCATCGGTCGCACAATTCAATGAGCATGTATAAGTCGGAAGTCATCTCTCGCCAGATTCCGGCTCCAGCTCAGCATCATTTACCATATTTCGATCACGGGACTCGTGTCACCGTTCGAGATCTCTTCGGAAATATGCCTGTCCGAGTGAAGCAGAGAGCGATCACTGCTGAGAGACAAGGTGCTAATAGCAAGGATTGGGAAGGTCTGAAGAGGGATGTGGTCATGCTTTTGTTGGCTTGGCCCCGCAAAGTTGCTGTGACGGTTCGAGAACTTGGAATGGGACAGAAAATGATTATTCGGAGTCTGTCAAATGACTCTCTACGCCATGTCGATGTATCCAATGTTTGCAGCATTTTGACGCAAGCTTCATTCATCACGCCTGGTGAGAGGTCCTCGTGGGTGTCACTTGGAGCATCCACGTCAAAGTTGGAGATCACTGGCAGCATTTGCCTTGAACCAAGTGCCACCAAAAACGTGCAGTTCATCTCGTTTGGCATCCATCCTTTGACAATCGACGGGCAGAGCATTATTCACGACGAAATCAATCGTCTATTTATGGATTCTGCATTCGGTAACCAGGAAGAGGCTGCTGTTCTTGATGATATGGAGAGGGAAAGAAGAGCAGGAGATGCTCGATATAAGGGAGATGGGTACACTATCAAAGAACTCAGAGGAGGGAGAAAGGGGGTTGATCGCTGGCCCATGTTCTACATTAATATAGACGAAATCAGCACATCGGAAGGTCTCGATATGGATGGGATTCTGGACAACAAAGGTGGTAGCCTCAACTCAATTCTCGAGTTATTGAAGGCAATGATTCTCGAGTTTCTGACGAGCCATCATTTCCGACCAAAGGCTGCTGGGGGTCCTCGCTTACAGCGAATTTCCAATGATCCCAAAAATACTTCAGGAACAATCGATCGATCTTTGCCCCGTCGTGATTGCCAGGCCAGGCCTATTGGGACACATAGTTCAAGGACACGCTTGCCAACTTCTTACAAAACTGGGAAGTCTCCAAAAGGTAGCATCACAAACTCAGATCTACTCGGGGCAAATGTCAAGCTCCCATCATTCCGCCGAACTGGGTCTACATCAGAGTCTCCATTTGAGGCATGGTCACGAATCAAATGGGGGACCAGCTTCTCAAAATCTGGCTCACATAAGGATCTAGTTGAGTCGCCGCCTTCTCAGGTATCACGCCTGGAGCGCCCTTCCACGGCTCCGCTGCCTTCAACCACCCAGACACTTCCCCCGTCGACTGGGACTTCGACCCCAGACCCAACACACGTAAATTCAAAGAGGTATGCTACTCCTTTGGTTTCATCTACTGGCAAAGTTACGCGCCGACCCTTCGAAGATGCCCCTGTTCCCGAGGTGCAGTCAGAGACCCCACGACCACTAGCTCCCTTGAACGACGGAGAAGCGGAGCAATTAGGGGAAGATGATCTAATTCCATGGATGAATCCCATAACGAAAGTGACATCTATCGTCAACAAAAGAACAGGCCTCACAATACAACCCAGGAAAACGGGTAATAGTCATCAGGAATCCCAGTCAATGAGCAATTTACGGCTTTCCTCCCGCAAGAAAATAAAATCCAAAGTATCTTCTCCATCAGAAGCAAGTCCTTGGATCGCTTCTATCCTGAGAGGCTGGGTAAATCCCGTCTTCTCCCCCACTGAAGCCGCAATACCACACCTCCCAATAAATGGGCCAGATGCAGAGAGCCAAACAATCCTGCAAGGTCACCGCCATGATTGTTTGCAGTTTGATATTGATAAAGCTTTCAAGGAATCATCTGTCGGGATTGGCGGACGGATCTCAAAAGATGCGTTACGCAATTCGGACGTCATATCACAGGTTGATAAGAAATTTATTCTTGTGAAGTTGCGTTCGTCGAAAGTTAATGAAGAGAAAGGAAGTCAAGATGGGACAGGGACAACGCTAGTGATTATCGACCAACATGCTGCGGATGAAAGAATCAGAATCGAAGGTCTGATGGATGAACTTTGCATGCCACCGCAGTCCATCGTCCCTGCTGAGTCTGGTATCCTGAGCATACCTCTTGAGAAACCTCTCTCTTTTGATGTCTCAGCAAAAGAGATCCATCTTCTCCGTGCCCAGAAGGGACATTTTGCTGATTGGGGAATATTGTATGATATCCCCACAAAAAGCATCAACACAGATAGGAGCAGCAAGGAGACGCAGAGATTAGTTGTCAGCAGCCTCCCGCCAGGTATCGTTGAGAAATGCAAGACCGATCCAAGACTTTTAATCGAACTCATCCGCGCCGAAGCTTGGAAGATCGACGAACAAGGGGTCGGGTCTCCTGCCGCCACCACTGTCAATCCCGGAGGTCAACAGCCCTGGCCTGTGAAGATCAAGAACTGTCCCCAAGGGATTATCGACATGCTGAACTCCAGAGCCTGCCGTAGCGCCATCATGTTCAACGACGAGTTATCAAGTGATCAGTGCAAGACACTTATCACTCGTCTCGCCGATTGCGCGTTTCCATTCCAGTGCGCTCATGGGAGGCCGAGTTTGATTCCCTTAGTTGATTTAGGGGGGATGGAAAACTCTATCGGTGATGACTCTGAAGCAAGCGGAAGTTTCGGGAAAGGGTTTAGAAGATGGAAGAGAAGTCTTGACTCTAGAGGCGGGGTGAGGGATGACTGAGAGATAGCGTGTTGGCATACATATCATAGTATTCCAATGTTGCCGTATCGGAACCATATTTCAACATTAGCTAGGTGCCTACCATAAGGCACGCAGTAGCACATACTGCGGGGTCCCTGGCTCGGTATGCGGGGCGGTCCAGGGCAATAACACGAACCAGCACCTGGGTTTCGCGGAATGTAGGTCTGACATACAGTACCTCAAAGCGTTGAATTGCCGTATTTTGCAGACATCAGCCGCAACCGTACCGTTGGCTGTATAGTATGGATGCATCAGGGATAAGGTCCCTTGGGTAATAAAAGTACTCACAGAAGTACCTCGTAAGGTAAAACTAGAAATCACATGACCACCACCCCGTGACCAGTGGCTAGCAACCACACCGTCAAAACCCGACACTTCCCCCGCCTTGTTGCCTTATTGCCTGTCGTCTCCTTTCCCCTCACCTTCCTTACCTTACCTTGACGACATCTCTTCGCATTCCCAGTTCCCGTCAGTTGCCGGTCGCATTTAATTTCCATTTTCCATTTTGGCCAACGAGCGCTGTTGAGGCTCGGGGGCGTCCTCCCAAGGGAAGGGTCAAGAGTCAAGACGATAATATATAAAGACCGCAGGTAATGCTGGGCGTCCCTACTTATATAATACCGGGCCCTCCGTAATTCTCATCCCTTGAGCGCCGGGAACTCTGAACCATGGCTACCCCGCCTCCCCCGAATCCCCCCTCTCCCACCAGCGGCGCAAACGATGTTGATATCAATACCAACAGCGCGTCAAGTACGATGGAACCGATGTCACAACAATCGCAACAGCCGCCCGCGTCAGACGCCGACGGCTCGAGACCCAAGATGCAGACGCAGACGCAGACGCAGAGACAATCGGCGCCCCTGCAGCGTCCTTCGAGGCCGCCGCCGCCGCCATTGGATACAATGAGGGCGTATAGAGCGTGTCTCAACTGCAGGAATCGCAAGAGCAGGTGTGACTTGGACATCAATGCGGGCAGGCCAGTGAGTGACCCTTCGCTTGATGCACGTTGTGAATATCCTCTTCCCTCGTTCTCTAAACCTTTCCTCTCCATATTCTCCTCTTCCATTCCCTTTCTGCCCCTCAGCTGTTGGACCCTTCAGCCTTGCCCGAGGATAATTAACGCCACGTGATCAGTTTGCGGCACGTGATTGGTCTCATTTCCATGCTGTCTTACAAGTCCTTCGTTTTTGACTCTTGCATCCAGTTGATTGCCCTGTTTGAAAATATATATGGTAGCTTTTATATCCCGTGACTGACAACCCCGTTAGCCTTGTCGGAGATGTCAACGAGAAGCACGAGAGTGTGTCTTAGGAGAGAGTCATCGAGGGGGACGGCGGGTAAGAAAGAAGCCAAAGCTTGACGGAGACGCCGCATCGAATGGTAGTCCCGCGCAATCTCAGCCATCGAATCTCTCAACGCCAACAGGCCCAACACAGTACAGTCTCCTTCCGGGCCACAACACCCCCCAGCAATCCCAACCTTTCAATCATTACGATAATCGACAAGAACCTTCCTTTGCCTGGCAACATTCAACACCCACGAACGCGTCTGCGTCAGATACCACAACTACCTCGAGGCAGACGGAACAAACGAATGTAAGTCCTACCCTTTCTCATCGCAATAGGTCCCCCACTCTGTTTCGTTCTTGTTAAGTTGTATTTAATGTGATGAACAGATTACAAGTCCACAAAGCATTGCCGCATATGATGAGCGTGCAGGATCAACCCTTGATCTGTCTACAAAACATGGAGAGCGACCAGGTGTACATGAAAACATAGCATCAGTGGATCTCCAGAATCCATCAGATGCACTTGAGATATTAGCGCAAGTTGCAGATCGAGCAGAAGATGGGGATACTTTTGAGGCTGAGCAACAAGAAATTCAGTCAAGTGAACCGAGGTCTGCCCCCGGGGGGCGGGAACCCGGTCCCCCGAAGATGGAGGATTACTTCCATTACAAGCCTTTCCAGGATGGTTTCATAAGCCCGGAGATGATATATCATTTGTTCTCGAAGTAGGTCTTCTATCCATTGCAGCAGCTTTATGATTTATCTGACGCAAAATAGTTACGAACAGTTCTTCAATCCATATTTCCCTATCATACCCCGCGAAACTTTTGATCGGACGAGGCTTCCATGGCTCTCACGTCACGAACCTCATCTGTTTTCGGCCATCCTTACTATTGCATCAAAAGATGATGAACGGGTGCACCAAGTATGCTATGATCATATGCAGCAGCTGGTCTCCATGATTTTGGCTGGAGCAGATGCAAATGTGGAAGCGGTTGAAGCTATGCTGCTCTTATCTCAATGGGTATCTCACCGGCCGCAAGCTGAAATTGCTGTTGGTCGAGGTGAAGAAGATAGAGTCGCCTGGATGTATATCGGTACGGCGCTGAGGCTTGGATACTTTCTTGGGATCGATCGAACTTCGTTCAAAAATTATGGTCACGAGGATGCCTCCAAGTTCAACCGGATGCGATTAGCTTGGTCGGCGTGTTATATATGCGATCGGCTAATCTCAGTCCGTCTGGGAAAAGGGTTTTGGGCTCGAGGTCCCGGTCCACTGTCAGGCTTGAAGTCGGACGACTTCCCAACACTGCAACCCCGTTCGCCGAACGAGGATAATTGGGCTTTGATCTTTCAGGCAAATCTGGAAATAACGCAGATATTTTCGAATGTTCATGATATTCTCTACTCGTCAAAGGGTCACGGCTGGAAGGAGATGCTGGAGGGACGATATGCGAAGTATTTAGATGACTTCCGGACTAGCATCAGAAGTTGGAATGATGTGTGGGGTACATTAATATGTGAGTTATGCGTTAGTTCTGTCAAATCCCAGACTGACAGCATTCGTTTCCAGGTTCTTCTCGTTTAAAAGCAAGCTTGCTACTGACCTATGACTATCTAAGACTTTATGTCAACGCCTTCGCATATCAAGCTACCATATCGCGTGCTTTGACGTTCCAGAGAGACAGCCAGCATACTCCCAATCGCCCCTTGCCTCTGATTAACGCTTCGGCTCCAGACGCAAGATTCATCTATGAAGCCCTGGATGCAGCGAAGTCGTTGCTCTCAACATTTAACAACTTTGTCGAACCCGAAACACTGCGCTACATGCCATCATCATACTACCTCTTCATAATCTACAGTGCCGTATTTCTCTACAAAGCCAGATCTACCACGACGATGACAGATGAAGAACGTACCGGTGTCCGCCGCATGATCAACCAAACCATTGATCGACTGCAAAAGTCTTCCGTAGGCGCAAATCAGATGGGCTCTCGCTATGCCCGACTCCTGCAACTCCTCTGGCGCAAAGCACCCAAACCAGCCGATCCTCGCAACATGTCTACGCCGCAAGTTCCAGATGACCGATACAAACGCTCGGGAATAAATGCCTCGTCCCCTCAGCCGAGGTTTAACCCCAACCAGTTCAACATGGGGGACATAAACAGTGTTGGTATGACACCCAGTGGGACATTCAGTTGGTTGGATCTAGGTGCGACTTGGAACTTTGCCACGCAGAATAATGGAAGTCATAGTGTTAGTTCAGGGGAGGTGGATGACGGGCTGCTGGATACAGGAATGAGTCCTTTTGATATGAGTTTGTTGACAGATTACTCGCTGTTGGAGGGCGATAATCCGAATTTGCTTTTCTAATGTAGCGCGTAGCTTTATGGGTGGGAGGGAATTCCTGCGGTTTCTGGGCGAACAAAAGGTATGGGGGTTCATGATCTGGCGCCCGGGTAGTATGAGAAGGTTAAGTGGGAAAATATTGTCAATATGAATATTGATGAACATTCTACAGGCCAATGGTCAACCTATTGCCTCCCATTGACATGCTCGAACTGTAGGTATTTCTCTTACCATGTTGATTATATTCACATGATCACATCAGCCTATACTTCCTCCCTTTTGACTTTTGTAAAAATACCAGGTTATCCACAAGCAATCCCGCCCGCAGCAATCCCTCCAACCCAAAGACCCTCCTCTCCAAGAGAATAATTAGAAGCAGTTCTTTAACGGCACCCTAGAGCTACCAGTCGTCCGAGGGTAGGATTCCAAAGGCTAACCAGGAATCAGGACATTGATATAGATCATAAGCGATCTAAACAATTCATCTCCCCAGAACAACAGAACCTAGACATATAAATAACTATTCTCCTAATCATCAAAATCTTGTCAGAAAGTGCCAAGTGGCATCTTTGAAATTAACGCCAAATACAAGACCTACTCTTTCCTCTCTTTTCTAGTTCTACTGTTCTAGTATATTGTAAAATAAATAAACGAATAAGATATCTTACAGTAGCAGGGAGTGTCACGAACTCAAATTTCCATCAACAAACAAGTAAAAGCCGCGTCTTCGTAAAGGAGGAGGTTGGATGTTCCTCAACCAATAAGAGGTAGCGAACTCCATAACGGAGGAGGTTGGACTTTCGTCGACCAATAGCCAGCAGCGAGAGTTTCGAAATAACAGAGGTTGAATTCTCGCGCACGAATCTTAGGGGAGGATTTATGGAAATGGGTAATTATAGCTAGGACGCTTTTGAGATCATGGAGTTTTTGCATGGTAAGGTAGTGACAGTAAGGTGTCCGCAAGCTCGCTTAAACCCCCTTTTTGCGGTGAAGAGGAGGGGGGGGGGGGGGGGGGGGATGGATAGCGAGAAGGAGAGATCCATATGGACTAAAAAGCGCCTGTCCCTCTGGCCTATTTAAAATGGTTTGGATAGTGTTGGAGGAGGTGGGGGAAGTGGAGGAATTATTCGTAGAGACTAAAAAAGGAATAATAAGGGTGTTCCTAACTTCCTATTGTCGTGTTCCCACGCGCGTGTTTACAGTACCTAAGGGGCTATTCACTGCAATAGCTCAACCCAGCCAACATAAAATATTCCCTCTATGCGAGAGTCCCAATATTTTCCTCGGATAGAGATACAAGACACCTCCTTCCTTCCTTCCTTCTTTTACTCTCGAACTCGACATCCACCATAGTTTCTCCCCTCAAAACAATTACTACACCAACTTCAGTTATTACATTCCTGGTAAGTCATTTATTTCTCCCAAACGCTGATAGTATAGTTGCGAATCTAACATTTCTTCTATAGAAGCACCACCTCAATCACTCACCCTTCACTAAATTCCCGAAAACAACACACCTCTACACACCTCTACACACACCACCATGTCTCCCACCTTACGAAAGTCTACTGTCTCTCAGGCCAAGGCCAAAAGCCCTGCCGTCAAGAGAACCACCCGCAAGGGAACCTCGGGAAAAGGATGTATCACCAAGAAAGATCCTTCCAGACCTACCATTAGGGTTGCTTTCCCCAAGGGTATCTTTGCTTTGATTATCAGCAAGCATCCGGAGATCGCGCCATCCAAGCGTCGAGCACCAGCCAAGCGCGTTAAACCGGTGAAGGAGCCCATCCCCAAGAAGGTCCAGGCACTCGAAGAGAGCCTCGGACAGTTGAAGCTGAACAAGAAGACGGTGATAATTTTGAAGACATCGAATAATCAAGTCCGGGCTGAGGAATCTCACGTGGCCGTAAGTGCTGGTGTTGAGAAGGGTCTTGAGCAGAAGGCAACTGAAGTCAATGGCGAATTGAAGAAAGGCGCTCTGGCAAAGAAGGATGGAGACACTGGAGCGATGACTGCAAGTGTTGGAGCGCAGCAGGGGCTGCAGGGAATTCCGGGATTGAAGGAAGGTGATGTCAAGATGTCGGATGGTGCACCAAAGATCACTGGAGCTCAGGCGCCCGGCCCTAAAATTCGTATCAAGTTGAATGTTTCAGGTGGACGCAAGGGCAAGGCAAGTCCGGATGATGATGAGGATAGATAGGAGGGTCAGAAGAAGCGTGCAGAGGCATAGATAGGAAGTTCTGGTCAGGCGCGCCATTCTGGGTTTGGATTGGTCTAGGGCCACATTAAGGTCTTCCATATTGGGTGTTTGCTGAATTGGAGTACAAGTGATCCGTTATTGAGAGATTTTCTGGCTAATTCTCAACCTTCAAATGCGCTTAAGGAAATTGGAGCTGGTTGAAACGATAAGTAGGTGGTTTTGATTGTTCTCACCTCCTGAAAAAAATCTTCCGTGATGCACCAACCGTTCTAGAGTAACATGCTTTCTTCTTCAACTTCACTGTCAAATGATAAGACTATGTCTGAACCTCCGTCATCATTATAATCTCCATCCCCATCCCAAAATAACACCTCGTCAGTTTGCCTCTCGACTGCTAGCCTTTCCTTATCATCGAAATAATCTAGCAGTCCTTCCTGTTCCGCGTCCCTATTATCATTTACGAATAACAACTCGTCATCAACCATGAATTCATCTCCAATAAGGCCCCCCCGGTCTATGCTCATCCTCCTCTTGCTATCGAGTTCCTTCTCTTTATCACTTGGGGCCAGGAGATCCTCGTCTTCGCCTAGCTCCTCTGCATCCACTCTTCTATCCATATAGGAAGTTTCGCATTGTAGCTTACTGGCAACAGCCGGGTCAAATAGCTTTCTCTGCATGGTACCCCACAGTCTTGTCTGTACCACAGCGCTTAGTCTCTCCACTGATCCGTGCTGCCCAGATCCTTCTCGATATACATCATCCAACTCAGATACTTTCGCATTCGTCAGTGCAATTAACTTGCTTCTCAATCCCGGACCCTGGCAATTCCGCACCCAAGACGACGAAAATGCATGAAGAATTGTGGGTAGAAATCGAGAATTATGTGCCATCAACTCCTTGTATCCAGGACAGAAAATTGCCGGTGCGAGACTAGATAACGTGGTTTTTGGAGGCGCTTTTTCGACAGTAATATTTGCCAGGCTTCGCCTACTAGAATAACCGCCTATAAGGATACAGAGAGCGCTGGAAACAAGCTCGCAGGAAGACGGAAGTGAAAGTATTGCATGATTAGTATCTCCAGTAGAAAGCAGCAGAGGCCGTTTTCGAGAGACCGAGGAGGTAGTAGACATCAAGAAAGTTTCAGTGGACGAATGGGATGTCAACGAGGGTACATTATCTGTGTACTCTGGCAAGCTCTTGTCGCCATGGCAGAGCTGTTCCGATTTTCTATTTAGTGAGACCTTTTCATCAGGTATAGAGAGTAACATATCATCGGTGTCGAATATATCAAATTGTTCGGGCAGGTGAGTGTGCTCGTCTACATGTTCTAGCAACATTTCATCCGCAACAGTTTCAACTTTCGGTGATCGAAGCGAACGGCTGCGAGCCTTGCTGAACCAACTATTCAACTGACCTGGGGAGGAGGAAGAGTTTAGTACCAAATGCGAAAGATGAGGTAGGGGCGGAACAATACTCCTCTGCAAACCAGTTTCCTTCATTAACTCCAACTTCTCATCCGGGGTAGGATAAGGGCAGGAGGTATTGGTCTCCAGCCACGCTTTCAGTTTGTCGGTTATTTCTTTGGGGTATCGCCCTTGGATTTTTCTTCCTTTGACGTCATGGCGTGCAGCGATGGTGGATGTGGAAGAAACGGTCGTTTCAGAGTTTTGATGCTTTTTCCGGGCTGAAAATACCGTGCGGTTGGATAAAGTTGGGTTGGGTTCTTGACCTGATGTGGTTTTGGGTTGCTCAACGCACTTATCTATCAAGCCTGGAGGGCCACAGGATTGAACATCCACAACTTTTTCAAAGTGCTCTAGATGGGTCTTGTCCCAACGCAAGGGCCGGTCGAGCAGCAGCGCCGACTCTGATAGGTCTTTTTTTTGTGGACATGGCTTCAGTCTTTTTTGTGTGTGTGGAGTTTCCCCCTGAATTGTATGAAAGTCTAATTGAACATGCAGTCTCTCCAGTTGAGTACAGAGGACACAATCTGGAGCTCTGACGGCGATATTGTCCAATACCCAACCGCGTGGCTGAGGTTGGGAGGCTGTGGAGGAGACTCCTTGACTGATATGAATCGAGAAGTCGTTTTTCGATGCTGCGAGATAGTCCAACTGAGGAATCTCGAGCGAGCTTGACAATGACAGCTGAGACCATAGCTTAAGGGAATTAGCAGCCGCCTCGGACGAGGAAGACCTCACTTACACCCGCATCACGAATATGATACCCCAGAGATTCTAGAACTTGGATACGGTTCACTTTGTCTAGCGGTTTACCATTGAATAAAATTTGGAAGTCAATTCGGCATGCTGTGTCGAGACCTACCCACATAGTTCCAGACCTTAAGGCACTGGCCACGTCGATCCTATCCAAAGACGTAAGGATGCCGGGTGGCAGTCTGAACGCTGCACTTGAAGTGACAGATAATTTTATTTCCTCTTTGGGATAGGACAAATGCAGTGAGTCCAGCTGGAAGATCTTCAAAGACATTGCGGCACATCATGCCCGATACCAGCAAGAAGCTCTACCGTGGAGTGCCATCTGGAGGCTGCAGTGCTGTAGTGCTTGGAGAGCGGCTAAATACAGGTAAAATGGAGGCATTAGTTGATAGGTTCGTCAGTATCGTATAGTGAAGCATTGGGCCACACAGTTCCCTGTCATTGGCGATAGACGATAGGTGAAGAGAGGAACGGTTGTAAAGTTTGAAGCATCATCGGAAATATACTGCCGCCGCTAAACGCTATCTGGCGCTACACCGCCCAAGCAAATACCGAATCAGACCGAGTCCCCGAAGATAGGACATACGCCGGTACAGGGCATACACCGGCGCGCAAAACGGTTGCAACGGCAACATTCGAACATTTTGATGGCTTTAAGCAATGTTGGATCAATTGTCCTAAATATCCTCGTCTTCATTACAGCCCTGGTGAACTTCAGCTACACACTCACGACTCTTGAACCATTCGTCCTGCTCGTGTTGTATGCGACATCCAAGCTCCTCATGACCAGGCCAGAGAAAGGAATATTCACGAAATGTCGTCAGCGCCATCTCTACCAGGACGGATGACAGTGATAGGTCCTGAGAATGGCTACGAATCCCCGGGTTCGCCTAGTCTCCAGAGACTGCAGTCGAAGCGCAGGCGAAAGCGTGGAGAAAGGAGGAGGTTGAGACCCTCGACAAGCGCAGACGAATCGAGCGGGGAGGCAGGAGGTCTGGAGACTGGAACATATATAATAAATGGAGGGGCAGGGTCAGAGAAGAAATTCGGTGATTTGAAGAGGCCACGAAAGACGGCGGGGTTTCGAGATCGCATCGGGTGCTACACATGGACGTGGTTTACAATGAACATGGCAACTGGGGGGATTGCCAATGTTCTACACTCGAGTACGATATCCCATATGGCCCTCTTGAAGTTCTGACCTGACGTGGTGCAGTTCCTTACAGGTCCGACTGGTTACGGATAATTGGAATTGTGGTTTTCCTCTTCAATGTTTTCCTGTTTCTTATGAACTGCCTTCTTCTTACGTTGAGGTTTCGGTGGAATCCAGGGTCCTTTCGTCTTTCCTTTATAAGCCCATCTGAATCCTTGTTTATTCCCGCTTCTGTGAGTACACGCCTATACCAGGAGAATTCAGCGTACTAAATGCGAATCCAGGTTGTTTCGTAAGTCCACCGAAGCTAATACGAGGCGCAAAAACTGACCGTCCACAGAACAGGCACGATTCTCATAAATTCTTGCCAATATGGAATACCGGAAACGGGAGAATGGTTTCAAACAACTATGCAGGTGTGCTTCTGGGTATATGTTGCCATAGCTGTAGTGGCCAGTGCAGGTATATATCTGATCATTTGGTCAACCCAGTAGGTATCCTTCCCCTCAATGTTTGCAGATGCTAACACGCCTAAGAACATTCCCAATACACACAATGACGCCAATTTGGATCTTTCCCGCATATCCTCTTCTTCTTACTGCACCATTTGCAGCCAATCTCATCGACTCATTACCCGACGCCGCTGCGGCGGCACGGATAAATTCTACAGCTGTAGCTTTTGGTTCAATCTGCGTACAAGGCACTGGGTTCCTCGTCAGCTTGATGATCTACGCTGCGTTTATCTACCGTCTTATGACTCAAAAGCTTCCCCGTGAAACTGCGCGACCCGGCATGGTAAGAAGCCATCCCTACAAATTAGGTTGATCCAAGGCTTTTCACCATATTTCACTAGAACTATCGCTAACATACACAGTTTGTCTCCGTTGGTCCCAGCGGCTTCACTGTGGCCGGAATCGTGCACCTTGGGAATACCGTCATGCAGAAAATCATGCCAAACGGGTATCTAGGCAATGACTCTGCGGGATTCTTCTTCAAGATCGTCGCCGATATCGCCGGCCTCTGGCTCTGGGGGCTCTCGTTATGGTTCTTCATCGTGAGCGTCGGCGCCCACTGGCAAGTACTGCAATTCCGCAACGCCAAGCACCACATGCACTATGACATGACGTGGTACTCGTTCGTGTTCCCGAACACGGCCATGATCACCGCTACGCAGGCTATCGGCAGGACGTTTGAGAGCGATGCGATCCAGATCTTCGGGACCGTGTTATCGGTCATGTTAATCGTGCTGTGGATTTTTGTTTTCGGAATGATGCTCAGGGCGCTTTATCTCCGGCGCATCCTCTGGCCGGACGAGGATATTGAGGGGACGGAGATGCCAGCGAAGGAGTTGGAGCCGGGTATTAACGATGGCGTTGCGATCAACGGTGGAGTTACGGGGAATCATCCCGGTGGAGTTTAATTTTGTCACGGGAATAATACCCACCGTCGGGAGGGTATTGACTTGGGTAGGTAGATATGCTCGATCAAATAAAACGTCGCTGTTACCATATAGGTGGGTAGGTGTATTCTCTGAGGAGAACTCGGAACACCATCTCTCTACCTACTACCTTGGCTATTTATCTATATAACTACCTAGACGCTTTAGATAGCGTCCAAGTAGCCAATCCTAATCTATGTTCTGATATACCATACACGAGGTAGAATCCTTGCCTTGATTCCTTTCTACCTTATCTCACTGATTTCAAATATCCATTTCACTCATAGGTTAGGGGAACATGTGAATGCATGCGGGGTGATAAGAGTCAAATCCCGCAGTCGAGTTTTCAGATGCATATTTTCATCAGTCAGTCAAGTCCTTGCTTATCTCCCCTCAGCATTGATCACTCTCATTATGAGAGTCTTGCTGTCTTGATATCATAAATTCAACGTACTGTATTCTATTGTTTCCCTGTTTTTATTTCCTGGCATTCTTTTGTTTTTACTTTTTTTTTTTCGTATTCGGTTTCACATTGCCCATCCGCAAAAGTCTGGATACCTCGGCAAAATAGAGTTGGTCCTGTAGCTCCAAGGCACAGACCAGTCCCCAGATAATCACCCCACCTCACCCCACCCCAATCCCCATCATCATCCTTATCTACCTTACTTACCTTGCCTTCCTTACCTTACCTACCTTACCTACCTATTCCTCCCTTCCCTACCTTATATACCTACATACCTCCAACGATACATTCTTGTCCCCAAATCATCTAATAATTTCAAAATGTCACAACCGCAAACCCTCCGCCTCGGCGTCTCGCAATCCCACACGCTGGCCAGCACCTCGTTAACGCTGCAAGCACTGGAGCGCAGCGCGCTCGCCGCGCGCCGGCAATCGATCGATCTGCTGCTATTCCCCGAGGCGTATCTGGGCGGGTATCCGCGGACGGCGACGTTTGGGGCGGCGGTGGGGGGCCGGACGCCGGAGGGGCGAGAACAGTTCCTGAGGTATTTTAAGGGGGCGGTGGATCTGGGGGATACGCCGGAGGGGGCGGGGAGAAGGTGGGTGGAGAGGGAGTTGGAGAGGTCTGGGGAGGGAGGAGGGGTTAGGGGAGATGGGACGAGGGAGGAGTTGGAGAGGATCGCGAGAGAGTCGGGGGTGTTTATAGTGACGGGCGTGGTGGAGAGGTGTGGGGGAACGTTGTACTGTGCCGTGGTGTACGTCTGTCCGCGCTTGGGGTGCGTGGGGAAGAGGAGGAAGGTTATGCCGGTGTGTTATTTTGATTCTCTCTTTTTCCTTCTTGTGCACGGGTCTATATGGCAGTCGAGAGCTACGAATGGGGGCTAATTGGCAAGCAGACAGGCAGCGAACGACTTATCTGGGGCCAGGGCCAGCCGTCCTCATTGCGCGCAGTCACAACGACTATCCGTGGTGTGAAACTCACCCTCGCGGCTGCGATATGCTGGGAGAATTACATGCCGCTCCTTCGGCAGTCACTATACAGCCAGAACGTGAACCTCTACCTAGCGCCGACCGCCGATGCGAGAGACACATGGTTGCCGCTGATGCGGACTGTGGCTTGTGAGGGCCGATGCGTGGTGCTCAGTGCCAACCAGTGCATGAAAAAGGCCAATCTCCCTAGTTGGATCACGGCCGTGGAGAGCGGTGGAGCGATCCAAGCGAATGGCCCCGCCCCGCGTCCATTTGCAAGGCCGCGGAGAAAATCAACCATCTCGGACGATGGGAACGAGATCGTCCTCCCGAGCCCCATACAAGACGCGTTCAATGAAGAAATATCCCAAGGGAAGAAAGGCGCCGACGAATACGTCTCCAGGGGGGGCTCATGCATTATCTCTCCCCTGGGAGATGTCCTCGCGGGGCCGCTGTGGGACGAGGAGAATGGGCTGCTGACGGTTGATGTCGATTTCGACGACTGTCTGAGGGGCAGACTGGATCTTGATGTTGGGGGAAGTTATTCGAGGTATGCGCTACAGTCTCTTGGGATGCGGACATGTGAGCTGACTTGGAAATGCAGGAACGATTCGTTCAAGCTGACTGTTGATGGACTCGACCTGAGCCCCCCGCCGTGAGGGTTGATTTTAGGGTGTAGGTGTTGGCTTTGATCTGTCTCGCTCGCAGGCGGAAAGGGGGGGTTGTTGAAGGGCTGATTTGGCCTAGGGCGCTTCGACCATAGTTCGATAGTTCTTAGGTACTCTCTCCATAGGTACGGTAAGCGGTCTTAATTGAAGTCAATGATCATGGATGGTTATCATTACCCCAATGAGGGGTAATGGCGAGGGCAATGACAATCAGCCATTATATGACCGACCGTAGCCTGACTTGTAATCGATTACGCTGGGGGTAACTCTTAAGGAGTGTCACGTGCCAGAACTGGCAAAGCAGCTGATCTCTATGAAGGCGATTTGGATTCCCTCCCTCGATGGCTCCGCATCTCGTCCCATCCCATCGTTGAAGGTCGGTAATCCCTCTCGTAAGTTGGACGTTGGAAGTCTCCAGGTGCGACACCCGCGCACTCGACCTGCGAATCAGCTGAAGCTCGACGCGTCTGTCGCCATGGGGATGGGAGAGGGGATGATTAATTCCTTATGTCAGCTAGCCCAGTAACCCGTTGCAGTTAGAGGGCAATTTCGGAGGCCTGGCAAGTGGCGCCGGCAATCGACTCGATCTGTTTCCGCTCGTCTATCTCTGCTGACCCGTCTTTGCATCTGGAAGCGAGTTCTTTGTCTTCTGCGGGAGAGAAAGTGCCTTGGGGATATTGCTGGAGGGGTGACGTCGATGTTGATTGATATTCGTGTAGTTGATACAGACTACAGTAGTAGTAGTAGTACTACGAAGCTGTACATTAGTCGATTCGATGGGAGGTGGTCATAGTTAGTTTAACCTTACACCTTACCTGCGGGGACCTCCCTTGGGAACGGAAAAAAGAAAAAAGAGAGAAATTTGGATGAGACACCAATCTCGGCTAGAGCCAAGCTCAAGGTACGCGAGACGGGCGATCCACTGTCGCCCCGTGACGGTGCCTGGGACCTGGAGAGATATGATTACTGGACATATCTTAGAAGATAGAAGAGATATATAAAAAGAGAGAGTGAGGCTGATGGTCATGATGCACAGGTGCACTCTCGACATGTATCGGGATGGTCTGTAAGGTTTGGGGGGGAATCATGTGTGGAAGAGAGGCTAAGAGAAGGGGGGCCTGACGTCAATTTCAGCTGAGCAAGCTCCCAGCACCCGACGATCTGGGTACCTTAGGTCAATAGGGATGTGGTGAAGGGATGGATGGATGGATGGATCAATGGAGGGATGAAGGGATGGACCATGGACCAGTGATAACAGATGCAGATAAACACTAGATCCCAATCCCATGTCGCAGAATTCTGCTCTTCGTGGGGCGCATCGCACGGTGGCTCGGCTCTCCCTCTCTCTCTCACCGCCGCGTTGGATTGCTTCATTTTTATTTTCATCTTCGCGACCAAGCTACACCTTACAACACCGCGCACAGCACATTCACCCGTTATTCCTGCTGATCCTCCCCACATCTCGCCCGCGCGCGCCATATCAGCTGCGGATCAACTGCCTCGTGTGTGCACCGCAAGGACTACTACTGGAATCTAGTCCGTCGATGATCCCCGCCCCCCTGCCCCATCCCCCCCCGGTCCAGCGGTCTCTCACTTCTCTGACTCGCAGAATTCTTTCTCTTATATCCATGTCGCCCTCCCTCCCCCACGCGCGCACGACCTCCGCCGCAAGAGTGACCAGAGTGACCAGAGTGACAAGAGTGCCCCGTGTGAAGATATTCATCCGAGTAGGAAGACCTCTTGCCTCTCGATCCTAGGATCGCTCAACAACCTCCCCTTCTGCCGCGCGACCTTCTCGTCGCCGCACCTGTCGTCGACATGGTACGCACCCCTTTCCGTGGTCTCTCCAAATACATACATATCTACCCTGCATGACCTCCCCTTTCACGCCTGTCGCTGACCTTCTAAACCCTCCCCCAGAGTTCCAACTCCTCCTCGACAGACTCCACAACTACCTCCGGTTCCTCGGCGTCCGCCTTTCTTTCCACCTTCATTCCCGTTGCTGTGCAAGCGGGCGCGTTCTTTATCGTTTTCCTTCTATTGCGATCCAAGTTCAAGCGAGTCTATCGTCCGCGGACATTCCTGGGCACACTCCCAGAATGGTGCGTCAGCCTACCCCAGGGGACGCGAGCTGTGCTGACCGTGGTGCAGGGCGAGGTCGAAGGAGCTCCCCGATTCCAAGCTCGGGTGGTTCAATGCGTTCAGGAAGGTCCCCGACGAATATCTGATCGCACACCACTCGCTCGACGGATATCTTTATCTGCGCTATCTGAAGATGCTCACAGTCATCTGCTTCGGCGGATGCTGCATTACATTCCCCATTTTGTTTCCTGTTAATGGAACAGGGGACGGGAATGAGAAGCAATTGGATCTTTTGTCCTTCAGTAACATCGGGAAGGACCAGAAGAACAGGTACTATGCCCATACCTTCGTGGCATGGATCTTCTTTTGTAAGTAAACAACAGCATTCCAGTGGGAGGCTTTGCTAAGACAGCCAGCTTTTGTGATGTTTGTCATCACACGAGAAACCATTTTCTTGATCAATCTGCGTAACGCTTACCTCCTCTCTCCTTTTAATGCCGAAAAGATCTCCTCAAGGACAGTCTTATTCACGGATGTCCCTACCGAGTACCTGAACGTTGAAAAGCTGCAAGAACTCTTTGGCGCCGCATTTCGAAGAGCATGGCTTGCAACAGACTGCTCGGAACTCGACGACGACGTGGAAAACCGGGACAAGGCCGCGATGAAACTGGAGGCTGCTGAGATCAAGTTATGCAAGAAAGCGAATAAGCTGCGGATCAAGGAGGAGAAGAAGGCCGCGAAAGAGAAGAAGAAATCCGAGAAGAAGGCCAAGAAGGGAAGCGAAGAACCGGAGAAGAAAGCCTTGAGTGAGAAGAGAGAACCATCCCATGAAGATACGGACATTGAAGCGGCTCCGGTCGCATCAAGATATCTCATCCAGAAGGACCGTCCCACACACAGGCTTGGCAAGATACCCTTGATTGGGAAGAAGGTGGACACAATTGATTGGTCGCGATCTGAGCTCAAGACACTCGTCCCGAAGATTCAGGAAGAGCAAGCCAAGCAGCAAAAGGCCGACGGAACGCTTCTCCCTGCGGTCTTTATTGAGTTCAAGACCCAGCAAGCTGCCCAAGCTGCCTACCGGAAGATGACTCCCCGCAAGGCCCCACACATGTATCCCCGCGCCATCTCTAGTACCCCCGACGAGATTATCTGGAAGAATCTAAAGATCAAGAAGTACGAGCGGACGGGCAGGAAGTTTGCAACCAACAGCTTCCTCACTGCTATGATCATCTTCTGGGCTATTCCAGTCGCGGTTGTCGGTGCAATCAGTAACATCAACTACCTGACTGACAAGGTTCATTTCCTTCGATTCATCGATCATATTCCCCCGGTCATTCTTGGTGTTGTCACTGGTTTGCTTCCATCCGTTCTCTTGTCTGTTCTGATGTCATTGGTGCCGGTTGTCTGTCGATGTAAGTTCCCCTTATATACTTATTGGATCCTTACTAAACCGTTGACCAGGGATGGCAAAGCTCAGCGGCGAAGTGACGCTTCCAGCAGTTGAGCTGAAAGCTCAGCATTGGTACATGGCATTCCAGGTGATACAGGTTTTTGTGATCACCACATTCTCCTCCGGAGCAGCATCAGTCGTGACTCAAATCATCAAGAAGCCGGGATCGGCAACAACGCTCTTGGCTCAGAACCTACCCCATGCTTCCAACTTCTACATTTCGTATATTATCGTGCAAGGCCTTGGTATTGCCAGTGGGAACCTCCTGAACATCGGGGGTCTCGTCATGCTGAACTTCGTTGGTAAATTCCTCGACGGATCTCCAAGGAAGATGTACAACCGATATACCGGGCTGGGTAGCTTGGGTTGGGGAGCGATATATCCCCAGTTCGGAAACTTGGGTGTTATTGGTATGCCCTTCTTTCTATTCATATAGGCCGTTCCTAACATGTCTCCAGCAATCACATACTCGATCATCGCCCCATTGGTCATGGGCTTTGCCACCGTAGGTTTCGCACTCATCTACTTCGCAACACGCTACAACTCCTTCTACGTCCTTAGCAACAACATCGACACTAAAGGAGCCGCCTATGCGCGCGCAATACAGCAACTCATGACAGGTGTCTACCTCGCAGAAGTGTGTCTCATCGGACTCTTCGCCATCAACACCTCTCCTGGTCCCATCGTGCTTATGGCCGTCTTCCTCGGAATAACTGCCGTTTACCACGCCATCATGCGCCATGCCCTCAGGCCGCTGACTAGGTATATCCCCGATAGCCTGGATGGCGACGCAGTGTTCTCTACAGCCGACCATCGTTCCTACGATCTTTCTAAAGCGGGCGTGCCACCAAGTGAAGCTGTCCCTGTCACCTCATCCAACAAGATCGTCAACACAAAGGAAGCCCTCCTCTCTCGATTCTTCTCCCCCCAGAAGTACAAATCCTTCCAAACCGTCCAGGCGCTAGTACCGAGTTATGGACCGCCCGAGTATTTGGAAGAGGAGGAGCAGCTTGCTTACTACAACCCATCGCTGACAAGCGAACCACCTGCGCTCTGGATCGTGCGGGACGAGATGGGGATCTCCAGGCAAGAGTGTAAGGACTCCGGGGAGGTAATCTCCATCACGGACGAATACGCGCGGTTCGATGAGAAGAACAAAATCGTATGGGACATGGAACTTCTAGACTCGGACCTGGACAAGGTCCCAGTTTACGAGAAGCATATTGAATATTAGACGTGCTGTTATGGCGGACTGGCTATGATATACCAAGGGGCGCCTAGAGAAAGGCCGGATGTCGTTTTGTTTGTTTAGTTGATAAGATTCCCTGGCGAGTTTTGGGTCTATGTCTTGTTCCTGTCCAGGCTAGGGACAGCGATGGAATGTTGGAAATGGGAGCGTATCAAATCAGTATAAATGGCACGCGTGGAGAGTGCGGGTGGTACTTGGGTAGCATCAGCAATGGCGAGGATTAGGGCATTCCCGCTTACCACGCTCTCGAAAGCTTTGTATTACGCACGCATAGGTAGATAGATAATGTTAATGCTTTCCTTAGCTAGCTCGCTCGAGATAGAACATGACTTTCTCATGAACTATCTGCTGTCTTTGTGTCTGTAGAATAGGTAAATATGTTGACGAATACGGGTTAGATTCTGGGCGAATCCCGGAATCCTTCCCACGTGATGTCCTGTCGCGACGCGTCTATCGCGACCACAGCTTGATCAACACTTAGCGACGAGCGCAATTGCCAATGCTCTTCACACGAACATGAACCCTTCACCATGTCCGTCTCAATACCCACAACCTCCGCTCTCTCTCCCTCGCAACTAGTTCCCTCAACACACCCCACAGTGTCGAAAATGCTCCAGAGGCTTTCGCGACCCTCGCTCCTCTCCCTCGTTCTCGACTGGCTCGACGAGAAGAACCAAGAAATCACCGCTCCCTACCTGTTAGGGCCGGACGAGGACCCCGACGAGCAGGACCCATACCCAGCCTGCTCCTCTCTTGGCGAGCTACGGGAAATCTACAGCGATTTGCAGGCGCGAAAGGGGAGTAAGAGGGATGTCGTGGATCGGATAGTAGAAGGCGATTGGCGGGATGGCCTTACTTTATATCAGCTGGCAATGGCCGACATGCAATACCTCTACGACCACCCAACGTCGCAGAAATGGTCCGCATTAAAAATTGTACCTCTCGCCCCTCCCAGTCCCTCAGCGAAACCCGCAACCGTCCCGCGATTCCACCCGTCGACCTTCCTCCAGAACCTGCAGCGGGAGGTGCTGCCGGATGTGAAAGCGCACTACAACCTCGATCGCCATGCGACTCTCCCTCTCTGGATTCTCCGGATCTACATCATCGACTCGCCCTACAACACCCCCCTCGCGCTCTCCTCCAAGGCCGGGATGGCTCCTCTCTCCTTTGACAGCTCCCGGCTCTTTTACGTCGCCTTCCCCGACGCCTCGCCCTACATCTACGTCTCTCTCACGACGGCCAGCGCGCCCTCCCCAGGCTCGCTCTCCGACAACCGAAGCCTGCGCCGACTCACCCTGGAAGGGATCCCGAAAGCGTTCTCGCGCCCGCGCGAACGGTATCGGTTGGAGGGCACGGGCCTGAGCGCGCGGAATCTTCACGCGTTGTGCGAGAGCCGTGGCGGGGGGCGCACCAACGCCGCCGGTGGCGGGTGGAGCGTGTACGCGGACGAGGAGCGCAGGGATAACCCGCTGGACATGACGGTGCATCTACCGACGCCGGAATCGCAGATGGGGGAGAGCGATGAGGAGGGGTCGGCTGAGAAGCCGCCGCAAGTGCGGGGCATGAAGAGGAGGAGGGAGGATGACGAGGGGGTGGTGCAGCGGCGGAAATTGGTCGCGCAGGGGAGATTTGGGAACTCGGCGAGGTTTGGAGATGGGAAGGGTATCGAGCGCCTGGATATCAGGCTTGAAGATCCATTCCCCGCGCCCGTCTCGCTACCCTCTGGGTCCTCTCCTGACGGGGATTTGGATCGGGGGGCAAGGAGGGGGGAAAGGAGGAAGGGGAGAAGAAGTACGATAGATCAGGAGCTGGATAGACATAAGGAGGAGGAAGACGACGCAGAAGGGTCCTGGAGACCAGATATCAGAATCACGTTCCAAGGCGCGCATCTCTTCGCTGGGATACGGGCACTCGTCGAAGCGGGGGTTGTGGATGGGGAGAAGATGCCTGGGTGGATGACGGGCGAGGAGGGCGTGAGTGTGGGTGTCGTAAGGGAGGGAAGGATCCGCGGAGGGAGGGGAAATGCGTTATGAATGGGGGGAAAGGGGATGGGTTTGGTGGGTGGCTTCATGATTTCACGGAAAGGATTTTGGCGTCTGGAATGCTGGGGTTATGCTTGCTTTTATGTGTGAATGATGGATGGAACGTTTCATTGCGTTGGCTATGTGTATGATATGTAGATACCTCGGTATAAGAATGGAGAAGCAGCATCGAAAGCCAAAGAATCAAACGAAACACTCAGATCTAATGCTATCTCTCCCCCAACCCAAACATCCTCACAGTATTCGTCCACGCCGCCTCCGTCAACTCCTCCAAGCTGATGCCTTTAATCCTCGCCACGGCCCACGCCACCTTCCCAATCATACACGGTTCATTCCTACCCTTGACCAGCGCGCCCTCGACCCACTTCTCCTTCTTCACACTCTTCCACTCCTCCAGCGGCATATCGCTCAGAAACTCCGCACTCGCATGACTCGGCCTCATCTCGCACCACGGCCCATCCGTCTCCAACTGGATCCTCTCCAATGGCAGCTTCCTTACCACCTCTATATTCTCCGCTGTCTTCAACGAGCACCCGTTGACCCCAATATCAAACCCCATCTCCACCAACTCGCGCATCTCTTCTTCCGAGCCCGTGAAACTATGCACCACGCCCCGCCGTGGCAGCTTCTCCAAGCGGTCGCGCAGCAGCCGCGCGAAATCCGCATGCGCTGCCCGCGAGTGGAGGAATAACGGCAGCTGCACCTCAATCGCGATGTCTAGCTGCGCAGCGAAGTACTGCAATTGCACGTCCTTAGGGCAGAGAGTCAACCTGTCGTAATCGAGACCGATCTCGCCGAAGGCGACGCAGTGCCCGCTCTCCTTGGCAGCGAGAGCGAGGGTGCGTAGCTCAGCGAGCAGTGCGCTGGGCCCCGTGGCATGGGAGGGAAATTGAAGACATGAGCAAGGATGGACACCCACTGTGTTGTAGATGAAGTCCGCTGTTTGTTTGTCCTCTGGTTAGTTGGTTGGAAAGAAGAGGAACAGAGGGGGCGTACGATGCGCTTTTGATAGTTCGACGGCGTGCGCAGATTCGTGGACGTCGGAGCCAGTCACGATTAGCTTTTGGCAGCCAGCGGAGCGGGCCCGGGTGAGCACGCCTTCGAGATCGGGAGGGTGTCGCTGGGCGCCGTGGTATAGGCCGGTGTAGACCGGGTCTGTGAGGTTGATGCCTATCTACTGTGCGCGGGGGTGGTTAGTCGCGAGGAGCCAGCGGAAGAGGGAGGAGGGGGTTATACATCTATGAAGCGCGGTTTGAAGACGCTGTTCGCGGCTTCGGGAGGGGCGGGCGCGGACATGACGAGGCTGCGGATACGGGAATAGTGAAGGAGGGTCGAGACTCGGGATTGGAAGCACAGTAGCTGCCGCGGGAGGGAAAGCCGGGGCATGTGGCGTTGGGGTCGTGAGGTGCAATACAATCGAGATCTCTCCCTGAGCTTCTCTATCACAATAGAAGTGAAGTGAAGAAAATGCGGTCGACGCGACGTGAGGCGGCTGAGTCAGCGAAGTTGCGGCTCCGTCTTTGTGATCGGTGGGGCTCGCTTGCTGCTAGTACGTTAAGCGAGCCGAGAATTACCTAAGGTACCTTACCTTACTGGAGATGGTACCTTACCTTACTCAGGCGCTAATCACCCTCGGCGCTGTCAGGTGACCTAAGCGACACCTTGTAAGGTAGCATATCCACCCCCACATCTTCTATCAAAGCACCTTCCCATCTTTAAACGCGCCTGCCATCTCTACATTCAAACCTTCAAGATGTCGTCTCCTGCTGCTTACTCCAGCTCCTCCTCTCATTCCGACACCCTCCCATTGCACGAAAATGTACCTCTACCGCACAAAGACACTCTCCTACACAAAATGGCACCACCCCTTCTTCGCCATCAAGCATCACTCGAGTCTGTACTAGACTTCGCTACGACACCGCCATTCACTCCGGACGAAGGAATACAAGGACGTGCGGCATTCATGAAAATAATCGACCATTCCAGCTCCTACGAGCTGACCCTCCCTCTTGTTCATCGGAAGCCATACAATCGAGGCAAATTGCTCTGGCTAGTACACGAACATGCGATTTCGGATTATGCTCGAGATAATATCCTTGTGTACTTCCTTACAACATTACTAGAGAGTCCCGGACCTCCGCACGGCTTTTCTGATGCTCTTGCCGATCTGGCCGGGTTCGAGGAGAAGAGCAAAGAAGAAAAGGATCAAATCGCACAGAGGGTCCAAGAACTAGCTGACCATCTTGTCGATTACTTCTTTCTACCTTGTAAGTTCGTGTAAGCAAGCAGGTATCTTGGCAACCACTGATCTTTTCACTTTGGCAGTCAAGGGCTTATCTGCGAAAACGCCCCAACCAACACCCCGCCTGTCCGCCCCACTCCAGCAAGACGATAATACACTAGTAGGAACTACCCAGCGGCTCAAATCACTTCGAGGGAGATGTCTTCTACGGGATCGCCATCGATGTGTGATCTCGCGCCTCTTTGACGCAGAAGAAGCAGATCGCCGTCTTGAAATAAATGGTCGTGATGCAACAGATGACGATGGGCTACCTCTTATAAATGAGGAGGTGGAATATCTTGAAGTTGCCCATATAATCCCACATGCGCTAGCATCTTCGGATGACCCTTCAAAGCTACTAGTTTGTTCTCTCTCCTCTGTGTAAAGCGAAGATACTAATTCAATTTTAGGGTAATGGCAAGGCATACGCTTTGCGGGTTCTCGATATGTTTGATCCTGGCATTATCCACTTGGTTCAAGGCGCTAACATCGACCGACCGTACAATGCTCTTACTTTATCACTCGGTTTTCGTCGACATTTCGGAAGCCTAAAGATCTTCTTTGAGGCTGTACCTGGTTTCCCAAATAGATATATAATCAAGGCCACAAACCCTCTCTCACGGTTCCGCCCTACGTTGCCTATTACCCGAGATCTTTTTATTACCTCTGATCACAACATCGATCCTCCTATGGCCCGCCTCCTCGCCATTCACCGAGCCTGCTGTCTGATCATGCACCTAAGTGGTGCTGGAGAGTATATTGATAAGGTCCTCCGGGATATGGAAGAAATCGGTGTAAGGAGTGACGGGACAACAGAGCTTGGCAGTATAATAAGCCTAAGGCTTCACCAGCGAGGAGAGCAGGCGAAAGTATTTTAGAGAGCCTGCGGGCATTCATGCGTTCATGTACTTTTACTATAGTGCTCTTATTAGTCAGATAAAGTGCTAGCCCCTTGAATTGCATGTAGGCTGTACAATAGGTCCTTATAGGTTAGGTTTCTATAGGTAGGACCTAACCTATAAGGATCTAACCTATAGGGTAGGTTTAGACTAGTAGGTAGGCCCTAACCTATAACCTAACCTATAGGTTACTAAGACCCTAACACGTGATTTAAGCCTTAATAATATTACGTAGTAGTATAATAATTATAGTTTATACTAATCTTTATACTAATTACTTTATAAGGCGTTATTTAATAGATTATATTTAGGAATTTATAGAAAATATACGACAGAATTATACCTTATAACTTATAATCTTATTACTATTCTATTTTAAATTTAGCTTTATAGCCTTTTACCTCTTAGTATAGTATACTTAAGAATTCTATTACATATAGACTATACAAGCTTTATATCCTTTTACTAAATTATAACTTATTTAGTATAAATAGTAACAAGATTTATTACTATATATTGTTTAATTAGTATAAAGATTAGTATAATAGATTAAATACTTATAAGAAAACTTAGTAGTTAATATAGCCTCTATAGATTCTTATAAGGCTTTTATTACGCTTCTCTAGACTTAGAATTTAAGGCGTAGCTAAAGTATAATCTCTTTTACTAGCCTTATAAAAGGTACTTATAGTATTAATAGTTTAGTAGTCTTTTAGTACTTTCTTATTTCTCTTAGCGTTATAGCTATTAAATTTATTAGTAGAGTTTTTATACTAATCTTTATACTAATTAACTTACTACCTAGTTTAAATCTTTGTCTTTTAGCCTAAGGGTTTAGACTATTTAGCTAGTTAGGCTAGTTAGGCTAGTTAGGTTAGTTAGGCTGTCTAGAAAGCCTTTTACTAGATTAGAGGCGGCGTACTATAGCTCTTTTTAGTAGTATAGTTAGACAACTTAGTTGTATAAGTAGTAGCTTTTAGCTTTAGGCTTTACGCTATTTTATAATTACGATTAACGAATAGTAGATAAGAAGACTAATAAAGTTAGTATAGTAAGAGGTATAAGGGGTAAAGAAGTAAAGAAAGGCTTGTATACTAAATTAAGGTTAGCTTAATAAAAGAAAGGTAAGTAAGTAGTAAAGAGTTGTCTATTTATATATTATAAAAATAAAGGCTTAGTAAATTTTTAGTAAAATTAATTTACTTTATAACTAACTACCTTACTTATAGTACTATAATAATAGTACTATATAATATAATAAGAATAAGGACAGTAAGATACGTTAAACGCGTCTATTTATTATTTATTTTAATTATTATACTAATATTTTTACTAATCGTATAAAAGAGTATTATAAAACATTATATAGAAAATTTTAAAGTATTATTTAAACTTATTACTAATTTACTTTTAAACCTTTCTCTTCTCTCTTTTCTTTTTTTATCTTTATTTTATACTTATACTATTTAATAGTCTAAATATAGAATAAAGAGTCTAAAGAACTAAGAGTCTATTAAATTAGCCTAAATATTAAACAAAGAGTCTAAAAGTAAAGTTATAGCCTAAATATTAAATAAAGAGTTTAAAAGTAAATTAATTTTACTAAACATTTTTTACTTTTACTACTCTACCTCTTTTACTACTACCCTACCTCTATAATAATAACAATAATAACAATAACAAGTATAGTTTACGTATTAATCTATACTAATTATTATACTAATTATTAATATAGTTAATTAATAATAACAACGACCTAATCCGCGGCTTACCTTTTAAAGAATTCTTTTAATTAATCTATAGCTCTCTCTTTTTAAAGAATTCTTTTAATTAATCTATAGCTTCTCTTTTTAAAGAATTCTTTTAATTAATCTATAGCTTACCTTTTAAAGAATTCTTTTAATTAATCTATAGCTTTCCTTCTTTCTAAGAATTCCTTTAATTAATCTATAGCTTTCCTTCTTTTAAAGAATTCCTTTAATTAATCTATAGCTTTCTTTCTTTTAAAGATTTCCTTTAACACAAATATAAGAAGGTATATAGTAAGTATAAGTTTACGTATTAATCTATACTAATTATTATACTAATTAATAATATAGTTAAATTTTAATAACTATAATAGTAATAATAGATAATAGTAATAGTAGAAACTTAAAGCGTAAGGCTATAAAAGAGCTCTTAATAAACCTAAACATAATTAAGGTACAAAAGTACTAGGATATAGACAACAAAGTCATTAAAAAGATTAATAAAGTAAAAGCTACTAACTAAGGGGCTATAACATACACTAGAAAGAAAGTAAAAGAGACATCTAAATTTATTAGTATATCTAATATATAAAAACAATAGATACTTAACGATATAAGAGACTAAGTTCTACTATAAAGGTATATTTAACTTTTATATACTAAGGTATTTTATACTAATCTTTATACTAATTAATATTAGATTACAAATAAGAAAGGACTAGAAGACCTTAGCTTAAGAGCTAGGCTATAACAAGATTAGTAGACAATTTACTATTAAAGATAATAAAAATCTTACTTAAAAAGATATTAACTTTAAAGAAGAAAATACTACGTAATATAAAGAGATATAGTAAGAGGATAAAAAATTAAATAATAAAAGTATTAATAAAATTAGTAATAATATTAATAAAAGGAGAGTTAAGGTATAGTAGAGCTACGTCTAGGTATACTAGTTTTATATTAGATTAGTATAAAGATTAGTATAATACTAACTATACCTAAGGTAATATAGCCTAAGAGTTCTGTCTCTAGTAATAGAAATAGTACTAGAGTAAGAGAAGCTTTTATTATAAGGTAATAAAGCTTAAGAGAAAAGGAATAGAATAGCTAAAGAACGATAGGCTATATTATCTAATAGTAGACAGGTACGTGTCTTAGTAATTATTATACTAATCTTTATACTAATCTACTATAAATAATAAGGACTTATAAGACTTCTTACTACTTAAGTAATTTTTTATATTAAAAGAAAAAGCTATATAAAAGAATATAGCTATATAGTATAAAGATAATAATAAATAAGTAGATTTACTAGGGCCTATAGATTAGTAGCTAAAAGATCTAGAGATTAATAATATAAGGTTTACATTTTCTAACTAGTACTTTAGGTATTACTAGACGTATAGACTAATCTACGCTAATAAAGAGCCCTTTAATAAGACGTACGATCGTGTCTTCTTATCTAGTATAGACCTCTTTATAATAAAGGATTTAATTAAGACTAAGAAGATACTAAAGGCGTTTTTTTACGTTTAATTTTTTATAAAAAAGAAATATAAAATAATTATTCTTTTCTTTACGTATAACTTATATTTAGTTATAATACTCTTATCTATAATAGTATAGCCTATAATTTATATAGTAAAAATTAAGATATCTAAAATCAAGGATTATTAGAGGCGTACTATATATAGTAGAAATTACGATTCCTAAAATAAATAAACAAAAAGACAGCTAAGTTACTAATAGTATATAGTAGTAGAATTAAAGCCTTTAAAGGATCTTTAAGAATTCGTTATTACTATAAGGACGTACTTAGTATAACTTAATGTATTATATTATATATTTATACTAATCTTTATACTAATCCCTTTAATTTTTCTTTTTTTAAACATAACTTACTTCTTTTTTTAAATATAACTTACTTTTTTAAACATTTATATTATTAAAAACTACCTTTTACGATTATAACATTATATAATGTCTTTATTATCTACTACTATGTTTATTCCTAATTCCTTCTTAGCTATAAACCTATTTAGTAATAACACTATTACTAATAGACTTTTACTAAATACTATTAGCTAAAGAAATTAATGTTTCTAGTAGACTAAAGACTAACATTACTAATTCCTTACCTAGTAGCTATAGACAGATTAGGTAGCTATAACAGTAGGTTTAAATAATACTAACGTAGTAAAATAGCTAGGTTAAGACATAACTAAAAGATTAGTATACTAGTAACAATTCTACTAGGCTACGAATTAGTATACTAGTAAACTAATAGTTATATACTAAAAGTGTTTTATAATACTTACTTATCCTAATTTAAGAGTACTTATAACTAGTACTACTATCCTTATAAAATACCTAACGTCTAAATAATGTATTAACGTATCTATAAGTTAAAGTTAAGGCTTATAAAGATAACTCTCCCTTTATAAGGCTGTTTTATTATCTATAACTATAAGTACAACTAGTTAGTATAAAGATTAGTATAAACTAACTAGTATATATAGTCTACTACTCTTATAACTAAGGCTTTTTAAGACTAGGTCCTTAAAACAATCGTTTCTTTATAACTCTCTTTTTAGGCTATAAAAAATACTAATCTCTAATAGCTATTAAAGCTATTAAATCCTTGTTTTTAATTACTATTAGTAACAACTATATAGACCTACCTAATATAGTACGTTACTTAAGTTAAAGAGAACATACTTATAAACCTAGTACTAAGTAGTAAGGTAGCCTTATCTCTTAATTATTAGTTAAGTCTTATATACCTTTTGTTTATAAGCGTTATAGTATATTATATTAATAAAGACTAGGTACTTTAAGAAGAGTTAATTAGGTTTAAAAACCTACGTAATGTTTATTTAAGACAGGCCCTAGTAATAGTTGTTAATAATTTACTAACAAATCTTAACCTAACTAGTTAAGTAATATTAATTATAACTAATAATACTAGTAATAACTATACGATAGTAGATAAAATTAATTTGTATCTTAAAGACGTACTAAAGAACAGTTGTTTTCTTAATAAGTAAATCTAATATATTCCTTGTTTATTACATGTTCTTTAGCTTACTATAAAAGCGCTCTTAGGTATAATTTAACTACGACTAACAAATAAAACATTTATTTAGGATTAGAGAAATAAGTAAGAGATAGACAAGCTTAAAAGAATATAATAAGTAAGTAACTAAAGTATACTATATATACTAGTAAAGGTATAGATTAGTTATAATTTTTATACTAATCTTTATACTAATTAGATATAGATTTAGAAGCTTATAGTACTAGTTAACTTAAGTAAGTAAAGATAAGAACATTTTAAATAGATTTAAAACAGGCTAGCTTATAATAATCTAATACGTCCTCTTTAATTAATTATAGACGTAGCTACTTAATAAGACTTTACTATTTTAATGTTAATTTAGGTAATAAGACTTTAAAACACTATTAATAAATTTTATAAAGATTATATAGTAGTATACTTATTTTAGATCTTAAGCGTTAAGTAAGATTAAATTAGATATTTAATTAATCTTCTTTACTTATTTAATTTTTTTATAACTACTATTAGTAAGACAAAGAGTATTACCTTACTATATACTCTATAGATCTATAATAAGTTATTTAAACGCCTAACTAAATCCTACTATTAACTAAAGGTAAAAGTTAATTAAAAACTATAAGTTTGTATTCTTATCTAAAGTATTAACGCTACTAAGGCTAAACTCGACTAATACTATAATAAGATATATATAGATCTTAGTAGTATTTATATAATAAGTGTAATCTTAAACCTAAGGTTAAAATTAGAGACTTTTAATCCTAACTATTATTAGCTTAATTTTAAAGTAAAGGATTAGTAATTAGAGTTTAAAGAGTAGTTTTATAAACTATACTCAATTTAACGACTAGACGGCAAACTGGCTACTGTTTTCGGCCAGTTTCGTCGCTGTTTTCCGCAGCTGACTTGCCAAAATCTCGCGCCGCTCTAGCGCTCGCGTACCTCATGGCCAAGGCGGCACGGCGGTGGGGACCCCTGCCATGGCTGACCTGCTGCAGGAACGCTAAAAAAAGCGAGTGGGTCAAGTCATCATTCGGAGAACCGCTTCTCTCATCCTCGTTCAACATTTTCTGAGAGGGGGAGCAGAAAATGGATGCCCACCATCCCCTAGGTGACCCAAGATGGTGGCCATCCTATATCTTCGTTCGTCCTCCCTCCCTTCTCCACCTTCTTTCCTCCAAGCCTCTTATACTCAACCATCACTGTCCCTCGCTCTACCTCGCTCTACCTCTCTCCTCCCCCTCCGCTGGCTGCCATTGCTTGGGCAGCAGGCTCCTCCTTAACCTCTTCGGCCTTCCTTCTTTACTTTTAATCATCACCGCCGTCGTCCCCTTCGGTTGATCCAGTCGATATGCGTCGTCGCCAACAACCAACACCAAGCTCTTCCTCCGACGACGACAGCGATGGGTCAGACATCGAGAGCTGCTTTGACATAGGGGATGAGCAAGAGGAGACCGACGCTGAGACCGAGCCGACGGACGTTGATACCGATGTCGACGGAGACGACGAGGCAGACCTGCCAGATCTGGAGTGGCTCGCTCACTCGGACAATGCTCACACCGTGCCGATGGACGTCGATACCGACGTCGATAGAGATGACGAGGCAGATCTGGCGTGGATCGCTGGAGAGGAGAACGCCTACCCGCTAGAGTACTACCTCGATCAAGAGAATAACTCCGACGAATCTGAGGATGAAGAGGAGGACTATAGCGATGGCAGTCTCCTCCTCCTAGACATGATCGAGGGACAGTTCGATCGGTGTGTACCCTATTCCCCTTTTGCCTGCCGTCTTCCGCTATCGAATCGCTGATCTGACTCTCTTCACAGGTACTGCAAGTATGTACGAAAGGATCCTGCCCGGATAATGCAGGCCATCTCTCGCCGTACCCTTAAGGCCTTCTTCGAATGGATGTTAAATCAACGTTAGGGGAAGGGTAGGAGGAGGCTTACAGGCATCAAGTCAGCCAGCACGCTCGGGATATACTAGAAGGTCTTCTAGCTCGTGCACGAACGGGCGACTGGGGAGAAGATCGAGGGGAAGATGAACTATCACATGCATCGGGTGAGTACCGCTTCTCGTCTGCCCGCCTAATCCAGTCCGAATCGTCGTAGATGAGAGGCTGATGCACGTCCTTATGTAGGTCCTCAGGAAGCTGGCGAAGAAGTACCGCCTGTCGACGAAAAAGCGCAACAACACGGCGATGTATATCGAGGATCTCGCGAGACTCCTGCAGACCAACCTGACGACGACGAAGTAGAGGTACCTACACGGCCGGCACTGTATCGAAATCAACCTCTTCGGCCAGCTAGGTATATTCTCTGGAAACCGGCCTTTAACGCTCCTAAACCTCCGCTACAGTGATATCGTAGTGACCCTGCTCCGGGACCCGAATAGCGGGCCCCATCGGCTCCTGATCGAGTTCACGTACGAGTTCACGAAAAAGTATCTCGGCACGAAAGATGCATAAGTTTTACTCTAGGCCTTGGCTCCCTCCCCCCCTAATCCCCCCTTTCCTCTTCTATTCTACTAAGACGTGCGACTCACATAGAAGCTAGGAATACGTTTCCACTCCCCGAGATCATCTTTGATCCGTCCCTAGTCCTTAATCCACACGTCGCCCTCCTGGGCCTCATCTTTGCCGACAATGCGTTCTTGGCCCCGAGCCTTACGTCGGCCGAGAGGATCAGCGAGCTGAATATTAAGCCTGGCTATTAGCAGCTGCCCTTGCCTCTAAAGCCGGAACTGGCCAATGTCCCTGTCTTCCGCAAGTCTATCAGGACACCCTATGGGTGGGAGATCTCGCCCGACTAGTAGTTGCCATACACGACTCTCTTGAAGTGGATAAAGCGGCTCGGCGTGCTTACTGGGATCTCGCTGCCCACGCGTCCGTATTCCCTCCGATACGGTGCGGGCAACGCCTTCAACCAGAGCGGTACGTATCCCGTGGCCCCCTTCTCGCAACCCCCCCCCCCCCCTCCCCGCCGCGCGACGTGCTAACTGTAGATGGGCAGGTGACATGAGTGACGCGCTCTAGAACATGATCATACAACACGCCAAGATTGACACCTTTATCAAGCACTACCTCCGGCGGATGGTTACCGCTGATACTCGAGCTATCGTCTCCGGCTACGAACCTTAGCGCGACCTAATACGGGCGGCCTGTCGGATGACTCGCTGGATCGATCCTAACCGGCCGTAGGAACTCACGCTCGAGCAATCCCTGTCCGTCAATCAGGATCCCGTCGTCCGCCGCCTTGTTGCGGAGCGGGAGAAGTAGAAGCGCCGCTTCTAGGGTACGGCGACACAACAGCCCGGGTACCGGATCATTGGCCAGGCCATCTTTAACACCCGGCAGCGGTTGAGAGTGGCGCTCCTCAAGCACCTTCAAGATCGCTAGGATCTGGAAAACCCGATCGACGAGATCGAGCGGCAGCTCTCTAGGCTCAAGCTTAGCCAAGACGTGAAGACCAACTTAGACCAAAACGATGAGATGTCCCCGATCTAGAAGCGCTTGGCCGAGACGTTGATGACGCTCTTGGGAACGACTATCGAAGAAGAGTTCCGTCGCCGCAATGCGGCTATCGATGCAGTCGCTGCCTACTGCTACTTCCAGGAGGGGGCAGCCGCTGCCCAACCACGCAAGAGGTCGTCGACGCGACGGGCGAGTCCGATGCCGTCGAAGGAGACCAACCCGCAGCTAGTAGCCGCCGAGGCCGAGAAGCAATTGTTAAGTGACGCTATATTATTAGTGTTTACTGAGAAGAGGACCACTACCTGCTTCCTCTGTTTAGGGGAGCAGAGCTTGCTATTCGAAAAGCGTATTTACAAGTTTGCCAGTTCGAGAGACTTGACAAAGCACTTTAAGCGGAAGTATCTGGCCCACATCAAAGAAGGGGATCGGCTCTGGTGCAAGGTCTATCGAATGGGGCTGCAGCATAAGCAGCATCTCCAGAATCACGCAGAGACCATCCACGAGATCGTTTTTTAATACTTTAATAATATACTAAAAGCACATAATTACAAAGCTTGCGTTTGCCCCATCTTATCTTTCCTTCTCTACCCTTTCTCGATTACACGCTATTCTCACGACATGCTTTTTAAGTAAACTCATAGCTATTTATGCGTTTGCAGAGTTACTTACTTGTTTCGAGCAACTTTCTTCAAAGCGAGACTAAATTAAGTAAAGCCCTAGCAATTGCGTGAGAATGGAAGACTGTTTTTAAAAAGGAGCCAGTTTGTAGGCTATTGATATAGCCTTGTAGACTTTCTTTTGCTCGTAGTAAGCTTAAGGCCTATCGAGATTGATTCAAGGCTATGAAAGACGTCGTATGCCAGTGCCTGCCAGGCTTCGACGTTGTTACTATATGCTTTTGATTTGGTTTGATAGTTGCCGTATCTTGGACCAGCGAAATCGCCATGAGCAAGACATGTCACGATAAGAGAGATCGATTGAGATGGGATGGTGTAGCTGTCATTTCTTATACTAGCTCTGCATTTAGAATCCACTGCAATTTTGACCTTTTCCCAGCTCACTCCCAAGAACCCATAAGCTCCTAGGACTTACAAGGGTCCCAAGAGACTTGGTCCTAAGACTGCAGGAGGTCCTGGGAACGGTAGTCCCAGGACACACCGCGATCCCGGGACTCTCACCGGTCCTAGGAGCCGGCAAGCATTATGTGCATAGCTAAGGCTTGATCATGCTTTGAGTTTATGTAGTAGATTTATTCAAGCCATATTATCATGTAGACAGATTCCCGCCACGGTTCCTTTATACCAACTATTTGTTTATACTAACTACTTTTTCATAGTATTAGTTTTGTAGTACTAATATCTTATTTGTACTTGTAATTTTATAGTACTAATAGTCTCTTAATACTAATTGTTTTTTTGTACTAATTACGCATTTGTATTAATTATTTTTTAATATAAATAGTTTTGTAATACTAATAAATAGTTTGTACTAATAATTTAATAATACTATTAGCTTTTTAATACTAATGTAAAGAACGGTATATAATGTAGTTTAGTTATTAAGAGAGTTCGGAATCTCGGCAATATGTGAAACAAAACTAATTCTATTTATTTCTATATAATACTAGATAATATTAATTAAAAAGACTCTTGGAATATATAGTAACTACGAAGCTAAAAAAGTTTTGTAATAATTAGTTTCTATCACGATTAGTATTTGTACTTTAATAAAGAATAAAGATTATTATTAATCCTATTTCTAATATACTACTATTATATATCCTTTATACACTTTATAGATCTTAATCGATCTACTATAATACATTACCATTTAGCGTCTTTGATAACTAATTATATATTTGTACTAATTATTTCGTAATACAAATGTTTTTATAATACTAGTAAATAATTTATATTAGTAGTTTAATAGTACTATTAGCTTTTTAATATTAATTAGATTATAGTACTAATTGTATTTTAATACTAATAGTCTTTTAATACTAATCTAATTTTTGTATTAATTATTTTTTAGTATAAGAGTTTAATGTATTTACGTAATTTTAATTTGGTTTCGTAATTCTATAAGCCTCGTTTAATAATATTAGGTAATTATTACTATTAAAATAATGCTTTTAATTACAATAATTGTAAATAGCGAATTAAAAATTAATATTCGAAATAGTACTATTTAAAAATAAATAATTTATTAAGGCAAACTATGGAAGCATACTATACGAATAATATATTAACTAGAGTTAAGGATCCTAAGTACAGCCATTCAAGGGGTTTTATCTCTAGCTCCGGAACTACGTTCCTCCGAGAGCTAAACCTATCCCGGAAGCCGGACGCGGTACGACGGCTCTCCCCTGAATCACATGACTAGATCCTATGGCCAGATCTGCCACTTACTCTAACAGAAATTACAATAAAGTAAAACCTACAATAGAGTACAGGTTACAATAGAGTATAAATTACAATAGAGTACAAATTATAATATAGTAGAAATTACAATAAAGTATAAAGAGGAGGCTCGTCTGATTGGTCGTAGAGTTACAAAATAGTAGACATTACTATAAAGTATTCTATGCTTTGCTACACTATTTTACTCGGAGTTTTGTACTAGAAATGCTATATTCGAGCATTCTGAAAGAAAACGCACGTGACGGGCCTTATAGACAGTTTGAATCCACCTGAATTAGTCTAGCCCATGGGCTTGTAGATAGGGGGGGTAAATCGCAAAAAGCATGGGTCTATATTCCAATTAATACGGTATGCTCAGGAACAGTGGAATTGAAGTCAATCGATTATCCTACAAGACAACTACCATACAATTTATAGTGTGAACATTATTCTAGGTAACTTTACAGGCTAGTGTTAGATGACTCTTTTGTTGTAGGCAACATGTGTAAGCCAGAATGCAATTATCCGATTTTTAGAGGTCTGAGAGATTTCCGCGCCGAGATTCTCGCTCTTCCTTTCCCGTTGCCAAGACGTGTGGCTTCATATCGTTCGGCTGCTCGCTCACTTGTTATTGTTGTGTTGGGGATGCCGCAAACCGGAACATGAATTGAGAGTGTGATGCAGTACTGTATTGAACGTCGCAATGAGATCTGGGCTTTTATATGGCGTCGTTACTTTGTGGTGCGAACGAGGGGCGGGTGGGAGGTTGTGCTACCCGAATACAACAAAAACTCGCAGTAGTTGGTCAGGCACATCTGAGGTAGCTTAATGCAAAAGCTGGGACCCAAGAGCTATTCTTTTGTGAACAATATATTTAATACTTTATATCGACTATTTTGAGCTATAGATCAAATGATTGGGCATAATTACAGCTGGGCCCGCCCTTACAGCCTTGCCGACATCCCATTCGCGCTCATCAATTCCTTGCTTATGTTCATCGAGATCCAATCACTAATCGCCATGTTAGTCACCATGGGATTGACACCACTGGCACTGGGAAACACGCTGGTATCACTGATGTACAACCCATCAGTGCCCCAGACCCTGCCCTTGGAATCTACGACACCGTCGCGCTCGTGGACGGACATGCGGTTCGTGCCCATCTGATGCGCGGAAGCGAATATCGCACCGGGAGGCTTGTTGCCGGCACGTTGGAGATCCGTGAGCCACGCTTGGAAGCACGGGTCAGTGACGCCAGGGTCGATGTCGTCTGCGGGGGAGGATGGGGTGGAAGAATCTTCTGGGTTGCGGATGAAGGGTGCGACGCCGGGGATACCGGCGAAGATCTCCGTGGCGCCCTCGACGTAAGCAATCTTAGCCAGGGCGATACAGCCAGTCAGGATGTGCTGGCGATCGAAGGCGCTGGGGGTGTATTCGATGCGGATGCCGCCGGTGACGGGGTCGGGAAAGACACGGCCGCTGTCGCGGTCGCGGGCGAGAGAAATCCAGCAGCTGGCGTGACGGAACTTGAGGGCGAGCTTCTTGAAGTCGAGGCCCTTGGCAACATTAGATAGACTCAGGGCGAAGGATGGGAGCATGACCAGAGCCTCAAGCTTGGTGCCATGACCGTGGCCGTCGAGATCCTCAAAGGAGGAGACGACGGATGTGAGGATCCCACCTGGGAATTGTCAGTAGGGATTACGAAGGCAAAAGAGGAGCCGATATACTCACCCTCCCAAGGCCGCACGTCCTCCTTAAAGATGGCGCCCATTATGTTGACCGGATGGAGGTACAGGTGGCGTCCGATATGTTGGTTCTATCCAGGTCAGTGAAACGTTAATATCCAAGCGATCTTTCATTTTCTCACCTTCAGACCGCTCTGCAGCAGCAGGATCGGACTCCACAGCGCCCCGCAAGATACAACGACCTTCTTGGCCTTGATGATGACCTTCCTGACCGTGCGGTCAGAGATGGGGCCGTCGACGCCCCCGCGGCTGTTTCTCGAAGTCCACGTGCCCTCGACCCCAGTGGCGGTCTTTCGGCCGCTTGACTCGTCGAAGAGCACGCGGTCTGCGGTAAAGCCCTCTATGAACTTGGCGCCAGCTCGAGCAGCATCAGGGAGCCAGGCGACGGTAGGGCCTTGCTTCTGGGCGGAGGCGCATCCCAACGAGCAGTGTCCACAATAGTGCTCGCTGTTGCCAGTGTTCTGGGGGACTGCCTTGGCTGCATAGCCCAGCTTCCTCGCACCGTCTAGGAGGACACGATTACCGTGGTTATGTTTGATATGGTCCGCCGAGACGCCCATCTTATGGCACACGCGGTCCAAGCAGGTCTGAAACTCGGAGGTCTCGAAGAAGGTCAGTCCTCGATCCTGTGCCCACTCCTTCCGCACAAAGCCCTGGGTCTGCAGAGAAGCAGACCAGTTGACCGTGCCGCCGCCGCCCCAGGTACTGCCGGAAATCACAGCAGTCGACCCGTCGTCGCTGAACGTCGATCCTCCATTGTCAAATAGGTGAACCGGGCCCTCCTCCTCTGTCATGGGGAACGCCTCCGTAGGATAGAAGTGCGATTTATCCACAACCAGAACCTTATGTCCCGTCTCAGCCAGATTCTTCGCACACACGCCGCCGCCGCATCCCGATCCTACAATCACCACGTCCGTCTCGATGACCTCTGGCTTGTCGCCGGCTGCAAACTTCAGGAACTCATATTCGAAGAGCGTTCCTCGCTCTATGTCGCTGGGGTACGATGGGAACCCGCTAATCTTGTAGTAGCTGAGGCTGGTCTTGAGCCATAGGTTCTTAGCGGCGCCGGTCATCTGCTTGTGGAAGCCGTTCAGGGCGGGGATGTAGGAGAGGCGCCAGCGATCGAGGCAGGCTTCGCGGATGGCGAGGGACTGCTGGAGGAAGGGGGTAGAGGAGCCGGTCAGGATGAGGGAGCCGACACGGGTGCTAAAGCGGATGGTCAGATTACTGATCTGGAGGCTCAGGGATTTCAATATCTTTCCTTACTTACGTTAAGAGGAACAAGACTAGCGAGAGTTTCTTCCTCGCCGTCTCGCTCGTATGCACCACCAACGTCCGCTTCAACAACGACTGGAAGCGCGGGTTGTCCGACGGCCTCTCTAGCAAGTACGCATCTAGCTCGGCAGTGTTCGGAGCCTCAACGACATTCTTCTGCAAGTGTTCGACCATCTTCGCATACTCTGCGTCTGAGATGGAAAGCTGGTTGTTGTCTTTGGTCGCCGTGCCTCTTCGCACTGATGGTACCACGGCATCCATGATCGCCAGCAACGTGTTCCATTGCCATTCCGTGAAGTCCTCGCTGGGAGGGAGATCCGGCAGAGCAGTAGAGAGGGGAGCGAGAGCCCCAGGCTTGGAGGAGATCACGGAGGGGATCATCTTATGAGGGAGGAGAAGGCAAGGTAACGAAGGAAGTAAGTGATCGTTCGTCAGAGACTGAAGAAATCAAGCAGTGACCAGCTATGTAAGATAGATATAGCTCCGCTTTGCTCCGGTACGAATGGTAAACGGGTCGTCAGCCAGCCTCCTCCAGAGCTCTCTTCTGCTACAGCATTGCGGAGACGCCCTGTGAGTGTGAACTTCTCCTTCCCGTGCTCTGGCTCGGCCGATCCCATCGCGAGCCCCGGTTGTGTTCGAAAAATGCAGGGGACGGGGACATGGGAATACGCAGGAGTGGACATGATGTGGAAGGATCTCCTCACTACTGTCATCCGATTCTGTACGTGCGGGGTGAATGAGAATGTTGAAAGGACGACTACAACCATGTGCATGCAGGGAGGAGGCCAAGGAGGACAACCCTGCAACGCGTTCTTGCTTTTAAGGCCGTGTCTCAAGAACTGTGGGCGCTTGGGGGTGGGCTAGGAGGACTAGGGTAGCTGTTTGTGTACACTGTATCTACGAGTGCGCATATCACTCGCGCCTGTGCCCGACTTGCTTGTTTTGAGGTGCAGCAGGCGTAATCGTGCGTCTTGGCGCACAGTTAATGATGTTCAAGCTGGGCATGACGCACGAAAAGCTCTGTGGCCTGGATAGACATATACAGCCAGTCTCCGTGAGGAGAAGATGCGATGGTGGGAGGGTTGGCATGGCCATCCCAAATCAGGCATGAAAATGAGATAAGGAGGCACCTACAGTAGGCTACAAGTACTGTCTACACGCATATATATATATATACGTATACGGTAATCTCTTCTTCATAGAGAGGAGAGCCCAGAGCGACTCGGCCGTCTCCCGCAATCCCCCGGAGCGGGTGGGGGCTTTGGCAGCGGTAGGAGGGCCATGGTGAGGCTATCGAATCAATATTCAAAAGAAATTGTTACGAAATCCCTGTCTCAGGAGTCAGAATGGGCGTGACAGCCTTGCTTCTGGCAGTTCTAAATATTCGTCGGCTCTCTTGAAATGCGATGTTGGAGCCACTTAAGCGAGTCGACGATTATGGTAAAATGTGTCCGGTCTGTCTTGGCTGCCGGCTGCAGATGTAGGCCTGAGGCAGCAATAGAGCTTAAGGTTGACGTTCGAATAAGTTGGGCTCAATTGGCTGGACTACCTAACTATAGAGTGTCTGTACTGCCCCATATATCCAGTAAGTGACTAGTCCAGCTGATCAGATATAGCTGAATATCCAGCTGGATATGAGTTCCATTTGATGTCCTCGTGACAGAAATCTCTGATGACAAAGGTATTAGTACGTATCCGCCAACAATACAGTACCTACAGTAGGAGTTTCTCTCACATGGTACAGTAGCGGTAGCTCGGGAGGCGAAATTATCGAAAATAGTTTTCGAGCGGGAAACACTGTGATAAATCTCCGATTGGTGGAGGGATACTTCCGTATTGGGATTACGGGGTTCGCAGCCGCAAGCGGAAGCAGGGATAGAGCCGGCGCTTCTGTGCCACACTAACCCCGCTCCATACTGTAGGCGCATTCCTGCCCACATGAAACTGAAGCTTGTATCTCCAATCCTCTTGGTCATCCTTGTAGACTTCATGTTGACCAGTATCGTGGGCTTCAAGTACATACTGCCCATATAGGTGCCTAGTAGGTGACTCATTTGTTTGCTCAGTAAGAACTGTCGCACCGTCATCTGTGGCGATAGCCGCGGCAGACTCATAGCACGATTTCAGAAGTACTACAAGCATCTAGCACAATACTGTTACAATCAAACCTAACATCCAAGAAAGTATTTTTGTGTAATTCTAATAACACTTTAGATCTTTTAACTGCACAACACCTCCAGAGGTAGCCACTGGTTTCAAGAGCAGAGCTATGATCCCCAATCGTGCTACGAGACATCGTATGAATTACTCCAGTGTAAAGGAGTTAATTCTAATCTTACCAAGAAAAAGTACATATGCAGGCGGATACTAAATGGGCAATTCTTGAACGTTCATCACATCCACTGAATTCATTCTACCTAGCAGATTCTTTCAGTTATGTAGGTGTGAGCGCTACCTTGGTTCCATTCTTGCTGGCCATGGTCAAGGTGAGCAACTCCTTAAAAGGTTGTGGATCTCGACTTTCAACATTCTTGAAGCGCTGAACAATGCGCACAATAGTATATCCCGCCTCTGTTAAAGCAAACTGCTGACCGATGCAGATCCGTGGCCCACCATTGAAAGGGATGTAACCCCATCCTGGCTTTAGCTTTTCCCATCTTTCAGGGCGATACTCGGTCGCGTCCGGCCCAAAGACTTCAGCCAGACGATGCATGCTGTACACGCTGTAGAACACTTCTCCTCCTTTAGGAACAAAGACGGGGTCTTTCCCGTCCGGGCCACCACCGACAGGGAGATACGTATCTTTATTGGCCATGCGAGTGTTAAGTGGTACGACTGGGTACAGTCTCAAGGCTGTTAATAATTTAATTCAGCTTGTGCGTCTTTGAATACTACTCCACTTCAGATCCATAGAGGTAGACGACTTACTTTCATTGAGAATCCATGTGAGGTACGTCATTGACTTCAGGACTTCAAATGACGGTTTGCGGCCCTCGAGTGTCAGCACTTCCGCTCTGAGCTTGGTCCACACATCAGGGCGTCTAGCCAAAATAAAGAAAGTAATGCTCAGGAGGCTGGCAGTAGTATCCCGGCCTGCCAACAGGATGTTTAGGAGCTGATCTGTGAGCATCTTTTTATCGAGCTTCTGTTTAGATAACTCGTAGAGGAACACGTATGGCTGATCGGCGTCTTTGGTAGTTGCTTCGGCATTGTACGGGTCTTGATAGTCAATTGCCTTCTGGACGAATCGATCAACAAAATGGCGTGCTTCGATGGTTGCCTTCGAGAATGGCTTGTCTCTGTGAATGAACATAAGGGGACCTAGTCTCAAGCGAATGGCCAATCCATCCTGGGACTTATTGAAATCTTGTGCGAAATGGGATGATACTACCGTTGAGTCATGATTCAACGAATCCACAGACTCTCCGAAAAGGAATTCAGTAGCAGAGTCCATGGTCTACCGAGGCATTAGCGTTGGGTTCACGCAGCGAATATTAGACATACCATCTCGAAAAACAACTCTTGCAAGTCTACCGTTGACCCATCTTGAGGTATGTGCTCGATAAGCTTTGAGACATGTTTCTCGTAAATATCGATATCAGATATCTGGTTACGGACAAAGTTTGGCCGTACCAGGGCCCGTGAATGTTCCCAGACCTCACCATCGCTTGCGAATATTCCCTGACCAAGAAGAGGCCGGAGGGCCTTGTTCCGATAATGTCCCAAATCAAAGTCTTTAAACTTAGTTGCTAGGATGGCTTGGACATTTTTCGGCTCAATCGTCATAACTATGGCCCGACCCAGGGAGGTTTGGAATGTATTGCCGTACTGTTGATGCCAGGTTCGAATAAGCTCCAATGACCGACAGTCCTTCATTGACTGGAGCAACGCGAATAGCCGACCAACATTAAGAATACCGGCAGGAGCTATCTGTGGTTTACGGCAGTTGTTCTCACGCGAGAACTTCCACTCTTAAGCGTTACTTAGCCAGGTTGACGTGGGGAGTTTCGAGTAGTTTGACTACATACCGGCCTGTTTTTTGATCGCAAACCTTGCCACAAAAAGCACGAGAACACCAAATAGCACAAGGTATGAGTTATATCCCAAAGGAGCCATCGTTCGAAAGATTGTCCGTTGTGAGAATCTTATAAAATTGCGAAGTATGAGTTTGATAATCTGAAAGTTGGGTAATCGTTTTGTGTGAAGGTTCTCTGTGACGACCACAGAGGTTTTATATCTAATCTATTTGGATGTCCCAGATAACCTATATTCACAAGCAACCAGCGCTGGAGCGCGGAGCCCCGGCCGTGTATCTTCATGCGTGGTGACTTCTTTCTTATTATGGTAAGAATAGTCGCATGAGAGTCGACCGGAGACATCTTACCATAATAGGAGATGCGTGGAGTGGAGAACATCTCTCTACTTCCCCACTCCCCCACTTCCCTTCCCGGTAGCCTCGGTCTCTGTCCTGGCATGCCGAGACTCATGATAAAGACGCCTGAGGCAAAAGTTCTTAATATCACCGTATAAATCAGATGAACATAGTTCAGCTCTGAAGCTTGCTTGTGTTGCATAATTCTTTTTTGGATTCAGAAGTGTATTCATCTTTCTGTTTAGCAAGTCGCTCCTGAACACAATGGTTATTGGGTTCGGTGGCTCACGGACCCCCTGGGACAAGGTGGACGTCGCTGTGGAGGAATTGCTAGCAGCAGCACGTATGTACATCACTCCTTGGGTTATAGTCGTTATTGAGCCGTTCCAACGTTACTAGGCAATTTACACAAGGCAGTTGAGATGGAACCTGCTAGTATGGGTTTACTAACTGCTGGCTCCATCGGTCGCAAGGCAGAGTCTGTCCGGCAGGCTATCAACAAATTGAACAAGACGCTTGCTGCCTGTGCTATAGCTGAGCCAGACGGGAAGCTACAGGAGCAGCATACCGAAAATTCATTGCAACGCATTGAGGCCAACAGCCCTCTGTTGATTGATGTCCTCAAGAGAATGAGTGAAGTCCACTATCATCGCTTCTGCGAACTTGGCATGGGTATCCCTACTGTCGTAAAGATGCGCTGGGCTGGATTGAATCATCGACCAAGGAGTGTCTAACGACATTGGAACAGACTAATAAAAACACGGAGCTTGTTGACCGGATTAATGGTCTCCGGGACCAACTGCTGACGGCAGAATCTGAGGCGCTGGATGTCTACAGGGCAATTTAGGCGTGACTACTAGTTGGTCGTCTTTCTTACTATGGACTACAGACTTGGTTAGCAAGTTATAGAACGGTGGATTTTCAAGTTTCTAGCTTTCAGGCTCATGTCAAATGGATGATAAGACGCTTTTGCATTACTGTTCCGTGGGAATCATGCTTACCATTTGACGTCATGTTGACTGTGCTTCCCTAACCTACACATGAGAATTAGAAGCAACGTCACCAGACCTTATGTGGAATGACTTGTATTTTTAGCTGTATAATGTTCTATTACAAGCTATTCTCCGGATGCCAGCTATCAAAATATCCTCAGTATGCCTGAAACATAGGACGTTGTTAGATGTGCTCACAGCTACCCCATATACTCCATCTTAACGGCAATTTTCATAGCATTACCAAGGTACGTTACAATGTTAACTTTAGTTTATGGAACTGGATAGCTCTTGATAAATTACTCCACTCCCTATAGGTATTCCATACCCAAATATTCTATCCAAACCTCATATCGTAGGCCGCAGACCAGGTTCCTCCATAGTGAGAGGGGAGGGATGGTATCTGTAGATTCGAAAATGGCAGTCTCATATCTGGCTGTGTGGTCAAGGTATGACAGCGAAATAGAGATTTTCCTCGACCAAATCAAACCAGAGGCCATCGTATCCAGATTCCTTGGCTGCCCTGATATGCTCAACGAAACCACGTAGCTTTGACGCACATATGCTCTGGACTGTAAAACTAGACAGCTTTTCCAGCAACTCTTCCCCAGGTCCTTCAACTTCAAGCATAACTAGCATCAATGGAAATATCACTGGGAGAGCTACCCAGCTCCTAGGTGTCGATTGGGGTAAAGACGAGAGTTCTCTGAGAATACAGTTCGCGTAGCGTTGCCCAATAGTATCCTGAACCCCAAGAGGATACCGCAGTCGATGGATGACCAATAAAGCTGCGAGATGATAGGCGTTTGCTTGTGCCATCATCATCTGCACCTCTTTCCCTCCATAACTGGAGAAGAAGTTGGAGGGTAGCACAGGCACCCAGTCCCGGATACTTTGTTCTATATCATCGAACTCGTCACCGCTTGCTTGGGTTGCCCTGGAGCCGACTGCGGTTTTGGCAGAGTGACTTTGATAGCAAAGATCATACAGGAGAGGCAAGAGCGTCGAGCACAGACCCACGTAGCGATCAACAACGATCCGGTCTTCGAGATCCAACCGTATGATTGGGACTTTACGACGCACAAGGCATTCGACTGTGTCTACCAGAACCGGGCAAATTGTGATGGTGTCCAGGGCAGGCTCCTGAACTAGCAACGGAAACTGCTGCTTCGCCGAGATGAGCGAGCTTCGAATGATGGCATGAGCCGAAGAAGAAAACATATCGGTGAGTATGTCAAACACGAACAAAACCTGACCAAGGAGTAGAACGCAAGCAGCATCGTGAGGTTGCAAAATGCCCACATTTCGTAGGCACTGCAAGCCCTTTGCTCCTTTTTGCATATCAGCTGCGCACAAGCTGGTGTGGGTCGAAGTGTGGTATTGCGTCATCAGCCGTAGGAAAGCCAGATACCCGTCTGTTATAATCGAACCTGACAAAACAAGAATTGAATATACGGCCTTTTGAAAATCGCCCGTAAAGCTGGGTCCAAACATAAACGGCATATGTGTTGCAGCGAAGTCATCCGTACTCGTCACCGTACGCATTGCATCACGGATAGTCTGGAGGCTGAAGCGGGACTCCAGCATCAGCTCTGAACGTATTGGCGGGATGTCGTTATCCTCTTCTGTATCATCTCGGGATAACGGCATGTTCGGTCTGGTCAAGCTGAGGCGTAAGCCAGGCGTACGCGACATCCGTGTGGCCCTGTTCGCTGCTTTCGTACCACTGCGTCCGAAGTCCCAAATCCGTAGATTGCCGTGGAGAAGCTGTTTCACGACAGGCGGGCGACCGATTCGTCTCCCCTCGCGAAACCTGGAGCAAGCAAGCTTCAGATGACGACATCTGGAGCATGTCTCAGCCGTAGATAGGAAGGAACATTTTTCCTTGTTTTCGTAACACTGGTCGCAAGCTCTCAGTACCATGGTGTCGACCAACTGGACCTTTTACATGATGTGGTGAGATGTGGTGGACAAAAGCTATCTGCCAACTTGGAGGACTAAGCAAGCCTAAGTAGCAAACGGTACAGGACTCCTACTGGGTCACGCGTACCAGTGGGTACCCCGCTTTCCCCAGATTCAACTCAATCTTGAGACGTTTTGGTATCCACGTCATGCTGATGAACTCACTACGCCCAATATGGCTAGACTGGTGATGTTTACAAGGATACTTTGACTTTGCCCTCCACCTGGGTGTAGGCATGCGCAATTTATAATTACATAATTATACTAATATCGTACTCTGGTAGATTTATATAATAACGTAGTCCACGATATTATTTTTGTATAAATCTAGTATAGTTCTAGTATAACTTAGTATAAAAAGAGCATAGAATTCGAGAAATACCTAAGAATCCAGAGGCAAAAATCTTGTGTTTTTAGGGGATGGGACCCTTGTAACTTGGGTCCACTAGCACGCCGAGATTTGCGATCAAACCGCGCTAATTTTATACTTTCATGGTATGGGTAATAATTGTAAAAACAGGGGTTAATTTATCTAACGCTGCTTTAATATTTTGTGTACCATCCCCTAGCATCTATGACTACTTGGCATCTCTCTCTCATACTATGTACAAGCTCTCTAATTCTATCATGAGTAATAGATTCCCACGCTTCTTGTACTACTTGCCTCAATCTCTTATAGCTACTATGCACTTGAGGGTAATGCTCTTGGATATAATCCTTCATATCATCCCAAATAGTCTCAATAGGATTGAGGTCTGGGGAGCAGGGAGGCCACTCAATAACCCTTAACTCTGCAGCTTTAAGGACAGACTTTGTGAAAGTAGAAGCATGCCCTTTAGCATTATCTTATTGAAACTGCAACTCTGGGTACTGCCGTAGAATCTCATCCACTATAGGGATAATAATTCCACAATATGATCCCTCATTTATAGTCTCCCAGTCCTTCTCCCAAAATAAGCCTTTATGCCGTCCATATTTTCCACTTACTAACTCCCAAAACATCCACCCAATCCTCCTTTGGTGCCGTGGCTATACACAATCTGGATGCTCTCTCTCATTATCCCTACAAGTGACCCAAATACGAGTATATCTTCCAGGTTGCGCCCATGTTTCATCACTCCAAAGGATCTCATCCCATTGCTCGTCCGTCTAATTGATATGCTCTTGTGCCCACTCAAGTCTCTTCCTTCTATTTTCCTTAGTAAGAGGGCACTTTCTCTTAGAAACCCGACGTTTATACCCTTCCTTCTTAAATGCTATCCTTATGGCAGATACCCCGTAATCCCAACCAAGTATCCCGGGGATAGCTATCCAAGGTGTCTCGCGATTATCTCTAGAAGCTGACACCCATTGGATTAGCTTCTTCCTTTGAGGGGTATTGAGTAATACTCTCCTCCCAGACTTGCGCTTTTGAGGGGTAAGGCGATGCTGAATTGCGTAGCAGATCTGGCGGTAGGTGTGCCCAGTTTGAAGGCAAATTTGATCGCGAGTAAAATTAGCATCGAAGAAGAGGGTCTGAATACGTAGCCTTTCATCGCGCGTAAGCTCTGGCTCCTTAGGTTGCTTAGGAACTGGTACTTTGAATGTTGATTCCATGCTGAAATGATAGTATTGTAGTAGTAAAAGCGGCGTTGACGCACTTCTTATTCATTGGTGGTACACCCCTGCTAGCGTAGAATGCACTAGAAGTCTTGGCACAATTATTACCGATACCACGAAGTAGTTTACAGAGGTTGCCAGAAGTACTGTACCTCGTATTCGCACATAGTCCCGTGCGAGTTCACTTTATTCAGCCAACCACAACTCAGTGTATGATATTTAGCAGATATTATTGGCCATTGTGCACGAGCCATGTGCGAATACTTTTGGCACCTTACTGTAGTACTTGGTACATTCTGGGCCAGAAGCACAAGGAATTAAGACTTTTAATTGACTAAAAGACATATGTAAGGCTTAGTCGGCATATCGTAACGTACAACAAAGTTAAGACTGTTCTATTACGTTATTACGTAATAAGGTCCTGTATTATATATTACAGTATAATTTAGCGTACGAAAGGGGGTCTCAAGAAGTCAAGAACCACCCCCTACTGTAGTTCCGCCATCACTATGAAAGGAAATCTATGGGGCGATGACTTATCCTGTATTTTTGGTTGGCCTGAATGTCTCACCGCCTTGCAAGGGTAGCTCTTGACTTCTTGAGGCCCCCTTTCGTCCCGAGGCTCAGTGCGCTTATTGCTACATGGTAGATTGCCGAGGATAGTCGTTCGGCCAAGGCCTCACCCGATCCTCGGCTAATCCGTTAATGGGTGAGGGAGGGCAATGCGCAAATCACAGCAATACGCAAATCGGAATTTTGGTAAGGGGATACCAAAATAGAATTAAGCATACAACTAGGGAATCTTTATTAATAATTATAGTAGTTTTTATATGAGATCTAGAACTCTAATAAATTTGTTTTACATTAGAATTAAGTATTAAAAATTTGGCGTTATTAAAAAGAAATCCGCCCATACAAAATTTAGGCCTTTCGTACAAGCGCTCCCCTCTATGCAGCGCGGTACGGGCACTTTTTGCTATATACAGTTAGAGATCAGGGGTGGGGTAGGCCAGCGGCAGTTCCGCCACCCTGAATTCAGTGGGTCTTCCGCATGATCCCCAAAACACTTATTGTACAGTACAGTACTGTATGTAGATCACAATCAACGGAACACGGCATTGCTCGCCGTCGAGCGCACGATCTGCACGGACACTTGTTACTGCATTCAGATGGCTTTGGAGCGTCGGCTGCATCTGCCTCAAGGGTGACGAGCTCAGGGCTTCTGCCTTGCTTGAATTTCGGGTCAACATGCTACTGCATGGTATTACTTCTTCCTGCGCACAGAATCAGATGAAGACGGCACATTCTTTCCGAAAACGGCTGTGGGCTTAACCTTACTCCACGATGAACATCCTACTTTAGTCGTCGGCTGGTAGCTGATCATGTCTTTCGTTTTTTTCCATCTACCGATCAGAACAGCGTTCAAATCATCATGGCAGCAGTTACAACAAACGGCTCCAAGGCTACCCTCGATTTCACAACTTTCAAGAACATAATCAACAATGAACTCGTTGATACGGTGAAGCACCATTACGGAATAAACCCCGCAACACTGGAGAAGCTCCCAAACGTCCCGATCGCAAATAAAGTCGATCTTGATAATGCCGTTAAGGCTGCTCGTGCTGCCTTTGAGAAATGGCGGAACGTGTCCCGCGAAGAGCGCAATGCTGCGGTCTTGAAGTTTGCAGATTTAATTGAGGCCAATGCTGATGGCTTCACTAAACTATTGACTTTGGAGCAAGGCAAACCTGTACGTGAAGCATTCCTTCATAATGGCTAACACAACTAATATTATGGCAGACTCCACAGGCTACGTTCGAAGTTGGAGGATGTGTAACTTGGCTTCGTGCCTTGTCCCAGATCAAAGTGGATGATGAAGTATTCGAAGATACCACGGAGAGAAAGGTTGTCACGAGATTCACACCAATTGGAGTGGTTGGAGCTATTGTTCCGTGGAACTTCCCTTGTCTCTTGAACATTGGCAAGATGTATGTCTTCTATTTTTATGTTCTCTGTGCACTCTCCTGATTGTAACTTCTATAGCGGTCCCGCGGTCCTCATGGGCAACACGATCATCGTCAAGCCGTCTCCATTTACTCCGTACACTGCTCTCAAATTTGCAGAACTGGCATCGAAATGCTTTCCACCAGGAGTCGTCCAAGCACTATCTGGTGACGATAATTTAGGCCCCTGGATGACAGCTATCGAAGGGATCGATAAGATTTCCTTCACCGGTTCTACTGTTACTGGTAAGAAGGTGGCCGCGAGCGTAGCAGCAACAATGAAACGTCTAACCCTCGAGCTGTGAGTATTTCCGGAGACACGTCCCCCAGCTGCTAATTCCGAGCCAGTGGCGGCAAAGACCCAGCTATTATCTGCGCCAGCGTCGATATCCCCAAAGTCGCAGCAGAAGTATGTACATATGCCTTCCTCAATTCCGGGCAGGTCTGCCTGGCCATTAAGCGTGTTTATATCCACAGCTCTATCTATGCTGCCTTCCGAGATGCCATGGTCAAGTACACCAAGGCCCTCAAAATTGGCAATGGCCTTGATGAAAATGTATTCTTTGGACCTATTCAGAACGAAATGCAATATAAAAAGGTGAGGAGTTTGTTCGATGACATCGCGAAGGAAAAGTGGAAGGTTGCGGTTGGAGGAACTATTGACACGGATATAACGGGCTATTTTATTAACCCGACAATTGTTGATAACCCGAGTGATGAGTCGAGGATCGTCAAAGAGGAGCCCTTTGGCCCGATACTTCCAATCTTGTCCTGGGATACTGAAGAAGAGGTCATTAAACGGGCAAATGCTTCGGAGCTGGGTCTTGGTGCTTCTGGTAAGTTTTAATCAATCAGATACCGAGATGAAAGTTAATAGTTATAGTATGGAGCAATGACATGGAGGAAGCTGAGCGCATTGGAAATCAAATCGAGGCTGGAACTGGTGAGTTTTCCCTAATCTAGTAGCGACAAATCAAAACTAATCCTTATAGTTTGGATTAACACGCACTTCGATGTCTCCCCGGTTATCCCATTTGGCGGCCATAAACAGTCTGGCCTCGGTGTTGAGGGGGGTGTTGCTGGTATGAAAGGGATGTGTAACCAACAGACCTTGAATATACATAAGATTAAGTAGTCTAGTCTAATTCGAACGATAATTCCTTTTTTATTATTTATTCTATGTTATATGATATTAAACTAGTTTTAAATGGAAATATAGCTTTAAGGTTTTAAAAAAGGGTCGCGTGGCTTTAAGTAATTGCTAGAGACAAAATGCTATATAATATGTGATAGATGGTGTAAGGGGCTGACGCCTTAGTGCTCAATCAAAAGATGTATTGCTAACAAAGAGGAACAATTGAGGAGAGAAAGAGAGAGTCTTACTCTCTCAAGTACTATATACATAGACCGCCACGCTACGTAGCCACGGCAACGCAGGTCACATGACCTCATGTCAAAACCAAGTTCCAATCCCGGGTCCAATTCGTTACAGATGGAATATGTCTTGAATACGGAAACCGACAATGAGAACGGAAAAAATCTCTGCTATGTCTTGACAATTTCAGCTTATATGACAACTTCCGATGTCCCCCTATTCCGAGATCTGAGCAGGAAGATAAGAATGGTTATAAATTGTGTGGCATGTGTTAAACTCTAATACCTTTCATTTAACGAATGATTTACCGTCGTAATTCGTCCGAGCCAAGCTGCCCTGCAGATAAAAGGAACGAGTCTACTGAGTGCTTAGCTCTACTATACTTGGAAGTAATAGGACAACCTCTCATTTTATAGTTGTCACGGCCCTACAAGAGAATCCTACGGATGAGGCATTTGCAGGATAGCCATTTACTGCGAAAGCTAAGCTAAGGAGAAAAGAGAGTCTTTGAGCAAAGGTCCCTTTAAGTATCTACATTCCTCGCTTGTGGCCTGGCCCAATTAGGCAAGCGAGCACGTGATCCTAGCTAACACGTGACCTTCGCGAAATGCTTGAACCGTCACAATAGTCACTCTAATCAATATTTCACATATATTTAGTACAAATTACAATAAAGTACAAAGAGGAGGCTGATTTGATTGGCCGTATAAAAGTAAATTTACAATATAGTCGAAATTACAATATAGTAGAAATTAGACTAGTATTTCAAAGGAATCTAATTGTTCAAGGCCCAGAATGCTCAAAGGACAATACTGACGCCTTCTATATACTAATGGGCACAAAAATAAAAGATTAAAGCTACTATTGGAAAGTATTACGCTACCTTTGACTAACAAGATAGGCAATTCCACGAAGTCTGTCCTCTTGAGATCTATTTTCATACTCTCCCCCATGCGGGGGCCAATACCGTACGAGCAATTCAGGCAACACGTCTTGATATTCCTTAAAAGTAAGCTCTTTCATCGCAACATTATAGAAGCCTATCCATTCTCCATTATCTGGAACGCGGTTACTCCCTTCGAGGATCTCTTTGAGGATCCGACTAACCGATCGAAGATCTCCCACGTCGCAGTTGTCCTGTGCGACCTGACACAAGTGAACATTTGCTACGCCATTTCTTAGCAACTTTTAAACACTCAAATATCGAGACTCACCAAGTTTGAACCCTTCCCCGGTCACTAGTATGTGTTCTGCAGTGAAGTTACCTCGTAAGAGATTCTGCCCAGCTAGGTATTCAAGAGCGTTAAGAGTCTGTGCTGTGTTAGTATTACTATGCTAAGTTAGATAGTTTCTTAATAACATACGTCTTTGCAAATTCTTCGCACATCTAGTAATGACCATGGATACTGGGCTGCAGCGGCCGCAACTGTGACAGATAAAGGCGGCTTCATAACGTATAGTTCACACTGCCCCTTCGGATCAGTCTCATTTTGCCCAGCCTTTGTCGGCAACCAGTGGCTAGTGCCAGAGTTATCGTCATCAAATCCAACGATATTAGGATGGTTAAGCGTGCGTAACGTATTCCACTCGCTCATAGTCTTCGACGCGTTGACCAGGACTACTCCAGGTATTGACTTGTACGTTACGAGCTTTACTCGGATCCCACCAAACTCAAAGGTGCCATCAATATGATCCTCGTGCCCAACCGAGACTGACGTAGCAACGGACGGTTGCATCTTCAATGGGGTGTGCACGCCACTCTCGCCCTGACCTGTGCCTCTCAAGCGCCATATACCAGTTGCTCTTCGAGATACCGCTCTCGAGTCGTGCTCTATTATGCTTACGGTTTGATGCTCTAGAAGGGCTGCCTGCTGCTTTATAATGCTGGGATCTAATCCAGTCAGTACCCAGCTTGTCATCTGCACTCAGTCAGCAAAAAAGGCCTCGGCATGTAACCGCCATATATGCAGGAGATGGACCTCGAACGGTTCAATACGTCCTGCGCGGGATGAGAGACCCACAGGAAAACGCAGAGTCCTTGGACCATCTCGCTGAGAGGGCTCGAGTGGGTGTAGCTTTGGTGAGATTGGAGAGTCTGAAGTATGAGCCGCCTCTAGGCCGGCCATCCATTCCGCTTCAATCCAAAAAGATAGACTTCTGGCTCGGCGAGTTCAGAGATCGGGGATGCTTTCCAAATGTTCAACGGAACCGCATACGGGCCAAAATATCCCCATCCGTTCTCGCCCAGGCGCTGGGTCTATCTAGAGTAACCATCGAAGATTTGCAGGATACCGAGAACCTCCGACGCCTTGAGCTTCCTCAAGGAGCCGTGCTGACGCACACTCACGGCCAACACAGACTGGAAGCCGCAAGACAATATATTTATCCTCACAATGTGTGGTGGGCTGTTGATCTCCTCAATGAAGGTATTTATGCGGATTCGGATATAATTATAATGAGCTGACAATGTAGATGATTTAAATCGTTAGTTCGACGTAGAGGAGCAGAACTGGAACATCAAGTCCATCCCTCACAACGATGGGACCGTCTTCCGCTTTCTCGAGACTAATACGTCGTGGAGAAAGGGGTTTTGCTCGAAACGGGTAGAGGTCGATTTGAAGGCGATTGAGAAGCGGCCAGCCTTGTATGCGGCGCTTGCTGCGTTACGACCCTTTGTAGGGTTATGGGATTCTTTTCACAAGGGAACTCTAGAACGTATTAACTGCCTTAAATGCGACGATGTAAAGCACGTTAGCCTTGCCTCAAAAAGCATCGACTAATGGTAACAGGAACTTATATATTACCTCTATAGTATGAAAAGGACGTGGATGTTCATCGTTGGCGGCGATCTAGAGCTCGTAGAGAAGATAGACCCAACAACAATAAAACTAATTAAGGCAAAGGCCTCGATGGTATCATTTGCAAATAAAGAAGATATTGTACGTGGATTTCAGGACGGGACAATCTTTTGTCAGGTAGGTGAAGGCGCTACCAGAACGCGGCTTCAACAAAACGTTCTGGCCGTCAACGGAATGATCACTTCCATCAGGACTTTCTTGGTCGATACGTTATACCTTGAAGACAGTCACGTCGCTATGAAAGTCCTCATCGATCCCACGAGATGTCAAACCAGAGAGGCACTACGGCATATGTGGCGTAGTTCTCCAACGAACCGTGTAGTGCTGGAATATGCCAACGGATGGACGGAGGCGATTAATATCCCCATGGAGGAGGACGGCCAATTCCAGATAGCATATATACAGCTTTGGATGTTCTCGATGCGCAACTATCCCTGCCTCACGAATCTCGTCCCGAAGACTGATGGCAAACACAAGGTTTCCTGCATTGGGCCAGACCTAGAATGGCAGCGGGGGTTTGTCGCCATTGCCAAAGCTTTCGAGTTTGAATCAACGGCGATCAATCTTCTGCTTGAGGAGGACCCAGACCGCGTAAACGTTTGAGATATGCTCTCAAAAGCTAGACCACCAAATAGATTTGAATACGACCTCCAAGCCGAAACCCAGTCACACTGCGAATTACTTCATCGAATACAGATAACGCAGCAGCAGCCGCGTCGAGGCGTGTCGCCACGGTGGACCACGGACGTCTCAAACGTAACGAAGAAGCGTCGGTACGGGCGGCCATATGAAAGAGCACTCAAGGAGTGTAACCCTTGCTTCTTCTTCCACAACATCTGCCAAGCACCTCCTAGTGGGAGGTACATCACCAACTTGTTTGTCAAGCGCAGCATCTTGCAATTCTTCTTTCAAATGCCAGCCCTTCCTGCTGACCTGTCGCTCTGGCGTGGTGTAGATCTAGAGACCACTGACAGACCCATCCAGCGTGCGCCAGAGCAGAACAATGGCCTTGATCAAGCTCGCGAACGCATCCGCGCACTCCAGAACAGCGCAGCCCAAACTGCAGCTCAGAACGCAGCCCAGAATGCAGTACATGAGGCTGCGCAAGCTGCGATTACGCTGCGGCTGGAGGATGCCGAGAAGCGATTGGCTGCACAACAGGAAGAGAACGTGCACAATAAGACGAGGCTGTCCGAGGCTCGAGAGAGTTCAGCGGGGCAACTCGCGCAAATTCAACATTACCAGAAGAGAATTGATGAACTTGAGACTGTAGAGAGAAATCGCATGCGGGAAGAGTCGCGACAACAGTTGGAATTGGCTGAGAAGCTTCGTCAGAGTCAGCAGACGATAGAGACTCTTGAAAGGACAATTGCAGATCACGAATCTGCTCGCGAAATGCAGGTCGTGCTCGCAAAGCAGCACCAAGATCAACGAGGGATGGCAGACGAATTAGAGAAATGTCGCTTGATGATCGCAGAATTCGAGCGTAGGATCTCGGAGTATAAGTCTGAGAGTGATAGGCAAGCATCAGCGGCACAGTCATTGCGACAGCAGCTTGCCGCACATTCACAACAAGCAACGATAGAATCAGAAGCACTACGATCGAGAATCGTGGAATGGGAAAGGGGCGACATACGAAGGCCAGAAGATATCAATGCCGGAGCAATGTCTCAAGGCTTCCAAGAAAGAGTTGCCGAATTAGAGCTCGCTAGTCAACGGCAGGCCGAAGACCTAAGGAACTCCAAGGAAGTGGCCACTATCAAGGGCAGGACCTTGGATATGATACTTGCAAAGATCAAGGAGACCAGAGAAGGAGTGGAGAAGATGAGTACAGCCTTCTCAGGACGACTCCAGCTTGAGCCGAACTATGAAGACGGTGATTGCGAGACGATCCATTCGGATGAACTTCAAATTGAAGATCTGCCTTCGGCGGAGGCGCAATTTGATGAGATTGAGGACCTGAAAAAGTCGATCGCCAAGTTCATTGCTCTCTATAGCCAGAACAGCCTAGCGCATGATGAAAATGCTCGCGTGAAGATTCTCGAGTGGCAGAAGCTGGTCCCGGGCGAGCGGCTCGCTATCGCGGATGGAACAGGCGCTGGAGTCGAAACAGGGACCCCGGATCTCAAGCAAATGCTCGCAGTCGTGAGCAGACGGGCAGGAGTCTTGGAACAAGAAGGCCGGGCTGTCCATGACCTCCAAGCAGAACTGGACATGGCGAGGGCAGCCGCCGAGAGCCAACGGCAAAAGGCTGAACGTGTCGAATGGCTCGAGGGGGAGCTCGCGGAGGTGAAGAAGCAGTTGCAGCAAGAACAAGTGACTACTAGTGACCTCGGAGAAAGCTTGAAGACAGCGCGCGACGCCACGCAGAGAGACATAGAGTTTACAAGCGTCTTTAAAGGAGAACTAGATACAGCCAAGGCAGAGAATGAAGCACTACTTCAGCAAGGGAAGGCAGCTATTGCAGAGCTCACAACAGAATTGAAGACGGTCAAGGCAGACGTTGAGACCTTACGGAAAGAGGCAGAACGAGTTCGTGGCCTGGAGACAGGATTGAATGATTTAAGAACAGCATTGCAAGCTACAGAGAGCGTGCAAGCGGAACTGGAGAAGACGAGACAGGACCTGGAAAACTTGAGGCAACTTTCAGGCTCGTACATCAAGGAGCTGAAAACAGCAAAGGCCGACGTTGAAAAGAAGCTAGAAGCCTCCAAGAGCCGAATAATAGGCTTGGAAAAGGACCTAGAAGCAGCGCGGCAATCTATCAAGGAGAGAGAAATAGAGTTAATAGGCCTAAAGCTTGATATTAATGATGATGACGAGCGCGTAAGGTTATTGAAGGCACAACTGTTTGAGACGAGCCGTTTGATACAGCTGGAGAAAGAGAAGAAGAAACTAGAGGCTGAGCAGAAAGAGATTCAAGCTGCGGTGGCCGAGGCAAAAGCCTCAAGCAGCCAGGATCTTGGGGAACTCATGCAACAGGAAGCGCATGTCGATGCCAGTCTCTCACAGGTCGAAGAGAAAATGGTTGCAACGGGATTGGATATTATGAGATATGCGAAGTATAAAGTACGCTTCGAAAGTTCCAAAACCGGCCGCCAGACAGGTGTTGACTATGTCCTCGTGGAAGACCTGGGGAAGAAGTTTGAGGAATTGCGTGATCAGGTCGTTTATTGTTTCGTAAACGACACCATGACGGTGGTAGAGCTGGGGAAATACAAAGACTTCCTAGCAAATCAAAAGCATCTCGCTGACCACGGGGAATTCTTCTACTGTGGCTACAATCCACCTCGAAAGAGACACCGCGGTCTGGATGATGCGGGAGAAGATTTGAAGAGTGCTCCAGGATCCAAAGCCCAGGAACTAGCAAGACTTCGCGCCAAGTCCAAAGAACCCCGCGGCTGATCTCGAGTTCATCGTCTTTTGTATGTGTTTCGAGGGTCGAAGGGAGGATAGGCCGTAGCGATGGCGATACGACCATTAAAAGGTACTTTTTTTCGTTCTGCCAAGTAGAAGGTGGCCTGTTTTGTGGTTCGTGTACTGTACTTGTTCTTTGACCGGTTATCGCGTTCGAGCTCGTGGCGGAAGAAGTCTGCGAGATGGAAGTGTTGGCTGGAATGTGATACTGTTATAAACTGGCCCCTGGCCCTCGGAGGGTCGTTTATGGAGGCTGTTGTAAAGCTGATCTAACGATTAACTTGATCTAACGTAAGATTGAGGCAAGGGATGTGTGGCGGTTCCATTTACTATGCGCTAACCAAATTAGGTTAGGTTGCCATAAGGATTTTCGATGAGAGCCTCGCGGTCGACAAGTGACAGATTTCTTGATGCAACATGATCAATTCGTCGTAAACGGCCGTTACCGTGCTGGGCTGGGGAGGCCCCCTTCGTCTGACTGGCTGTTGATGCTCAAACAACGCATCGCGCGTTTGCCAGCGGCGTCCGATTCGATACAATGATTCACAACTTCTTATCATGCATGCTCTTCAGCAACTAGTCGTTTGGGGCCCCCAAGGTGAAGTGGGAGGCTGATGAGGCTTTCCAAAGCATTTCCTCTGTATATTAATTCTTGTTCTGCTATGTACCACTATCAAATCATCTGTGTTTCTACTGTGTTCTACCCTCTACATCCTTCAATCATAGCCTTCTCACGCGGCAACCTCTAGCTACCAGCAACATTACTTGCTCTGCCTGTTTGCTTACAATCTTTAGTCAATCATCCAACACACCTTCCAGAATGCCGTGAGTACTCGATGCTCTACCTTGTCTATAAGAACAACCACTGACTTCAAGACACAATAGACCAGGGCCCTGCTTCGACTTCCAACGCGGCCGTTGCCGTCGCGGCACCTACTGTCGATTCAGCCATGACACATCAACGAGCACCGCAAGCTCAACAAGCACCACAAATCAACAGCTTCGGAAGGAGACTGAAACCGAAGCAGCCTGCCGAAAATGGACATACATGATTCCCAGACCCAACCCGATTTCCTCACGTTTCGAAGCTGTTGTAGACACACAAAAGTTCTTCCAAATGGGCTGGAATCTCATTAAGAGCGAGGATGCGGGAACACGCCAGTACGTCATTACAAAACTCGGTGCAGAGACGGGACTTGCAATCATCAAGACCCTAACGGACATTATAGATGCCAACCAAAAGGATGAAACCACCGTCTCGATATTTAGAGATAGGACTCTTCCTTTCTACAAGATCATCTCTCACCCCGATGTACTATCCTCCCTAATTCTGGAAACTCCTATTGATACCATCTACACCTTTCTCTTCAGTCCCAGCGGTCGACGTGGTCTTCAAGTGTTCCGCTCTACAACAACTGCCCTAAGTGGAATGAGTTTGGGACATTCTTGAAGCGATGAGGAAGTCTCTACCATTGCCATATCATCAAGTCTCGCAGTTCTCGACAGGCTGATCGAGATCAACCAGAGTGCCCAAGTCATCGAAGGCTTTACCGCTATTGTAGAGACAATCTCTACCTGCATTCTAGAGAATTTCATGGTACCGAATGCACAACAGAGCCTCACTCGAATCAGACGTCGTCTCAACATCGGCTCTTCGTTGCCTCTCGCACCAACCCAATCAACTCCGCAAAATCTCCTATCTGCAGCTTTCGAGTTGGCTCAAGACTTGCCCGGAAATCTTTCCAGCAAGGGCGCTCGACACGATAACGACCATGCGAGTATCGCCGATATCCAGATCCTCCCCACCGCGCGAGAGATCGCTTCCCCACGATAAGAATATCTCCCATTAATCGACTCAACACAAAACCACCTCTCAGGTCTCGCCGGACTCCTGGACAGACAATTTCGGCTCCTCCGCGAAGATACAGTGGGACAACTACGAGACGCAGTGCGCGAAGAGGTTACAAGGCTAGAACATCCCGATCGTAAGGTACCGACAATACACCAAGGTCAGCAAGGCGTTCGGAAGCTCATCTATCACAACGTCCGCTTCTCCCGCATGAGTGTAGATCGCAGAAAAGGTCTGCAAGTCGTAGCAGAATTTGACCAACCTCCCCAAATCAACAACAAATCCACCAAGCAGCGAGAAGAATGGTGGAAAGGAAGCAAGCTTCTGCAAGTCGATTCGCTAGTCTGCTTCGTCTCTTCAAATGGCAAAATCATTTTCCTCTGCGTCTGCGATCCAATATTGCCATCCCGCGCAAGAAAGGACTCCAGTGCAGACGACAAGACAAAATCAGATGATATTCCCAGCCTTTTCAGAGAAGCGAAGCGTGCGTCTGTGCTACTGAGCCTGGCTGAATATAAAACGGAAGATGCAGTTTGGATCAGCACTCATACTACAGCTTCCAAAACTCGACAATCACTTGTTGAGTTTCCTGGGGTGCTTCTACCTTCGTTTCAGCCCACTCTGCAAGCGTTGCAGGAAATGAGCCGGAAACTGAGCCTTCCATTCACGGAGATCGTGGCACCAGACTCGCAAGCTTCTGCTGCCGTCGTAAAACCTCCAGCATACGCGACCAAAAGAGGATTCAGTTTCAACCTTGACGTTCTCGCCGGCGTACCACTGACTCTAAAGCCCGGACAAGCATTCGACTTCACCAAGCTGGACGGAGGATCAACGCTCGACGAAGCACAACAGTTCGCCGTCATCCAAGCTCTCAGTACAGGGCTAGCTCTCGTCCAAGGCCCGCCAGGTACAGGAAAGAGTTATACCGGTGTGGCAATCATCAAGGCTTTACTCCACAACCGAAAGGCAGCCGACCTAGGTCCCATCATCTGTGTATGCTACACGAATCATGCTCTCGACCAGTTGTTGGAGCATTTAGTGAAGGATGGCGTGAGGCAAGTCATCCGTGTAGGCTCACGATCCAAATCCGATTTGCTTCAAAATCTCACTCTCCATCATGTACGGGAAGGAGCTAAACCCACGAGGACAGAAAAACATGATACGTGGGAACACAATCGGGATATTGGGGAAACGCTGCGAGAAATTGAAGATATATTGTCTGGGTTGAATAATCCAAATTCTTGGACAAACATCCAAGCCCATCTTATGAGGACCCATAATCCGCACTTCAAGGAATTGTTTGGGAAGGGGGTAGATGAGGAGGGGTTTCAGGAAGTGAAGGGAAGGAAGTTTAGGGTTGTAGAGAGTTGGCTTAGAGGAGCGCCGAAGAAACTCGCTTCGAATCGTCCTGTTGCTCAGCTCTCGGCCATTTCTCTGAGAGAGATGTCGACGTCGGAGCGTGGTGTTCTCCACAAGCATTGGATTGAGCAAAGGAGTGCGCAACTCACCAATGATCTCACCCATGCACTGGATTCCTACCATGGTTCCAAATCCGCGCTGGATAGATGTCACAGGGAACTAGATCTTCGATGTCTTCGAGAAGCCCACGTTATCGGCGTGACGACGTCTGGGCTGGCAAGGAACATCGAGTTGCTCCAGCGCGTGCGAGCAAAAGTAATGCTTTGCGAAGAAGCTGGAGAAGTTCTCGAGGCACATACCCTCACTGCATTCCTACCCGGGGTTGAACATGCAATCTTGATCGGCGATCACGAACAGCTCCGGCCCCAGATCAACAATTACGAGCTTCAACATGACAATCCCCGAGGCAAGAGATATTCCCTCGACATCTCGCTATTTGAGCGTCTCGTCAGGCCACAGATGGGGAATCTCCAGGTACCATTAAGTACATTGAAGACTCAGCGACGAATGCACCCTTCCATCTCAGAGCTAGTCAGAGTCCCGCTCTATCCGGACTTGCAAGATCATCCCTCAGTGTTAGAATATCCGGAAGTCGATGGGATGCGAGATCGTCTGTACTGGCTTGACCATCAAGAGAAAGAAGACCCGCGACCTGCCAATGCTGTCTCCTTATCCAGAACCAATACTTTCGAAGTGGATATGATCGCTGCTCTTGTCTCACATCTTGTAAGGCAAGGAACGTATGGGAGTGAGGATATTGCAGTTATTACTCCATATCTGGGACAATTGCAGAAAATCAAGAAGCGACTAGCGAATTCCTTCGAGATCGTTGTTGGGGATCGAGATCAAGGAGAGTTGGAAGCTCTCTTCGCCTTGGAAGTTGTCCACGGTAGCAATCCTTAAAGCATTGAGGAGTGTCGTTTTCTGGACTTGGACTTGGCCATCTGTAGAAGTTTCCGGGTCGTCTTGAAGTCCCTGGCAAAAGTTATTGTCGTCTCCTTAGTTCGGAGCAACGATGAGCGGAAATGTGGATTCTTGAAGACTTCAAACCGCATCAATGTGCTGCTGAGTCGTGCACGACATGGGATGTACATTATCGGCAACTCCGATACCTCGAGACCTGTTCCCATGTGGGCTGAAGTACTCTCTATTCTAGAGCGCTCAAACAACATCGGTCCAAGGCTTGCACTCTGCTGTCCTCGACATAAAGAAACCCCCATCGAAGTCTCAGTGCCGGACGATTTCGCTCGGCTCGCCCCTGAAGGCGGTTGTGCTAAGAGATGCTCGTCAAGACTACTCTGTGGGCATTCCTGTCCGAATATGTGCCATTCTACATCTTTGCACAATGCAGTTCGTTGCCTTGAACGCTGCCCAAGAACAAAGAAAGGTTGCGAGCATGAGTGTCCGAGGTTGAGGACGGCGCGTCCTGGTAGCTTTCGTAATTCGCGAAGATTTCTCTCGACTCTTTCGGGTTTGTTTTAGTGGTGCGCGAACTTTGGAGAGAGTAGCTGGGTCCGTGAATGATTCCCGTGCTCCAACTGAGGATGCAGAGTTGATGATCCTTGGCTGAACTTCATCGACGGAGCGCAGGGATGAATGTCGAAGGGGCGCTACAATACTTCGATAGGCTCCTTTTAGAAATCACAATGTTGTCGATATTAGAAGTTTGTACAATTGCATTGATGATCTGAACTGCTTCGCCCTTTCGCCGCTGGTTGATGAAACAATGTCGGCAAGTTTGTGGAGGGCTTGGAGGGGTCTGCGGGAGGTTGGACGCCGTTTCTGGATAGGGATAAAGTGCCAATTGTAAAGGTTGTCGTTTGTAGAGAAGTTGAACGCCGTTTCTGGATGGGGTTGAAATGATGACCAAAGTTTTGAAGTGGACCGTGCAACGAGGTGCAGAATCGGCAGCACAGCCGGAACTGGAGCCAACGCCTAAATTGAACCACTAAAATGGCTCTTAAATCCGCTTAAATCAGCCAAATCTGATTAGGTGAAAAGGCCAAAAGTGAACGAAGAAAGATGTCAGAATTGGAGAAAGATCCACAATCGGAGACAAGTTTTAGGTTAAAATGGACCGTTTACATCAACGGCAGATTATTTCCTCTCATGGGCCACTCACGCCAAATTCGGGAATTCAAGCTTTCTCCGTGCTCGGCCTGGCGAAGATGACGACCTTCGAAGCTAAAGCAGGGCGTGATTTCGTTCCCATCACGCCTCAAATCTGCAGTGGAGAAGAAGTTGTCAAGAAGTCCGACCACTTGCGAAAATGGATACCCAATCGTACATCGGGACTTTTTGTTACACAATATCCTCTTCGACGACGTATACAATATTGTGGGTGTAATCGACTGGGAGTACGCACATTCCACTCCATTCGAGGTTTTCGCTGCTTTAACAAATATGTATTCACGTTTCGATCCAGAGGCGCTTCGCGCAGTGTCCGATGGAGACGAAGAAGGAAGGCAATATATCAAAAATGTTATAGATGAGGAGAAGGGCATTCAAGGGCGCAAGCTGTCCTAGGCATTTGGGAACATCTTGGTGGATATCGGTCTCTGTATGACTTATTTCGAGGAGGGAAGAGCTACTTCATTTGGGAAGCTATTAGATCGCTACGAAAAATAGACTGAACTCATGAGAATAATAGCTTCAGACAATTTTCCACTGATATTCACTCGACGTCGCGAACATCAATAAACGCACGACTTATTATATAATACACGAATTGTTTCCAACAAGGAGTTGCGCCTCATGTCTCCTTCCGATGTCAAGCTCTTTCATTTCCTTTCGTGGTTTCGCCCGTGCATCTGAACCCCACCCCCCAAAAAAACCTCCTCGCATTGACCGCCGCCTCCCTCGACCGTGCCTACTGCCGCGACGGGACTGGCCGACAGAAGGATGAGGTCCTCATCAGATATTCGTCCCAGAAGATGCCTAGGGGCAAGTAGGCACACAGAGCTTGAGCTGCTCTCTGTCCACCTGTGGGAGGAAGCTTACTCGCTTCTGGGACGAACCATGCTCTAGCGCGTGCGTATTGCGGGATGAGTCCTGCCTGGAAACTTTTTGAAGATCTAGTCCCAAGGCTTGCCCTCCTTCTTCTATGCCACCAAGCGCTGCTCGTCTACAGGGTCCTATGGGATATTCATCCTCGCGCTCAAACCGCCCTGCTTCTCGGCCTCACTCGAACACCCGTCATCGTTGTTACTAATATCAGGATCGCTATCGCTCAAACCACCATTGTCATTACTACTTAACGGCTCGCATCTTCGCGATACAAGAGCTCTAGCATCAACGGCTCTGCCATGTTGGGGTCCGGTACGCGTTGCATTGACGTGATCACGGCCTGCCTCCGTGGTAGTCGATAGAGCCGCGCCACTGGACGAGAGCCGGGATGAGGCATGCTAGCTGAAGCCACTCAAGAGGTACGAATGTTGCTCCATCGGCTTGATGGTGAAGTCGTCGATCTTTCTCATGTGGCCGGTGCTCGCGATAAGTCGGACAACCTGGGCGAGAGAGACTCCTCGCCCGTCAAAACCGTCCTAGACGACCGCTGTGAAGGAGTAGTAGTGTACGGAGTGCGGACGGAACGTGATCTCGGTCAGTGTTGGTAGGGTAGCTCTAGATGATCGACCAAGGCTATAGTCGTTAAGCGGCATCGTTGTATCTATGCTTTGTGGTATAGAAGGCGCTGGTGAAGGTAATCGGCCCTCGGCACTCGAGCTTGTAGCGACTCTTGACCTCTGGTTGAGAGGGGAGTGCGACTTGGGATACTGGCGATGGGGCTTGGAGAGAGGTCGACGCTAGCGAGGAGGGCTCTGGTGAAGAGGGCACCTGCGCTTCTTACGTGCTAGGCCACCGTAAGATGAGGACGGCTGCTTCCGCTTGGCAGGACGTGGTTCCTTCTCATCGTCACCAGCCGAGTCGGAGCTATTGAGCTCGTCGTTGCTATCACGATCGCATCGGCTTCCTGCCTCGTTATGACTCGGTTCTGGAGATGGGTCGAGGTTGGGAAGCGATTGCCATCGGTTGGCCGGTCTTGGACTTCCACCAGCCCTTTCGGCCGTTACCACCGGTGCTACAATATTCACTTCTTGCTGTGGCCCCTCGTCTTCATCCTCACTATGGCCTTCGTCCTTCTCCTGCTCCACATCTTGCTGCTCCCTCGCCACTTCATTAATGAGGAGAATGTCGAACGCCTGGTCAACCAGCTCATGTTTGTGTGCCACGCCTCGAACGGTATGAAGACGACCTTCTTGACTGAGCTGGTTCTCTAGCGAAGCTCTGCAATGGCGTTGGGGCGAGCTTTGGGGTCGAGCGGAACAGGATGTCGTGGCCTCGGATATAGCATGGCGCGATCCTTCTGTACTGATGCTGTCGTGCAATGGTTCGCTCGAGAGGCGCGAAGAAGGGGTATGAGGATATACGGAGTCTGCCGTCGAAGCTCCTTGTTCCGCAAGCCACATACGCGGAGTCGTCTCGGGGTAGTCATTAATATCGTGCCACCCATCGGAACTACAAGGAGGGGCCGGAGTTGTCGAGTCGAAGGCTGTCTCTGGGCTATCGAAAAGTCCAATGCCTAGTGCTATTGCACTTTCGGCGCGAAGACTAATGTCATTAGCTTCGGCTTTGGAGGCACTCAAGTCGCCGTCGCCTAGGAGGACAATTGGATCATCTATACTACGTTAGAGAAATTGGCCGTCCATTTCTATAATGGAGGGTGTAGTGGGTGCGACTCACCTGGACTCCCGCCTGAGTTATCGCCTTGCGCTGACCTGCTCTAGTCGACAGAGCCACCCCTCTCATCTGCAGCTACCTTCTCAACTCTGCCCGTCTTGTCTGGGCCCCGACCCCCTGTTATGAAGCCCTGCGCTTGTAACTTGGTGAATAGCAATTCTTCGATTGTGGGGAAGTCTCGGTCGACGTCGTTTTCGTCATTATTTGCTTTGTCGCTGCCGCCGTAAACAGTGCCGGTCCCTGGTTAGAATCCCACAAGTCAGCCAATGTTGCTATAAGCCAAACACATCTCTATCACATACCTCGAATTCCGGGCCTGTTGGCCCCACCGCCATCTGCTGCTGCCGCTGCTGCTGGTCGCGGCGTGCTGAGTGATGCAGTGCTTGACCTGATCTGCTAGAGCTTGTTGAGGATGCTGACTTGTTCCGGGGCAGGTTTGTGGCGGGTTGCTGTGCTCTTAGAGCGTGGAGGAGTTGGCTTGTAGGTATACGGTTTGAAGGCAAGAGTGGCCATCTAGAGCGGGTAGAAATGATTAGGAGTAGTTGAGAAGTTCTCTGCCGGCTGCTGGCTGTACAACTAGACTAGAAAAAGAGATGGCAGAGACGGGGAAATAACGGGTTCATGTAGGCTTCTCGCACTGCCCTTACAGAACCGTAATACGCTCTGTGTCCCGCCATACACACCCGCTATGCCATGCTTCCCCCCCTTCTGACGCCGTCTCCGTGAAAAAGTGCCTCGGCGTCAATGCGGCCCCCTCTCATGCAGAGAGGTCTGCCGTAGCTGCAAGGGCCTGTTGCCGTTAATCCTACACTCTCATACCGGAATATGACCATCCGCAGCCGTTATCCCCACTTCGCTACGTACCACGATCGGCCGATCTTAGTATTATCTCTCGATCGTCGGCAAGGCCGTGAAAAGCTGAGCAGGAAGGAGCGACGATCATCGTAGGAGGAGGGGGTGCATGACTTCGGATATTGCCCTCTCCGCCCGTCCGAAGGCTTTAGCCAGACTAGTAGACTGGCACATTCCAGTCTTTTCCGTCGTCCGGCGTCTCAGCTGCCAATCCTGCAGCTGGCGCGGTCCAATTGGCGGATCCTCCAAGGAATGCGCCTGGCAGAGTCTCGTATGATCCTGCCGCCTCGGATCAGCCCAGGGCCACGCAATCAAGACGAATACGACATGTGCTACGGCAACGGGGAAACTCACTAGGACGCTCCCGACGCGTCATTCACCTGCGGCACCTGGGGCATAGCTAGGCAGAAGACAGCCCGCGTCGTCGTGAGGCATTTCTGCGACTGGCCATCGTGCTGCAACGAGGGCAGGCCGTGTCACACAGCCTCTCAGCTTCTCGAGCGCGCTGTAGTGAGGGGCGGTGATGGTGCGACGAGGCAGATTGCGAGAGGGTCTGGACGCTGTCGAGCCCGTAACTCGGCCAATGCGAGGCGCACATTCGAGGGATCCGCATCACGGCTGCTCAGCAGCATCGAGGCTGGAGGGGGCGATCGCGGATTCTGGTTGAAGCTACCCCGCACGTCGCTGGCGCGGTCTTTCTCAGCTGCGGCGTGGCCGATCAGGGGAGCCTGGCGGGAAGGGGTAGGATTCTAGGCAGAAGGGCCGAATACGTATGAAGAACAAGCACCGAGCGTTGCGAGGCGGAGGCTGTTGGGTTGTTGAAAAGGAAGGAAGAAGGGAAAGGAGCGAGTGATGGAGTTGCGAGATTTTTATACCCCGCGAAAGCGGCGGCCGGCCCGTGCGTGCGCCTTGCCCGATGCGGGGGTCGCGGTTTCCGTATGCGAGCTTGCCGTCTGGTCGTTTACTCCAAGAACTATTATAATTACGTAAGAAATTCTAATCGTCTTTAAATACTCTAAGAGGTAAATATAAATACTATAGTATTAGTATTAGATTAAGATTAATCGTTAAGTATAGATATAGTAAATAATAAGGTAGATATATAGCTTAGAATAAGTAAGTTATTTTATACTAATCTTTATACTAATCGCTAACTTAAAACTAGAACCTAATAACTATATACTTCTCTTAGTTTAGTAGTAGCTTAAGACTTGTTTCTTTAGCCTTATAGTAATAGCTAGAGACTTACTTTATATTCTTCTTATAGGCGTTAGTATTAAGCGCCTCTTTAATTTTTTACGTAATATATATAGCTATTATTATAGCTAACTTAAACCTTTAGCTATCTATACTCTTATATTAGTTTTTTTTTCTTAACTTTAAGAAGAGTAAGGTAACAAGCTTAAAAGGATACTTTCTAATACTATTAATATTAATAGTATAACTAAAGAAGAGATAAAAGCTAAGCTAAAGGAGTAAGAAACATCTATTAACTTATATCTAAAGAAAGTTAATATATAAGTAGTAGATTACTATATTAGTAATAAGAAAGGAGAACTAAACCGGCCGGGCTATTAAGCGTAAACACTATAGATATAAAGACGCCTTAATACTATTATATATAAGAGGCTCTTATAGGCTTGTTCTATAGCTTAAGATAATACTTAAGTACTCTTTATATCTATACGTAAAATACATAGTATATAAATAGTAGAGCGTAAGAAGAGAAATACTACGTAAGATCTATTAATCTATAATCTACTAGAAGACTTTAAAGATAAGGACATTCTTAAGCTAGTAGTTAATAGAGATCGTAATAGCGTAGAGTCGGTTTTACTAACTCTACCTTTAGGATCTAAGCTAGAGACTCTTAAGGGTATTAATATACTAAAGAAACAAGTATAAGAATTATAAGATAAAAGATCTATTTTAGATCGCGTAACAAAGTAGGCAAGGACTTAAGGATAGTAGAGCCTAAGTACTAAAATAAATATATATAAAACTATTTTAATTTATTTATTTTATAATCGTTTAAACTTAGGATAACTATACTAATCTTTATACTAATCTTTATACTAATCTAAGTAATCTTTATACTAATCTTTATACTAATCTTTATACTAATCTTTATACTAATCCTTATACTAATTAATAATTATGACCTTAGGTATTACGTAAGTATAAAGGTACCTTAGTACCTTAGGATACACTATACCTATAGGTTAGGTCTACCCTATAGGTTAGGTCGTAGATTTATTTAGGGACCTATAGGTTAGGTCTTATTTACTATAACCTACCCTATAGGGTAGGTACCTAACCTATTTAGTAGGGACCTATAGGTTTCTGCGCAGCCTAATTGCATGGTCTTATTCGTCGGTTGAAAAGTTGACCCTAATCCTTTATGCACAGCTGTACCAGGGAACTGTAACCGTATCACAAGGGAGCTAAAAGAGATCGATAGGGGAAAAACAGGATCCTTGAAATAGTGCTCGAGTTGCTCAGGCTATAGCTCAGAAATGCTCACCCTCGGCTCAGGTATAAGCGGCCGCTGCTCGCGTCCGGAGACTTGAAATGGAACCACGAAAAATAAATTTTCGTAGTTTTTATACGCACTTTTATCAATTCGGAATCTTTCCAGATTATTGAAAGTGTTTCAAACTTTCAGCAATTGGATTTGATTTCTCTTTTAATATGTCTACCACGGCTCTCTAGGTTGCAGGGGACCTCTTCCCCTATTCCCCCGTACACTTTTGGCATAGCCCAGGAACGCTGCGCCGACCTCCGATGTGCCTGCCTCAGGCCACAAGCATGGATAATCCCTATTCCACTGTCTCCGAACCTTGCATCACCCATCCATGATGCAACGACTCTGTGGGACATGAGTTTATGGGAACAATATATGTTACCTTATCTTTTATTTTATTTTTCTACTTCTTTTTTCTGCGGGGAGTTCGCACTCGTCCAGTGGCTGAGTCGTGCCCCGACGATCCCGATACCCGATCGAGTTCCAATTTTTGATATCGATGCAGCAACTTCATGCAGTTGCTGGGGACCGCAAGGTGGGTCTGTTCAAGTAGGGAGATCACAGTGCTTTAAATGCACAGTGCCCAATAAAATTATATGCACTGCTTGCTGCATGTATCCTGTATGGGGATCATAGAGAGAAATCCGATTCCTATCGTATGTTGAACAAACAAATATGCACGTCGTACCTGAAGTCGCTTTTTCCAAAAAGACAGGCCATGTGGTCCTGCTGCCACTTCGGAGGAGGTCAATGCCAACTCCAATTTCTGCTTTCGTATATATATCATGAACATGGAGTAGATTTTTGTCCACCAGCTTTTTTTTTCTATTCTTTCCTTTATCATCTTTTCCCGGGAGCACGCTCCAATATGATTTCTGTTCCGCCAGGAGCAAAGCTGAGCGATGGCGAAGGTGCCAATATCAGATCACTCTCCAGTCAGCCTGTCTCTACTTTGCCTAGTTCTATCATGATATCTCAGTCAGATTCTACATCTTCAACCAGCTCTCTTTCAAGTAATCATAACTCAGAATCCGAAAAACCACCAATATATTCGGTCGAATCGTTCTTAGATGGATCAACCCTTTATCCTACCCCTCGATCAGTCCATACGGATGTGGATTCGGAAGATATCTCGGTCAACAAGCCATCAGGAAAGATCACATCATTTGAAAAGAAGCTTGATCCAACACTCTATTCCGTTGACATCCTTGCCAAAACTGACGATGCTGGCTACCTCGCGCCATGGAAACGTCGTCTCTACCGTCTCTCGCCACTTTCTACGCTTCTCTCCATGGTTGCGTATTTTACATACTTTATATATCGGATCAGTTGCACGGTCATCGCCCAACGAGTATTTCATAAGACGTATATAATGGCTTGGGTGTTCATTGCTGCAGAAGCCTGCGTTGCTTGTAGGTATTGTCCTTAACTTGCAGGCTCAAGATCTAACGGATTACAGATCCAACCATATTCCATCAGTTCTACCAAATGCTATCGATTCGTCCTCGTCGTCGTCCTAGGCTTCGCCTCCTGGGGGATTATGTCCCAACGATTGACGTTTTCATCACTTGCTGCAAGGAAGATATCGATATTGTTTTAGACACTACCCGTGCCGCTTGTGTTTCTGATTACCCCCAAGATCGCTTTCGAGTCGTCGTCCTGGACGACGGTAAGGATGCTGAGTTGGAGAAGGCCGTTAGGGACTTGAGAATGGAGTATCCAAACCTGTACTATCATGCTAGAACGAAGATTCCCGGCGTACCTCATCATTTCAAAGCTGGGAATCTGGCTGGCGGGACTGATTTTGTCACAACATTGGATGGAGGTGAAGGGGAGTATATTGCTGCTTTGGATGCTGATATGATACCTGAGCCTCAGTGGCTACGTGCTCTTGTCGCTCACCTTATCAATGATGACCAATTGGCTCTCGTTTGTCTTCCTCAGGTTTGTCTTCATGACCCCCCCCTTGTCTTTCTTAATGCTCACTAGTTGAATAGATGTTTTACAATATTCCAGAAGACGATCCACTTTGCCAGTCGCTCGATGGTTTCATTCATGTTATGGAAACTACTAAGGACGCAAATGGCGTTGCCTGGTGTACCGGTTCTGGCTACGTTATCCGTCGCAAAGCACTGGAAGCCATTGGTGGTTGGCCTGTAGGATCTCTGGCTGAAGATGTATACACCTCGTCTCTCCTCCTCGGCCATGGTTGGAAGACAGCCTACTGTCACGAGCCGTTACAATTCGGAACCGTGCCACCGACCCTAACAGGACACCTACAGCAGCGGACCCGTTGGACCCTCGGTACCCTCCAGACGGCCGTCAAACTCAACTTCTGCCTCTTCGGAAAAGAGGTCAAGCAAATGTCGTTCCTTGCCCGGCTCAGCGCAACCGCCTACGCCATCGACGCCTTCTTCAAGGTCTTCCTCCTGATGGCCCTCTTCACCATCCCTGTTGTCCTCATCTCCGGCGGACAGCTAGTCGCTTACACCAGCCACACGCAACTACTCTGGAAAATCCGGCTTTGTTTCATCTCATTAATACTCACCCGACTCAACGAATGGATATCCTTTATCCCCTCTGGCTACCGCCTAGCACAACGAGACTCATACGCCCAAATGTGGATGGCGCCCTTCCACGCCTTAACAGTTATCCGCTCCTTTCTCCTCCCCTCCTGGCTTGGCGGCCGCACCATGGGCTTCTCCTCCTCCGGCTCCATCAAATCCTCGCTCAACGAGCGCGATCCTCAGACACGAGCGCCCCTCGCTCGCCGCCTCTACGTCATGCTCTGGCACTACAAGCTCTGGATTCACCTTCTCTACGCCGTCTTCCTCGTCGTAGCCGTAACACGCAGTTCCATCGTCGGCACCGTGCGCGCGACCACCCCTCACGCCCGGCTCCTATACCTCTTCACCCACGCCTTCTGGCCGCCGGTCATGTGGCTTCTCGCGCTGACAGGCTTCCTGACGCCGATCCGCTACGCGATCTGGCCGCCTGACATGCCGGCGCGGGAAGAGCTGCTAGACCGCGATCCAAAGACGGGCATTGCGAGGCCAAAGGAGGAGTGGAAGAGGAAGAGGTATAGGCGCTGGTCGGTGTGGCATGAGTTGCAGTATTCGGGAATCACGATCTATACGGCGGTTGTGTTTGTGGGCTCTTTTTTTGTTGATTGGTTGGGTTGAAATTAGGGGATCTGGATATATAGGGTTTAATGGTTTTATTGTTTAAATTCTTATTTCTTCTTAGAGAGGAGGTGAGGTGCGGAGAAGCTTGACACTCCTTGCTTTTTATGTCCCTTAATCCCTTCACCTCCGCTGAAGATGTATAACTAACGCGATTCTTAACACCACTTTGGTTCTTATTTTGGACGATCAAACAAATAAATAAAATTAAACCCAAATTTAATACAAATCTCTGACTTCTACGTCTCCCCACGTCAAGTGAGCGAATTAGGGGGTTGGGGGGGGGGGGGGGGGTCGATTCGATACCCGGTGTCGATGTAACAGGGGCCGTTGGTTCGGGGTTCAGACAGCGTGGAGCTTCAGCTGGACCCTGATAATCCTTATTTTAGGCTTCGCATGCCTATTCAGCCATTCCTCTCCTCTAAACCGCATCTTGCCTTCGCTCTGCATTTTCCTGATCCCAAATGGCAGCTCACCCTGGAGATTCCCTAGACCTGAGTGTGCCACTGGAGTTCGAGCCCGTGATCCCGGCCCAGAACTCGAAATTCTACAGCGTCGACGACGCAAAACGCAATCGTGCCGAGGCAAGAATAGCGTCCAAATCGCTCTCTGTCAAAAATGGCATCTGCTCCATCTGCCATGACATGCTCTCAGATAATCACTGGCGGGTCTCACAATCGCCCGTCGAGCCCACGAAATTCCTGTATCATGGCAGCAACGCGTTTGCCATAGCCGCTTCCACGCGAGCAGGCTGTGGCGTGTGTAAGCTCCTCCGACAGACGTTGATAGAGCGCAAACTGTTCGGGTCCGTGGTCGATCGGAGTGGGCAGCTGTATTTGCATTTGGAGCCGTGGGAAGAAGGGGGTTTAAGGAAGTGCTACTTAGCTTGGTCAATATATGCGCGCCAGCCTAGTCTGATGACGATGGAGCCCTTGACGTTGTTTGCGATACCAAGGTCCCAGCCCTTGCCATTGGGGGAGGAGGGCTCTCACGAGAGGGAAGATGATGAGGGAGACGTGCAGGTTAATTACCCGCCAATACTCCCTGGCAATAATAGGGAGGCGCTCTGGTTGGCTAAGTCATGGATGGATCGCTGTGAAGCCAGCCACGAGCTGTGTCGCGCACAGCGGAAGAAGTATTCAACGACGCCGCCAACACGGCTTATTTCAGTCTCTGGCAATGCAGTTAAGCTATACTTCAGTGCGGATATTGAAGGTCCCGTGAAATATGCCACGCTCAGCCACTGCTGGGGAAACCTCCAGATCACCACATTGGAAAGAGACAACGTCTCCCAATTCCTAGTGGGAATTCCAGAACAAGCGCTTTGCAAGACGTTCCAACACGCTATCGAAATCACTAGATCCGTGGATTTGCAGTACTTGTGGATTGACTCTCTTTGTATTATCCAAGACGACCCTGAGGACTGGACTCACGAGGCAGCGAGAATGAGTGCCGTTTATGGCGGCTCGTTCTTCTCCATTGCCGCAGCAAGCGCCACAGATGGCAGCCAGGGCTGTTTCTTCGATCGCGATCCTCTCTATGCCTCGCACCAACCTATTGATATCCCGCTAGACGGAAGAGGGTCCCAGAAGTTCATGCTTGCAAACGGGAGAAGTTTCGACAGATGTGTAAGGAATGCCGCGCTCTCAACGAGAGCTTGGGTGTTGCAGGAACGTCTGCTCGCGCCACGGACTGTGCATTTTAGCTCTGCGGAAATCTTCTGGGAATGTAAGGAGGTTAATGCTTGCGAGTCATATCCAAATGGCCTCCCTAGCTTCCTGGACTACACCCCAGACTTCGATACGCAGATTGACAGGCTAGACAAGGCGTCATTGCCGCTCTGGGAATCTGTCGTACAACTATATTCGGGGTGCTTCCTAACATTCGGAAAGGACAAGCTGCCCGCGTTGATGGGAATAGCGGAGATGTTTGAGGAGCAAATCGGAGATACGTATCTAGCTGGTATGTGGCGGCGGGAATTGGAACACCACTTGACGTGGAGGATATGGCATAGGCCTGGGGCCAATTTACCATGGCTGCCACGGCCAAATCCGCCGAGGGCGCCGTCTTGGTCATGGGCTGCCATCGATTTTCAAATTCTCATGCCAGACTTTTATCGCAAGGCTGACCCGCAACAGATCTCGTGGTATGCCCCCGTGGCTGACGCTCAAGCTTCGGTGAAGGATCGAGCAGGCACAGTTTGGGAAGGGGTGCTGACTTTGAACTGTCGGACAATTCTCTATGGTTCAGGTGTATGGAACAATGGTCAGACTGCGCTGTGGATAGGGAGAGATGGTTCAGGCAATCTGCCAAAAATCGGTCGGTTCGATAACGGGTGGTCATACGGCTCTCCAGAAACGTGCCCACAAAGCCTTCATGCTGAGTCGCGCTTCGACACTGTTCAGGATATCGGCGGAGTGGGGCAGATACCGCATCCCCATTATATGCTACCAATATGCTCCGGCACAACCCGCGAAGGAGGTAGGTTCGCCGAGGGACTGATAGTGAAGCAGACTGGGCAAAAGCATGGAGAGTATCAGAGGATTGGAGCGTTTACCATTGAGAAGGATCTTTGGGTCACGCAGCTAGAAAGATTGGTTGAAGCGAGCGAGAGTATGCAAGAGGATGAGTATAGTACTAAGATGCTTAGCAAAGCTGGGATAGAACAGCATGTTATTACAATTATATAGGGCTCTAAGGGTATTTTAGAGCAATATGCTACAGTAGTCAGTAAGTTTAAACAATTAGCGATTTTACTACCTAACACCTACTACTTTATATAACTATTTAAATCTAACTAATAATAATAAAGTATTAAAAACACATTTCTAAGGTTAATTAAAGGTACCTAAATTAACAGTTAAAATACTATATTAACTAGTACTTTATATACTACTCTTTTAGCTTAATTACTATATCTTACCTTCTTTTTATACTATCTAGGTATACCTTAAATAGACTTAGATTAAGGGTACTCTAAGCCTTTATTAAAGCGTTTTTAAGTACCTTTATAGCCTCTTTACTTGTCTCTAGACTATTAAGCTCTAAGTATAATTCTAGTACCTTATTTTTAAGATACTACTAGATATACTTATAAAGTATCTTATTAGATAATTATATAAGAATTAGAAATTAAGTATAAAGTAGCTATAAGGTATAACTAAGGTACTAATAAGTAGGCTATATAATAAGTCCTTATAAGTTAGGTTTCTATAAGTAAGACCTAACTTATAAGGATCTAACTTATAAAGTAGGTTTAAACTAGTAGCTAGGCCTTAACTTATAACTTAACTTATAGGTTACTAAGACCTTAATATATAATTTAAGCTTTAATAATATTATATAATAATATAATAATTGTTACAAGAAACCACTGGCCTTATCACGTAGGGTTAGCAGTCACGGGACTAAGATACTCCGGAGGCCCGAGTCTAACCTAATCGGGGTTAGCAACCCGCTAAAAAGTTAGTTGTTTACTATTACTATACAGGCACTCTGTATAATTACTTCTTACTTAGTTAATTTAATTAATTAGTTCCTACGATACGACAATAGATCAAATATCCCGTATAATATAGTAGTAATACTATTCGATCTCTTCTAACACTAAATTCGAATTCAAATCGTTTGATCTATTGATCTATTATAAGATTCGTTATAATAAAGCCTGTTTTTAATTATAGTACATCTGTTAATCAAATAGAGCTCTAGACAGGATTATAGAGCCTAGGGGATAACAACTATATAACAGAACCCTAGACTAATCTACGATGTCTAACTTAACTACGCTCACAAGTAGTAAGAGGCTATAAGGCAAGAGTAACTTCTGTACTTAAAAGACAGATATATACGACATACTTAAAGCTAATAGGCTTAACAGGTTTGTATCTAAGAAGTATCCTGTCCTTAAGTCTTATAAGTATAGTAATACTACTATAACAAAAGAAGAGCTAGATTAGTATAACAAATAGAGAGCTAGTAACGCTATAACGCGTTAGGTTATTAAAGAGAATATATTGTTAGTTCTAGTACTTAATCTTATAGCTAAAGTAGACTTAGTAGAGGCTATATAGACTAAGCTAGCTAATTACTATAAGGGCAAAGGGTTTACTTAGTAGTATTAAGCGGCAGATAAGTTCTAGCTACTTAGATACAAGGATTATAATAATATAAAGAAGTTTATTAACGCCTTTATAACTCGACTTAAACAAGCTACACAACTAGATATAGCGCCTAAGAGCGACTACCTGTACGCTATTATCTTTATTAATCGACTTATAAAAGCCTTTCCTTAATAGGCTAAAAGACACTAATCCCTTTAAAACCTATAAAAGAGTAGTAAGAAAAGTACTTTATTACTTAATATATTAGTTATAGAGATTAGAGACAAAGCCTAGGTAAAGGACAGTAGATTAGTACCTTTATTAGTATTACTATATAGTAGTAAGCTAGATAACAAGGATAAAGAGAAGGGTTAGAGTAAGGATAAGGATAAGAAGAAGCTTAAGAGAAAGTAGTACTACTACTATAGTAAGCTTTATGTTATAAAAGATAAAGACGACTATTAGACTACGTTCCTAGAGAAGTGTCTAAAGAAGGACTAAAAGGACTCTTTAAAGAGCGTTATATCACTTTATATAGTAGGTAATTAGTAGCCTTAGATTAATAGCGCGCTAGGCCTTAAGGCTTTAAAGGTAGCGCTTAGATTAGCTACTTAAAAGGAGTTCTAAAAGGGGAACTAGTGCTTAGATATAAGGGCAACTTACTATATATATAACGATAAGTTAATCTTTTATAGCTTTAAGGTAACTAAGTAGTTACAACCTGTTCTAATAAGCGCTAGGTTAATCTAACTAGAAGGTTATAGTAATATCGTCCTAAAGGCTAAGGTAAAAGGTAATTAGTATTACAAACTATAGCTAGAGAGAGTTCTGTTTATTCTAACCTTCCTTATTAATCTCTTATTAGGTGTTAAGCTACTATACTATAGTAGATCTATTATAAAGAAAGCCCTTCTAGACAAAGAAGAAGAGACGCTTATACTCTATAAGGTCGACGATATAAGGGTATATCTATAGTTAGACTTGTCTAGCTACTATATTATAGTACTACTAGCTACTCTTTAATAAGGCAAACTAGGAATCAAACTATAGTACAAGAGATTAAGGTACCTAGGCTTTAATAACGTCTAAAAGACTATAGAAATTACTACTAGTATACAGATTATAGATAAGCCTATAGATATAGATCTTAGTGTTACAGTTCTATATAAGCCTTACGAGCTGTCTAAGCTACTACGCTTAGTTAGACACTCTATTAAACACTAGCCTACTGTTATACTTTAAGAGGTAAGTATAGACGTAGTAGAGGTTACCTTAATTAGATTCTATAGTAAGTACTACGCTACTATTATAATAGATATAGTAACTCGTACTAGATAAGGCTACCCTTACAAGAAGAAAGGAGAGGCTTACGATAAGATCCTTAGCTTTATTAACATAACAGAGCGTTAGTTTACCTTCTTTAAGATCCTTATATTAATAGTTAATAGTAGTAACGAATATAGTAGTATTACGTTAACTAGCGTCTATAAGGTAAAGGGGATTTAAGTTAAAGAGACTATACTATATACCTCTAAGTAACTAGGCGTGTCTAAGATTACAAATAAGATTATAGCTAGACAGCTATAATCTACTATAATTAACTAGAACGTTCCTAAAGAGCTATGGCCAGAGTTACTAAAAAGGACAATTTATATTATTAACAGAATAGCTATGTTAGCTATTAAGGGCAAAACCCTATATTAAGCCTTTATAGATTAGCTATACCTAAATCAAGACAACAAGCCGTCTGTAGCCTACTTATAAGTACTTAGCTATAAGGTATATGTTTATATCCTAGATTAGAGACAGGTTAAGTTAAGGAAGTTTAATAAGCGTACTAAAAAGAGGATCCTTCTTAGTTTTAAAGGCTACTAAATATACTACTATTACGTGCCCTTAAGAGCTTATAAGATCGTTAGATCATTAAACGTAAGATTTAATAAAGAAGGTTTTGTATTAAAAGTATTAGATAGTAGATTACTGTTACTAATAGCTAAACCGCGCCTACTAACTAATCTACTTATAGATTTAACAAACGCTAAAGCTATAGATAAAGCTAAAGATTAGGAGCTAGCTAAAGATTAAGATCTAGTTAAAGTAGCCGAAATAGCTAAGAAACCGCCCCTTACTACTACTAATATTAATCTACTAGCTAATACTAACTCTACTACAGAACAGATCTAAGATTAGTCGACTACCGCCTTACCTGATTTAGTAGCTATTAAGTGCGGCCGGGGGCGCCTAAAAGGTTTAAAGAACAAGCTAAAGGCAACTCTAGCTCTAGCTTAAGCTCTAGCTTAAGCTTAAGACTCTATACGTTCTATTAACCTTAAAACTACCTAAATAACTTAATCTTAATTACATTATATAACTAAGAAAGATATAAAGGATAATACTAAACAAGAAGTATAGTAATTAGCTTATTCCGCTATAGCTATAGCGTTACACGCTACTTACTAGACTGTAGTTAAAGACGATCTAGAAAACGTTCTAATTATATATAAGAAGACAGTTAGTAGCGTTAAGTCTAAGTAGTAAAAGGAGGCTATATAGAACAAACTCGACTTACTTGTAAAGAACGATATATAGAGTCTAGTTAAGAGATTAAGCCTTTAAAAGGGTACTAAGGTTCTAGGTAGTAAGTAGGTGTTTAAGAAGAAAACTAGCGTTAATAGCTCTATAATCTGTTATAAGGCACGCTAAGTAGTTAAGGGATACAAGTAGCGTTATAGACGTGATTACGATTAAACTTACGCTAGCGTAGCTAAAAGCATGACTTAGAAGGTAATCCTAGCCCTAGTAGCTAAGGAAGACTAGGAAACAAAACAAATAGACTACGTTATAGCCTTTCTAAACAAGGAAGCTAATAAGGATATATATATAAAACTTCTAACTAGCTCTAGTAAAGATAACACTTATGTCTATAAGCTTAACAAGGCTTTGTATAGTTTAAAGCAGGCTCTATAGTTATAGTAGCTAAAGCTATACTAAGTACTTATTAAGCTAGGTTTTAAGCCCTTAATAGCTAATAATTATATATATTAATACCCTAAGAGCGGATTAATCGTTATAACCTATATAGACAACTTCTTATTAGTCGGCCTAAAAGGGAAAGAGCTAGCTAATCTAAAAGTAGCCTTATAGAACGCGTTTAAGATAAAGGATCTAGGTCCTTACTACTACTTTATAGGCGTTAAGATCGTTAAGAACAGAGGTAATAAGACTATATCTCTTATACAAGACGCTTACATTAAGAAGGTACTTAAACGTTTTAGGATAAGTAACTACAAAGCCTCTAAAACACTATTAGACCTAGCTTACGTAAAGCTTATAGTTTTAAACCTAGATTACGCTATAGTAGATTAAATTAAACTATATTAGTAAATCGTTAGTTTACTTATATACTTATTAACTTAAACATGCCTAGATCTGTACTATTTAATGTCTGTACTATTACGCTATCTTACAAACCCTTTTACTAACTATATAAGCGCTATAAAACACGTGCTACAATACTTGTAAGGTACGCCTAACTTAAGAATTATATATAAGGCTAGTAAAGGAGCGTTAAAGGGATTATATAAATATAGTGATTTAGACTACGCTAGTTGTATAGAAACACAAAGATTAACTATTAGATATCTATTTAACTACTATAGTAGTGTAATATCCTTTAGATTAAAGTACCTACAAGTAGTAGTACTCTCTTCTATAGAAACAGAGTACTATAGGCTCTCTAACGCTACAAGAGAAGCCGCCTAGCTAAGGTAGCTATTCTATAAGTTAGGTATTAACTCTAAAGACACTAAAACGATCCGAATATACAGTAATAACTAAGGATCCCTAGCGCTAATAGATAACCTAGTTATCTACTAGAGAACTAAGTATATTAACGTATAGTACTACTATATTTAAGAGCAAGTCGCGCTAAGTAAAATAAAGCTCTAGTTTAAGCGTATAGAGGATATAGTAGCGGATAGGCTTACTAAAGCTCTAAAAGGACCTAAACACGCTAAGTTCTTAAAGCTGTTAAATCTACACACTGTAGCCATCCTAATTGCCTAATTAAGACGATTCCTTGTTTCTTCTTCTTTTTTTTTTAGTATTAAAAGCAGTAGAATCCTACTGGTTTACTATTTCTATTTCCCTTTATAGCGATAAGACGGCAGAAAACTTACCGGTTTGCTATTTCTATTTCCCTTTATAGCGATAGGACGGCAGAAAACTCACCGGTTTACTATTTCTATTTCCCTTTTTAGCGACAGTAGCGGCAGAATCTTACTGGTCTACTATTTCTATTTCCTCTTCTAGCATCTTACTTAGTAGAACGACAGGCGGTATAGAATTTAGGTTAGATTTAGGTAGATAGGACGTTATAGGCGTGGATTTAGGGGTGTGTTATAAGAAACTACTGGCCTTATTACGTAGGGTTAGTAGTTACGGGACTAAGATACTCTAGAGGCCCGAGTCTAACCTAATCGGGGTTAGCAACCCGCTAAAAAGTTAGTTGTTTACTATTACTATACAGGTACTCTGTATAATTACTTCTTACTTAGTTAATTCAATTAATTGGTTCCTGTGATACGACAATAGATCGAATATCCTGTGTAACAATAATTATTATATATAATAATATAAGAGCCTATATAAATATACTAATAACTTGTCTAAATATATATACTAAAATTTTTAGTAAATAATTTTAAGAGTATATCTAATATACTTACGCTTTAGTAGTAATTTATATATTATTATTATTATTCTTACTACCTAGGGTTAGGTTTAAGAGGTTTATTATTAGTACTATTAATAGTACTACCTTTACTTCTTAAGACACGCCTTTCTTAAGACTTGTTACTAGAACATAGTAAATAAGATCTAACTACTCTCTAAGCTTTATACTTTATACTAGCGCCCTTAAGGTACCTTTCTTAAGACGTATCTTATTTATAGTATTAAACTAAGGTATACTTACGTAACTAAAGGTCTAAGGTAAAACTACTTAAGATTTTATAAAAAGATATATATACTACTAAATTACTTTTATATATATATATAGTATGTCTTAGCTTTACTAGGTTAAAAGGCCTCTTACTACCTTACTATAATAATATAATAAGAACTACTTAAGAGTTATAATTAGTTAAGTCTTATCTAAGGCTAGGGCTTTTATAAAGAGTCTAGTCTAGTATTCTACCTTTACTCTAAACCTTCTTAAGAGAATACTAATACTACTATATAATAAGAACTAAGAAAAGATATCTATCCTTTCTTTATTAAACTTATATTTTATCTTTAAGTAATACTACTTACTAAGACCTATTAATTACTTACTTTTTATATAGATATACTAGACGTCCCTTAACCTTAGAATACTAAGGGTTTTAATAGCCTTATCTAAGTACTTAATAGTATTATCTTATATAAGAAGTTTATATAAGGTTCTTTTTTTTATAAGCTTCTTTTTCTTTCTTTACCTTTATTAAAGGCTTACTTATCTTACTAGTAATATATATATCTTAAGAAAGGTACTAGTAAAAGTAGTTAGTATTAAGCTATCTAGGTTTATTCTTGTCTTATACTTTTCTTTACTAATATAAGTACTTTACTTAGACTTAACTCTCTTAACCTTCTTTTTAAGAGTAAGAACGTTACTTTAGCTACATTTACTATATTATATAGTAATTCTTTAGTATATTATATATATAAGACTTATACTTCTTATTAACCTTATATATATTATATTTATAACTATTTATAGCTCTTTATTAAGTTATAACCTTTATCTAAGTTTTACGACTTTTATTTAAGTTTTATAACCTTTATCTATCTTATAACTAAGTTTTTATAACCTTTATCTATCTTATAACTAAGTTTACTAACCTTTATCTAACCTTTATAACCTTTATCTATCTTATAACTAAGTTTAATAACTTTTATCTAAGTTTTATAACTTTTATTCTTAATTATAACCTTTTCTTATCTTTTTAAAAGAATAGCTACTCTCTTTCTTTTACTATCTATTCTTTATAGTAGCTACTAGTTTTACGACTTTTACTATTAAGGTTATTAGCTCTTACTTTAGTTAAGTTTTAAGACCTCTTAAGTCTACTTTACTTTTTACGACTTAGTATTAAGGATTTAGGCTCTTACTTATCTAAGTTTTTAGACCTCTTATATCTACTTTTATAACTAGTTATTAAGGATATAAGCTCTTACTTTAGTTAAGTTTATAAATATCTTAAGTTTATATAAATTTATTATCTTTTTAAGGTTAATAGTATATAAGTTTAACAACCTTACTAGTTAAAGGTAAAGGTCTTACTTAGTCGTGTTTTAAAGACTTTTTTAAGTCTTAATAAGTTTAATAATATCTTAAGTTAAAGAAAGTACTATTTTTTTAAATATTCTTATTTCTTATAGTAAGACTATCTTATAAATGTTTCTTTCTTACTTCTTACTACTACTTTTACTAATACTACTTACTTCTTATAATACTACTATTATATCTTTTCTTATATCTCTTTTAATACTTACTTTACTTACTTTACTTACTTATTATATAGTAAGTAGTTAATATTTGTTAAGTATACTAACACGTAAGACTATAATAGCTTAGAAATCAAGTATAAGGTAACTATATACTATAACTAAAGTAATAGTAGGCGTTAAGAAGTATAAGAATAAAAAGAAGAAAAGAAAAAAGAAAAGGGGTTTAAAGATTAGTCTATAGTTAAAGTAGTAATATACCTTTAAATATACTACGACTATTTATTAACTTTTACCTCTTTTACTTTATAAAAATATACCTAATATTCTAATCTCTTTTCTTTACTAAAAGGTTATAGACTATTAGAGTAAGAAGTAATAATATAAACATAACAAATAAACCTTAATAAGATATAAGCCTCTTCTTAAGTAACCCTTTAGAATACCTCTTTATAAGTAGATAGTAGTAAACCTAGTACGACTCTCTAAATATTAATAGAAATCTTTTCCTTAAGTAAGACTAAGTTAAACAAGAGGATTACTTAAGTAAGAGTAGAGTAGTACCTTAAGTAAAAGTAAGACTACTTTATAGTACTTAAAAGAAAAGAGGCTCTCTTAATAAACCTATACGAATTTAATAACCCTCTTAAAGTAGAATAGCTCTTTTAGTAGACTTATATTAAAGAAATAAGAAAGAGCTATTATAATACTTCTTTTATTCTACTAAAAAACAAGATATATACTAGTATTATAACCTTCTTATTTAACTAAGAAACAAAGTTTAATACTTATCTAGAGAGTTATCTAATAAATACTAAACGTATTAGTACTATAGTAGTAGTACTAAAGAATTATATTAAAGAGCGCTAGAAGTCTTTTATTTTCTTAGAAAAAAGTAGATTAGTTCTTAATATAACTTAAAGAAAAATAAAAGCGTAGCTTTTTTATAGTATTATAGATAAGAGTACTTACTCTCTTAAAGTAGTATTAAAACTCTAAATATTAACTTAAAACTAAAACAAGACCTTTAGGAATTTTCTTTAATAGTATAACTTTTTAGTTATTAAACTTAGCTATACCTTCTTAGAGATGTTTTATATCTACCTTCTTATTAATTATTTAAAGCTTAAGTTAAGGGCTTATATAGTAAGTAGTAAGGTCTTAGATACCTTTAAGGTAGTTAAGGTAGTAGCGTTAAGAAAGGAAACTCTTATTTAGATAAGGTAATAAGAAGGCTCTTATAAAGCCCTTTTAATACTATACTATACTAAAAGAGGCTCTTTTTATAATCTAAAGACTTTATCTATACTAGTAAACACGTAAAGAGTATCTAGTAGCTAAACTTTAAATATATAAAGAGACTCTTTTAGTATTATAAAAACCTCTTTAGTAAGTAAGGTATAAGGTAACTACTACTAATACTAGTAGCCTAGTTATTAGGTAAATTTATACTTACTATATAAATACTCTATATATAGTTAATCTAAGTATACTTACGCTTAGTACCTTAATAAGGCTAGTACTTTAGGCGCTAATACTATACTAGTAGCTTACTACGTTACGCCTAAATAATAAGAAAAGAGATAACCCTTAATAAGTATTTAAGTAAAGATACGTATTAAGGGTAGCTAAGTAGCTATACTAGCCTTACTAGACTTAAGAGTAGAAGTTAACCTTATCTACCTATAACTATTAAGATAAAAGGCACTATAGTAACTTAATAATTATATTATAGTATCTTTACTATTCTAGAAAATAATAATAAGCTTTAGATTATACGATCTATTTATTAAGGCCTAAGATAACTACTTAATAGTAAGGCGACATTAAGGTAGATTTATTATTACTAATATTAGAGACTTAGATATTATACTTAGATTTTTATAGCTAGAGGCTATAGACCTAATTGTTTTATAAAAGACCTAGACATTTATATATCTTATGTCGTCTTTAATAGTCTAGCTATATATAATAAAGAAAGAAATTAAGAAGGTAATAAAAGAAGCCTAATTCGTAATTATAGTAATAGTATAACTAATTATAGTCGACTTAGAATCCTTAAGTAAAGAGAAACTATAAGAGAAACTATAAGAAGATAGTAAGGCTATAGTAACCTTACTTAGTAAGTACTAATAATTTATAAACGTCTTCTCTAAAGAAAGGGCTAGATTACTACTTATAATTAATAGCCTTACTTATATAATAGACCTTAAAAAAGACGTAGTACTACTATATAGCTAAATCTACCTACTTATAAAGGTTAAGCTAAGTGTCTTACGTAAATATTTAGATAACGCCTTAGTAAAAAGATAGATCTGTTTAAGTAAGAGCCTTACTAGTACTCTAATACTATTTGTTTTAAAGAAAGAAGAAAAGCTATAACTTTATATTAACTACTATATATTAAATAGTATAACTAAAAAGAACTAAGCCCTTATTCTATTAATTAGAAAGATCCTTAATTAGCTATTATAAGCCTGTATCTATACTAAGCTTAACCTATATAAAGTATACTATTAAGTTTGTATTAAGGCCGGTAATAAGTAGAAAACAGCTTTCTAGTACTAATATAGCTACTTTAAATACTACGTTATATCCTTTAGGCTAGTAAACGTACTAGTAACCTTCTAGTCCTTTATTAATAAAGTACTAGAGAATCTTATTAATAATATTTATATTATATATCTTAATAATATCCTTATCTACTTTATAAATAAAGAAGAGTATATATAGTATGTTTACTACGTTCTTAAACGTCTTTAATAATATAACCTCTATACTAACCTCTTAAAGTATAAGTTTAATATAAAGTAAGTAAGGTTTCTAAGATACGTTATTAACTTATAAAGAGTTTATATTAAACCTAAGCGTATCTTTATAATCTAAGAATAGCCTATTCTTATAACTATAAAAGACATTTATATCTTTTTAAGGTTTACTAGGTTTTATAAGTACTTTATTAAGAATTATTTAAAGATTACTATACTACTAACAAATCTCCTTTAAGGTAACGTTACTAGTACTATTATACTAAGTTCTAAAGCCTTAAAAGCCTTTTATAAGCTACGACTAGTCTTTATAAAGGCCTTTTTTCTATATTACTATAACCTTAAACTACTTACATATATAAAAACAAATATATCTATTTATACTATTAGTACTGTCTTTTTATAGCTATAAGAAGGCCGCTAGTACCTTATTACATTTATTTCTAAAAAGCTAAAGAGGCTAGAGCTATGCTATAATACCTTTAACACTAAGTTAATAGCTATTATTAAGGCTTTTAGGTTATAAAGGCTATACTTAGTATATATATAAAGTTTAGTATTAGTTTTAATAGATTACCTAAACTACTATTACTTCTTTATAAAGCTAAAGTTATTATAGTAGTAAGCTAGATAGCTAAAAGAACTTTCTGTCTTTAACTTTAAGATTAAATATAAAAAGAGTAGCTAAAACCTTACTAATAAGTTATTATAACAGCCTAACTTATAAGATCCTAATAAGTAATTAGAGGCGTAATAAGCTTCTTTAGTGACTTTCCTTAATAAATTCTAAGTAAACATAGTTACTTTAGAAGCTATTAGTCTTATTATAAGGCTTGTTTAAAACAAAGCTTTTATTCTTTTTATTCTTTTAATTTCTTTTATTCTTTTAATTTCTTTTATTTCTTTTAAAGGTCTAGCGACCTCTTTAACGTATACTATCTTAGTAGAATCACTCTAGTATAAGAGGCTAGACTTACGCTAGCTAGTAGACTAAGGTAATTATAGGTCTTAAGGACCTTACGCTTTTATTACTAGAGTATTAAGTCACGAATTAAATACTCTTATACTAGTAGAGAACTCTACTTAGAGTTAGGCTAGTAAAAGTAATAGCTAAGTAATAGTAACGTTAACGTTACTACTATTACTATTAAAAGCCCTTTATAATATATAGTAAAAGAACGCCTTTATTACTAATAAAGAGTAAAAAAAGTAGTAAGGTAACTAAGGTACTACTAGGTCCTTATAGACATTTAAGGATAATACACTACTATAGTATTATAGACATATATATATACTTAATAATCTAGGCTTATATAAAGAGTTACTAAAGCTTTTTTATAACGTACTTACTATAAAGTACTAGAGAGTTAGTAAAATAAAGAAAAGGCTTTCTTAATCCTTCTTTTAGCTAAGTCTTAATAAAGACGTCTACTATTACGTTTTTACTTATACTATCTATTAAAGAACAAAAGTAAGGACTTATCTACTATATAGTAAGTTAGCCTTACTTCTTATTTCTTTTAAACTTTAATAAGAGATCTTACTTAACTTTATTATATAGCTACCTTACTCTTATAATATAGTAGATAAACTATATAACTTAATACTTATTATTATAGACTAATTTACAAAATTTTTCTTATATATTCTAATAACTAATTATCTTACTAGTAATAGACTAGCGTCTCTTTTAATATATTATGTTATACGATAATTTAGAATTCTAGATAGTATTATCTTAGACTAAGGCTCTTTCTTTATAAGTAAATTCTAGAGTAGTTTTTACTAGTACTTAGTAATATTATAGTAGCTTAGTACTACTTATTACTTATAAATAAATAAGTAGACAGAATAGTAGAACTAAGCTATTAAGTATTACTTTTAAACTTACTATAGCTTTATATAAGACAACTAGACAACTAAGCTAGATCTTACTAAATTTATATATAATACCTTATAGTACTTTATAATAAATATAATACTATTATACGTACTATATAAGTACTAGCTATAAGGTCTTAAGGACATACCTCTAAACTAGTTAAAGCTAGTAAAGGTACTAGTAGCTAATATATAAGTAAAGTAGCTATAAAGTAACTATAAAGAAATTATTATATTCTTTTAGTATTCTTAAAAATAGTATAAGAAATAGTATAACTAAAACTAAAAAAAGATTTTATTTAAAAAGAAAGACTAAGTACTCTTATTAATAAAATACTTAAGGTAACGTTAACTCTCTAAGAAATTTATAGATAAGTATATTAGCCCTTACTAAATTAAAGACGTTATTAAGGACTATAGACTTACTTATAAACTATACCTTTCTTTATTAGTATAGCTATATCTTACCTTTTTAATTATAAGTCTAGAACCTTATAAGGTATAAGAAGGTAAAGTCCTTATAAGCCTAATAGACATCTTAGTCTTAGATAAAAAAACATTTAAAGTAAAAGCTATTCTTAGTTATAAAGGCCTATAAAGAAATAGATTCTATCTTATAAAATAAAAAGGGTATAACGATTTAGAAAACTTATAAGAACTATAATAAAACCTTAATAATAGTCTACTTTTATATAAATATAAGTAAATATATTAAGATTACTAATAAAAAAGTATATTAGTACTAGTGTTCTTATAGTAAAGTAAGTACGACTCTTGTATTTATAGTATTAATACCTAAAACCTTAGGTATCTAAAAAAAAACTACTAAAAACATCTATCTAGTGTCTTATTTATTAAAGCCTTTATAAGCCTTTATTAATATTATTATTATCTAGCCTAGAGAAAAAAAAATAATAACAAAAGAAAAGAAAAGCCTAAAGCGCTATCTTAACTATTAACCTCTTTATAAAGTACTATTAACCTTATTATTATATAGCCTAATAAAAGAAAGGATCTAAGATATAATTCTACTAAGTAAACAAGCTTTAACCTATATTTAAATATTATTTATTCTTAACGTTATTATTATTATTATCCTTTTTACTATTATTTTTGTTATTATTACTATCTTTAGTAGTATCTTTAGGTTCTTTACTATCTTCTAATCGTTATAGATTATAGGCGTATTACCTTTAAATTTTATCTCTCTTTACTTAGTCTCTCTCTTATAGTACTAAGAAGTATATAAAGACTTGTTTTTACTAGTTTATTATCTTCTTTTCTTCTTTTTACTTTATATAAATATAATACTATTACGTCTCTCTTTTTTTACGACTCTTTTAACAAACTTCTAATAAACCTTAATTAAACTACTAATAACGATATAGTACTAAT